TCATATCTGACGCACCCAAATGTGTCGTGTCCTTCTTCTTCTTGTTTGGTTTTCCGGCGGTTGGCGGCCTATTCTTCGCATTACCGCCACCTTCTGTTTCGTGGATGGGACAACACTCAGTTTGTGAAAAAGTCTGCGGTCTTTTCTTTGCCTCCTCACAGGCAGGAGAAGTCTTCTTCGAGAGTTCCTGTTAGCTGCTGCAGCCGATGCTGCTGTCTTTGGTGCCCCCTGTGGGTCGGGGGAGACGCTAATGGTGGTTTGTGGCAGAGACGATTTTTGGCCAAATGAAACAGACAGAAGTTTTCTCGGAAAAAACAGACAAACAAGAAACACAAACAAGTGTGTTAATTACCATACCAAACCAATGATTAATTACAATTCAAAATAAACCTATGGAATAATTAATATTAACATTTTAAACATTAGATTCTGAAAACCGAATTCTGCATTCAACTGCTATCCTAAGCCCTATTTTTCCAAAAGTATAATGCTCTCTAAGATCATTCTAACTTTTATATCACCAAAATGTAGGGAAAAAAAACTTGTCTAGACGCCTTGGAGATAAAAAATAAAAAATAAAATAATGCCTCTTTATAATCTAACTCAAAGTTCTGTGATCCTATGACTCCATGTCAGTAACATTATCGTGTGTATAAATGTAATTTTCTACAAATCAAAAAATGTCTTTGGTAATAGTTCTGTCTTCACGAGAGAGAGAGAGAGAGAGAGAGAGAGAGAGAGAGAGAGAGAGAGAGAGAGGACAGAACGAGGGAGGGGAGGGGCCTCCCGAACAAAGGAAGCATGGAGTCTGAAATACTTTCCTCGTTTTTCTCGTGACAAGGTTTTAAATCAGTGGTAAAAGTTTCTCTCACGTCAAACGACACTTTACATTTTATCCTTAAATACGTCAGTAATGGAAAACATTACCATTTGCTACATGATTAATGTATCGAGAGTTCCAGCAGAATCTTTTTTTTTTTCCTGATTCTCTGTAACTATCGAAACATTACATCAGAATACAAGAGAAAAACTCCCAGACTGATCTTTTGTCATTTCTTCACATGAAACTCGTATACTACAGCCAAGAGGCTCTCTTTTTCCTCATTAATCAGATCATTATTATCAGAATCCACATTTTAAATACTTGGCTTTTCTTCTGTTTAAATTAATTGTGCCCTTTTCCCCACCCCCGGGGGATATGGAGTTTTTATTATCCTATAACTTCTGACCCTAACTATCCCTATTTCTCTAATTCTATTCCTATTTTTTCACTAATTCCCTTGTGCCTCTCTGCACGAAGGTGTGCCTCTTTTGCACTTATAAACCCTGTGGCTCTTTTCCTGTATATTCTTTTTTAGAGAGAGACCAACATCCCTCAAGGTTCAAAAACGTCGAAAAACCTGACTATTGTTCTATCGCGTCCGATAGAACGCCCGTCACGGCGGTCTGGCCACGCTGCAGTCATGCTGGGCCGAGATCTCTCTGTCTTCTATTTAAAACAATGTGCAGACTTTAGAAATGGTATCTGCTTACCTGTGTTTTGCAGTAGAGAGAGCCCCAAGACCCAACAGACCCAGTCTATCTATCTGAGCTCATCTTGCGTCTTCTTTCTGTATCAAATCACGTCTCGGGTCACCAAATGAAGCCAATAACTCCCTTTGGCTCGCGTGTCCACAATTTGGTACAGAAATCAGACGAAGATATCCAAGTTTAACATCTGCATTTAATTATCTTTACAATCAGATACAGAATATTCAACAAAAAAGTGCTCCTAAACTAATATGTCCCTCTCCTCTTCCCCTGCGCTAACCTTCCCCCCAGAACTCAAACCAACAGTTTTATCAAGACGTCTGATGACGTCACTTGTGGGCGTCTCCCGAATGTTCTTTTCGGGTGTGCTGGCGTCCCGTGTCCACTGGGAGGCGTCAGAATGCCTTTGGAGAATCTCCCAGTCTGCCTGAGAGAGATTAGCCAGATGGTGGTTTGGACTTTTGGCCTCGCCAGAGAGACAAGAATGTTTATTCCTGGAGTTAATAATTTGTCCCGTTTTGAAAGTTGGTATCTCTATGCACTGATTGTAGTTTCTCCATTTGACCCTCTTTATTCCTGTTTGCAATCCTTGTCCTTGGGGCTTTTCCCCGTGCACATTCTTCAGAGGGCCTATTTTCAAAATCATTAGTATACAACATTTTAATTATGCAACACAGAAAAAGAAGCTGAAACGTGTTAATGTCGTGATAAAGTTGAAAATGGTCATCTCCTGCTGGGTCAATGGATGTTCAAATCGTGCCGGAGGTTCCGTTAAACTTGGATTTTACAGTATACCCATCATTAGACTTCATGAATGTGAGAAGACTAAGCTTTTGTCAGAAAACCACGGAGGTTATGGCTTGCGAAGATAAACATCGGGCAAGAAAAACTCCCTCAAAACACGCAAGAATATGCTCGGAGCACTTTGTGTCAGGTGCGTATCGTATCTTATTAATGTGTTGACAGACGTAATTTATCAGTACTAACTTGTGTATGCTGATAGCTGGTAACTTGAGAGTTTTCATTATTTAGATTACTTTATTATGAGGAGGATCGGTGTCGCGTCGAGGCTCTCGAGGGCAACGTAAATGTATTAAATAGATAATAATAGTTTTCTATGGTGGGCTAAAACAATGTTCACAAACAGCATTGCTTCTGTAAAAAGATCTGTGTCATAAAATAAACTGCTCTTTACGCCTGGAAAAATCTGTTGCCCACCATTCACCAAAACATACGGTCAAAAACGCGGAAATAAACAATAACAGCAATCCAGAGTGTCCGTGTGGCATTAGCATTAATTAAATTAATTGTTAATATAATTAAAATAATTTAAATGGAGCTCCAATGGTATTAAATCTAAAGTTTTTGAGAAATGTTTGCATTGCTTGTTAATTTTTGCTGCATAATTTGATCAAATATGTAAAACATGTCCGTAGCACGTTAAACTGTGGTGCCATTGTATTAATATACAATTATTTGCTCAAAAGTTGCCCTTTTTTCCAATTTGCGTTTGAATATCTACATTTATTCTCATTCTTCTGTTTAATGGAATGCACAAACACACACATGCATCATAGATGGCAGCGTGCCATCAAAGATGGCGTCTGAACATCCATTGACCCAGAGGAGGTCATGTGACATTAACATTGGTCTGTGGGAACTATGTTTTGCCCATCAGAATAGCCATCACAAATGGCGCCGGGTCGGCAAAATCCCCGTATGTAGTGACGGTCCTGTGGGAACTATGTTACTAATACTTAGGCTAACTGCTAGTGATGAAGACAACGCCCTGAAGGAATCTTGGTCAAAGGTTATTTGTATAGCACTAACCACCGCCGTCTCTGAGGATTGACACGGTTGTCGATTCCCAGGCAGCAGATTTGTAAGAACTCAGGAGAAAAAACCTGAAGGGACTGACCTGCTTTAGACTGGACCAGGACGGGGGCCAGGACCACAGGAGTCCCAGCGGAAACCGTAAGACAGGTCCATATTGGGTCCGGACGGAGTTTAGACCTGACACCAAAGTCTGCAATCAGCCGCCATATCACAGGCGCAGAAGTACACATGACCTCACGATCAATAATGTCCACCAAACATGATCTGCACAAGGGCCATCTCTGAAACACAAACAACACACAGACAAACCCACACATATAAACCACACACACACACAGAGACACACAGCATATTTTATGATATTTATTTATTTAGATGTGCTGGGAAACGGCTGCAAGTCCTAAGTCGCTCAGAAACAGTTGTTTGTGCTTTATTTTTCTTGGAGAGGTTGCTGCAGTACAGTGTGCATAGTTTTGCACAAGGTCCAGACCAGAGCTGAGAGGGATTCATGGTCCAAACAAGCAGATCAGCTGAAAATCTCTACTGGAGCGGAATGCTAACTTTGTGAAAAAATGCTAAATGGAAGCCATTTAGCATTTTATTTTGGACTAGGCAGAGAAAATGGTCCAAAACCAAGGCGGCTACTCCACCTTTGACCTGTCCTGCTCCACCCAGAGTTTAACTCCATCTCTGCTGCTGTGACCTGAAGGGCTGTTGCTATTATAACAATTGTTATCCCATCTATCTCAGGGGTAGTGCCGTAGACAACAGGACCATCTCGAGATGCTGGATACTTTTCAGGACCAGAGCTTAACATTTTTAGGGGTATGGTAAACCAGAGGCACCTGGAGGAAATCTACACAGACACAGGGAGAACATGCAAATCCACACAGAAAGACCCTGTTCTGTCAGGTGGAAATCGAACCCAGGAACCTCTGGCGAGAAGCAAGTTTGGTAACCACTCTGCCACCACAATACACATTCAATTTATCCATATACGGTATAATCTATACGTTTTGTGTGTGTCTGTGGGAGGAGAGGACTGTGTGCGTATATGTGGTGTCTGTGTGAGGACGGTGTGTGTGTGTCTCTGTGGGAGATGACTGTATGTGCGAGAGACTGTGTGCGTCTCTGTGGGAGAACTGTATGTGCGTGACTGATTCGGTCTCTGTAGAGACTGTGTGTACCAGTAATATAAGCAATAGTATAAAGTGCGTACACTGTGTTGTGCATGTCTGTATACAGTATATGTGTGTGTGTACAGTGTGTGTTTGTTCATCTAAATTTTAAATAAAAGAAAGTGTCTGTGTTTTATGACTTTATTCAGGATTTTAGCATTTGCTCATTTAGCAGAAGCTCATCAGCGTAACACACAGGATCATCTACACAACAACACAACAACACAGTTGGATCCAATCAATTTGTGCAACACTCACAAAAAACACTGACATGCCTCAATCAGAGAGTCATCGGCAAAAAGACCAGCTCTGGGCCTGGTCTGGACCCGGACTGGACCAGGTCAGGACTTGGAGCGTCAGAGTAACATTTATTTGTTTCAGATACAAAATTTTCCCCCCTGATTTTTTTACTTAAACAATGTTTTCGTGAAGCAGTGTGCGGCAGAGGTGTAATATATGTGCGTGGTCATGTTGTTTTTGGGCGTGGCCATGTCATATGTGGGCGTGACCATGCCATATGTGGGTGTGGTTTTGTATGTAGGGGCGTGGCCTCTTCCACATAAAGATCAATAAAGGCATTGGTCCCACCACATGGCAAGGGCAGTGCAGAGCAGACCAATCAGAAGGCTGGCTGAGGCGGAGGGGCGGAGTTACACAAGTCTGAGGTGCAGCAGGAGAAAGTGAAGCTCGGGTCTGGAACAAGACATCATCCACCCCTGTGAGTGAGCACTTCTCCTTTCAGACATTAATTCCACCCCTGTGAGTGAGCACTTCTCGCATTACAGACATTATCACCCCTGTGAGTGAGCACTTCTCCATTACAGACATTATCCACCCTGTGACGTGAAGCACTTCTCCATTACAGACATTATCCAACCCCTGTGAGTGAGATTCGCCCATTACAGAGATCATCCATCCCTGTGAGTGAGCACTACAGAGATGGGCTGTGGAGAAGTGCTCTCTCACACTCACCTGAGGATACACGAAGGACAGACTGTTGAAGTCGCACATCAGAATATTTCACACAAGAACGAAAGTGTCGCCACCTGCAACCGGAGTAAGAATACATCAGGGTGAGTAGAGTACTTCTGGAGAGTAGGAGGTAATTTCAGGAAGCAGATTCAGAAATCATTTATTATTGCCCTGTAAGTAACAGGAGGTCACAGACTAGGAAAATTCCTTTGGCTCTTGGGTGGCAGCAAGTCAAAAGAGAGATGAATAAGGCTACTAACGCATATAAAACATTTCAGGAGAGTATGATTCCTTTTCTTGAGTACTCCTATTTCGCAAGTACAAGAGTCTAGAGTTTTAGAAAGTCTACAGTACTAAAGTATAAGTGTAATAGAGTTACTTAGAGTAATTGTACCTCTTGTCCTTCAGGGTCAAACAGGCGTCGTCTTGGAACAGACTTTAGTCTTGGAGCAGGGAGGCGGTTGTAGTCTGACAACTGTAGCACTGGAGTACATGTACCTGCAACCCAACAAACAGGTGAACCACGGTGCCGGTCAGGGCGACCACAGCAGGGCCAGAGACACCACTGTTTACTTGCCAGCAGTTAGAATTAGCAGCAGTTAGGGTCAGTGCAATTACATTAGTGCTCAGATAAAAATCCAGGCCGTTCAGACAGGGTTCTAATGAGTGGCAAAAGCTAATGAATGCTAACTGCTGCTAGGAAACGGGTGTTGCTATGGTAACAGAGCAGCTGCTTCTAAGCCCAGTGATCAAGAGGAAAGTACAGACTTCAGACACAGACGCATGCACAGACACAGACACACACTATACCCAGAGGCAGCATGCACAGAGCAGTAAACCAGGACTGAGGGACCTTCTCTTTCATCATCTGCCAACAAACAGCGACTTTAGTGCTTTTAGACCCGAGTCCAGTCTCTAGTCTCTGTTCTGGGTCAGTTCTGGGTTCTTAGCTAGCTCTCCGCTCTTGCTTTGGTTTGTGCGTTCTCCTTTGTTCTTCGGGGACTGAGGCCTTCAGTCTGGGACACAAGAGGCCTCTGTGTGAGACCTGGTCTGACCCCAGGTCTGGACACTTCCACGATGCTGTCACTTCTGAGGGAGGATACTTTTTTGCACGTTAAAAAGATTAAACATGTGTGATATGTATGAGACTAAATTTAAAAACCTCAGCTTTAATATTAAGACGTAAGTGTTGTATTCGTCCAGTTCCTCTCTATCAATGATATTAGTATCTGTACATTTTCCCTGAGCTGTTTCCGCGCAGGCGGTCTTCAGCCCGAAGGAGCGCAAACCAACGGTCAGCACTAGATCATATACGAATCGGGGACGGTAGCGGAAGTAAAATGATTACAAATTACCTATTAATGCCTAAATTTAACAGATTCCTTCAATAACCCAACCCAGCTTAACCCTAACCTAAACCATTACTCTGACGCCTAAAAACTTAAACCAGTCACCACTTAAGGACTATTAGTCTAAAACTAATCGAAGTAGGTGTTTACTTCCGGTTTTGCTTCCCGATTTCCTATATGATATAGTGCGACCCAAAACCAAACCGCTGTCCGTGACTCCACATCATTAACCCATCAGGCATTAACCACAAAAACCAGGGTTTTTTTCTGATGTACCCAGGTGGTAACAGCGTGAGCTCTTCACCACTCAATGTATCTGTCTGCGGCCTGAGTACCGTACGTGCGCCAATAGATCCATGGGGAGCGCCCACTCGACGTTCTTAAGGGGTATGAGCACTAGCCTGCAGTGTTGCCAACTCCTCAGTAAGGAAAGTAGCTATTAGCTGTCCCAAAAGTCGCTAGAAGTCGCTAAATGACGTCATCGCCTAATTTGCATAATTTGCCATTTGCAAATAACTGTAACGGACGCTGTAGGAGAGAGGAATAAGGTCGTGGGAGAGACAAAAGTGAGTAAAAACACCCTAAATATTTTTAGAACTACAAATGTACAAAAATAATTTCAACATTAACAACATTTAATGATTTTAATGCTTTGTCTAGATCCACATTACACACATCAGTTTTGTCCTGTATTGTTAAATGTTATAACAGCAAATGTAATCAAAAGATTGTTATGTAGGGTGAAATTGCTAGCTCTACAACCAACCCTCCTCCTTTATCCGGGCTTGGGACCGGCAAAGTGACCCAAAAGACACACTCTGGCAGAGTTACTTAGGTTTATTTTTGTAAGTTTTTTTTTTTTTTCATAGTTTGGCATAACAAATGATTTAATGTGACCCACTACTGAGAGAAAACAGAGTCACGGACAGAGCTGCCGCGGATGGAGTGGGGGGTAGTGGGGGGTGGCGGTGGTAGGAGTGGCCGGGGAGCTTTGGATGTGTGGTGGTGGTGGAGCTGAAGTTCAGTCTGCAGCAGCCTGAAAACTTCCTGTGCTTTTGAGTCTCCTCTCTCTCTCTCTGCTCCGCCCATAGACTGTAGCTGGGACTGCTGCGCAAGGCTACTGTGAGACTGGCCGCCTGTAAGTGCTTTGGGACGGGGGAGGGGCTCACGTTGAGGACAGCAGAACAATACGTGCTTCACGAGTCTCCAAAACACCAGATAAGTCGCCAAAACACCAGATAAGTCGCCAATAACACCAGAAAAAGTCGCTAGATTTGTCGCTAGTCGCTTTTTTGAAAAAAAGTCGCTATAGGGGTCTGAAAAGTCGCTAAATCTAGCGACAAAGTCGCTAAGTTGGCAACACTGCTAGCCTGGCCTTAGCCATCCGTACACGCCGCTCAATTATCATTTCCCTGCATGTAACGTCTGGGTCTGGTCCCTGTGTTAGCGATTACAATCGCTTGAATTCCATCCGACCAATCAGCGACCACAGGAGACTTGTGTTGTAGTTGTAGTATGTGGGTGATGTCTAGAGTTTGTGTCGAACAGGCAGGTTGTAGTTTGGCGAAAAACATGATAGTAAAGTAATCCGATCTGGTTCTATCAAGAAATTGAAGCCGGAGCAAGAGGATGGTTTAGCAAATGTAATCGCTGACAAAAATTGTGGCGCTAACCCCCACGGGCTCCGTTATTGGCAAAGGAGATGGCTAGGCTAAATGCTAAAGCTAGGCTAAATGCTAAATGCTAACGACTCACTCGGGCGCACTACATACGTGATGGAAAACTCAGATCCAATCGTTTCAATCTGCAAAAGGAGTTAACCCCTCCCACCTGCAAACGGAGCTCAATGAAGCACCTCCAGACCTTAGTACAAAATGTCATTTGTACTATGGTGTGGTACGACCAGGCTAACCCTAACCCTAACCTTGTCCACAACCCCATAACCCTGTGGCTCTTAAATCCAAATTTGAATATATAATAAGCAATATTATGTGTATATTTATGGAATAACAGCAGTACTCTAGCCAATCACTGGCAGGGTAGAGTAGAGTAGAGTAAGGTAGAGTGGAGAATACAACTGGTGGGCTCTTACATGAAACGATACGACTTCTCCCCACAACAGGACTAAGTGATCTCACACTGGGCCTCCTCCAGTCCCCTCTCAGTCCCCTCTCAGAGCTGTATGTGTTGTACTTGTATAGATCAGGTTCAGAGCGACGGGAACAGTCTCAGTCGGAGCCTTTTGCACTAATTCCAATCGATGACTTCGCCGCTGAGTCTTTCTTTAGCTCCAACAGATCTGTTCAATGTCTTCTGCAGGACTTGAGGCTGGTCTCAGTCTCAGTTCCTTCCAGTACAGTGGGTTGTTATTCTCTGCTGACATAACTACAAAATGGAATATCCTCAGCTTTAGACCATGTTGTGTTTTCTACTTGTCATTTGATGTTTTATTCATGCATTTTTAGTAGTTTACATTCTTAGAAATGCCATCTCTCGTCCCTGGATGTGACTATTTTCTCTTCTAAAACTTTGATAGACACTGCAAAAAATTATAAAATATGAGGGGATTATTGCTTGAATCTAGTGTTTTTTATTTTATTTTATCTACTTAATTTGAGTATTTTCTGAAGATTTGCCAATGGACAAAGCCATTCAGTCTTATTTCAAGAACTGTTGCTTTATTTCTCATTCCAAGGGAGACATTTCTTGTATCTTTTTAAACCAATATATTTTTGCTTTGGTCTCATTGGCAAATCTGGTTTTAAGGCAGTCAAAATGTGCTCAAATTAAGATACAATTTGCCAAATTTGAGCGATGAATGTGCAAGGCTAGTTTATTGTTTTATCAGTATTGAGATTTCAAACGCCAAACTGTGGAACTCAACTAAACTCAAAAATGTTGTCCCCAAGGTGAACAGTGTTTGCATGTGGTGGAGCAGCAAAATAAATACTAGGACAGTATGACACAATACAATAGGATGGATCACATGTCATGGGGCACAGTATGTGTGTGTGCGTGTGTGTGTGTGTGCGTGTGTGTGTGTGTGTGTGTGTGTGTGTGTGTGTGTGTGTGTGCGCGTGTGTGTGTGTGTGCATACTTAACACTTTTAACACTCATTAGCGTGGTGGCAGTTTTAAATGCTTTTTAATTATTTTTTTTTTGATTGCATGAATGTTTTAATGGATTTTATGTGGATTTATTGTAAAGTACTTTGGTCGCCTTGAGTGTGGTAAAGGGCTCAATAAATAAAAAAATATTGTGTGAGTGATACTCGTTTGTGGGAAAGTCTAAATGTTGAAGCACTCTTGTAAATATGTGATTCTATTTTGACTTTTGTATAATTGGTATGTATGCTTGTTGGTGATATGGACTTTAGTATCAGGCGACCTTGAGTGGCCAGAAAGGCGCCTAAGAAATGAAATGTATTATTTATTATTATTATTAGTAGTAGTAGTAGTAGTATTTCTATAGTCCATGGTCCATTAAAACCATTGTTGTTGTTGTGAGATACAGTCACAGGCTGAAAGTAAAATAAATATATTCATATTTTCCAGTTCAGATGTTTAAAATTGTCAAAAAAAACTTGATAATGTGGAGGTCTTCTCTTCCAATGGCTATCATCAACGTTTCCTGGCCGTGGACCTCAGAGTTCCCATGTGTGGATGTAGGGCATGGTTTGTTTCCAATACAAAGCCATCTGTGAGTGTGGAGTCGTTTCAAGATTAAGGCTTTAGACTGAGTTAAATCCAAGTCCTGTATGAGTCTCGGGCCCTCAAGTCCAAGTCTTTTTCCAGTAGTTGAAGTCAAGTTTATATTTGTGCATATTTAACATTGGTGTGACCCATCATCCATTGTGTTACAACGGAACCAACGCAACCAAAGAACCAATCAGGAACGCCTTCTCTGTTCCCACTCCACGCCATATGAGAATTGCTCTAAAACTGAGAGCGATCATGAATAAAATGGGAAAAACTCCTTAACACGGTCCATGTTCTGTACTGTATGTCTCCTTTAAAACCTTAAACCTTTAAAAATTAGTGTCTTGTTTATTGTTGAGACTATGATACAATGTTTCTGTGTGTTTCAGATGTATATATTGAAATGGTCAAATGCAAATATTGTGCTTCACAAATCCTACTTCTGATGGATCAACAATACACGCTCTTACAATAGAGGGATTGTTTGATATATCTCAGTACAATAAAAAATATTTACAGTACAGACCAAAAGTTTGGACACACTTTCTCATTCAGTGAGTGTCCTTTCTTGTCATGACTATTGACTGTAGATTCACACCCAGGCTGTGTAAGGGCTATTTGTCCAATAAGGAGAGTGGTGGGTGCTGGGCCAGATGACCTGGCCTCCACAGTCCCTGGACCTGAACCAATCCAGATGGTTTTGGGGTGAGCTGGACCAGAGAGTGAAGGCAAAAGGGGCAACAAGTGCTCAGCATCTCTGGGAACTCCTTCAAGACTGTTGGAAGACCATTTCAGGTCACTACCTCTTGAAGCGCACCAAGAGAATGACAAGAGTGTGCGAAGCAGTAATCAGAGCAAAAGGTGCAACTTCGAAGAACCTAGAAAATAAGACATATTTTCAGTTGTTTCATACTTTCTTTTTTAGTGCATACATAATTCCTCATGAGTTAATTCATAGTTTTGATGCGTTCAGTGTGAATCTACAATTTTCATAATCATGAAAATAAAACAACTCTTTGAATGAGAAGGTGTGTCCAAACTTTTGGTCTGTACTGTACATTATAACATTAAATTGCTCAAAAGTATCTCAGAGGACTTAACAAAACCGTTGAATTCGCCAACACAGATCAGAGAATACAACAGTTCAAACACAAAAAGAACACATGTGATGGTCCATTGGAGGCAAATGACCAATGTCCATGAATGTTGATAAATGTCCATAACTGTTGTAGAATGTTAAAGTGTCCTGGATCATCACCACAGTCCTTTCTGTTAGAGCCTCTAACAGTCTAACAGACTCCTACATCGGCAAGGAAAAACTCTAATACACTAAAACTCTAAAATAACAATTTATATGCTTCTCATTTAGTATTTTCCATTTTGAGTTTTGTCCTTGGACAAGACACTTAGCCCCACTTCGCTAGAAGCCCCCACTGAAAGATCAAGGCTGCTCCTGTGGACTCACCTCGTGCAGAAGGATGAGAAATGGATTAAGGACAAGAAAATGGCTGGATGGATGGTTCTGTTTCTTGGCAAATTTGTTTTGGCGCCACAGAAATAAAGCCACAGTTTATAGTCCAGAATACACTGTAGTCTTTTGGGACGGTTCCTCTGCCTTTTGATTCATAACATTTAATCGTGTTTGTGTGTGTTTCCTCAGACTGGGCTTCCCCATGATGATTATGACGTGCATGATCGGCATGTGCTACCTGCTGGCTACTCACATCGGACTGGGATGGAACATGTAGAGCGCCCCCTATCTGCAGTGGGACTAATTCATCCTCAACCAAGAAAACCGCAACGGACTTCGAACAAGGAACTTTAGCATCTGCAAATATGTCAAATACTGCCAAGACAATGACATAATCAGACCGATACGATATCTGATATTTGCACTGCAGCACTGGTTGATATTTTACCTCAAATTATGAATCACTGTGGTAAGGATCCTTATTTGTCAACATCCAAAACCCAATGGATTCAGGTGTACCTTTTGCTACACATTCATTCCATTTTCTAACGCTGTCGATGTGAAATAGGACAAAACAGTGTCTTATTTATTCTTGAACCTATAATGCATGAGTTTCCAATGTATGAAACAGTTAAAAACATATTTTAAAACGCCTTATTTTCCTGAAATTGAATCTTATGAGAAACATATATTTTGCATTCTCCTTCCCAAAAGAGTGAGCACAAGAATGATATATTCTGTATTTTTTTTGACAAACACAGAAACTACAGTAAACTTAGATTAATATGTTTATTCAATCGGGAGACTGTAGCTGAGACTTCCACACATTTTGAGACATTCATTACCAACAATAATCGATGATCGAACGTCCTGGATCATCCCCCCTGTCCTTGGACCCTCCTGTACTACTGATATAGATAATATAATGCACAGAGTAATAAACAGAATATATTTTTATTTATTTATAAAAAATGCTGCTGTAGACTTGACTGAATCGTCCCTTTCATTAAAGAAGCATTTCTGTGAACCTTGGCATTTGAGCTGTTTGAAGGATAAAGTGAAGTTAGTTACTTTTCATAAAGAGAGAAAGAAGAACTGTGTACTGAATGTGTACTTGGTGCAGCTCCCCCGACCCAGAAAGGGATTCAGGGGAAGAAAATGGATGGATGGAGAAAGGAGAAACTTCTTGAGGACTGGTTGGACCCACCCCTGCTCACCCGTCCAGCTTCTTGATTGGTCAAAATTAATTCCAATCCATGAGGCCCTTTGTCATTGATTTAAAGGAGCTATACCCGTTTCTGAAAGGTTTGAATGTTTAGCACCACCCCTCAACTCGCTCACGGGCTTCTCATTTCCCCTGCGCTCTCATTCCACGGATCCATCTAGTTTTGTTTGCGATCTATATGCAAACATTAGCATGAGCGCAACTTCTTATAAGCTGTACAACAATCACTGATGAAATGGTACAAAAGCAAAGCACTGCTAACAAAATATATAACTGAAAGATTACCGCTAGTTCCGCGTCCGAATGTAGTCTGACCATGGATAGCTATGTTCATCAGGCTTGATTTCTTCTTTGAAAATGTTTTCGCTTTAGTTCCCACTTCTCTTCTGTGTGTCTCTCCCACAGATGAGTGTCTAACAGTGCCGTTTGGGTTGTTTTGTTGTGTATGCAGTTACAGCCAGAGGAGTTATAGCCAATTCTGCTAACATGATACTGTTTTTAGAAGCGCTGTAGAGGCTAGAGGACGCAGCCTCGTTCTGTGAGTGGAGTAGAGCGGGCATCACGCTAACGTCTCTACTCAGCACTTTTATACGGCCTGAATTCATACACAAGCAGATTTCCTCAATGGGCTACATAGTCCCAGACGTCAAGACAGAAACGGCTGCTTTAAAATCAATTCCAGTTGCACAATGAAATCCATTCATTGATAAAACTTTTGTCAATCTTGCCGATATTTTTCCTTGTAAGAGAACAGTCAGTACAGAAATAGTTATTCAATACATAGTCACATCTATAGAATGGTTTTCTAACACACACACACACCCTTCACTTGAAAGCCTAATAATACTAACTGTTGTCCGTTGTATAACAATATGTCTCGAACTTCACAAATGTAATAAATCCTACTTTTGTCCAGAAACACAGCTCAGAGTTTTGTCAGACCAGTGTGGACACCCAGCAAAAGGGATTTTATAATGTTCAATGATTTCTGATCATTTTGTATTCAGCAAACATCTATTACAATTGTAAACTCCAAACTTCCCAATAACCGACACCAAATTATAATCCAAAACAAAGACACTATTATCATTTTCCCTTTAAACTGCTTAAATTTGTATGTATTGCATATTCCAGTATTTAAGAACCATAAAATCTCTTGGCTTTTCATAACCCTGATACTTTTTTTACATTTCCCTGAACAATAAAGTTCCTGCGGATAAATGAAAAAAACTGTTGTCTCTGATTTATTTCTTCTGTGTTTTCACATTGTCTTCTTAGAGATGGCGCCTCGTACGGTCGACATGGCTCTTTGCTGCTCTCTTTTTCTTTTGTTTTTACTTTTTAACTGCGCATCTGGCTGTTCCTACACCCGTGAGGAACTTATGAACATCCGACCCACCGTTCCCATGGACCTATTGCCTGTTTTCTTGGCATCTGCGGCTGATTTAGTCCATGTTCTAGCCAAAAAAGTGTGGGCCCGTAAAAGGGGAAGGCGCGGAGGCCTGCTCGTGCGTCTTAGGCCTGTTTCACACCGCACGCCGAGCGCAGAGCAGAGCGCCCTTTCCAGCCGAACTACCTCGCGGCGAGCGCATGTATTCAGACTGACGCCGAGCGTGGGCGAAGCGCCTAGACGAGTAGCACGCACAAAAGGAGTAGTATTGTACTCCAAACTAATAAACATGTTGTATATTTACATATGTTGTCTGAAATAACAGGTCAGAAATCAAAATAGCACATGTAGACCTTAAATAAATTGCTAACATTTCCTTATAATGTATCTTATAGCCTATTTTGATTGTCGTTTCATTATCATAGTTAATTATAAGGTGTGGGGAAGGCCTGGATCTCCATGGGGGTTAAGGTTAGGTGTGGGGGCGGCCTGGATCTCCATGTGGGTTAAGGTTAGGTTATAATTATAATATATATATATATATATATATATATATATATCCAAACTCCATAACTACATCATGGAGAAGGCCAAAACGGATGACGTACTCAGTGAATGTCTCAGGCAGTGGCGAGATGAGGAGGTGCTGGAGGAGAGCCCATCATGGGAGAACAAGCCCCTACACGGCATGTACCACCGGAGCATAACAGAAGTGGCTGATCTCAAGAAGTCCTACCAATGGCTAGAAAGGGCTGGCCTACAGGACAGCACAGAGGCACTCATCATGGCTGCACAGGAACAGGCACTGAGCACCAGAGCGATAGAGGCCCAGATATACCACACCAGACAAGACCCAAGGTGTCGGTTGTGCAAAGAGGCACCTGAGACGATCCAACACATAACTGCAGGGTGCAAGATGCTGGCAGGGAAGGCCTACATGGAACGCCATAACCAAGTGGCTGGCATAGTGTACAGAAACATCTGTGGAGAGTATGGGCTGGAAACCCCAAGGTCTAAGTGGGAAACTCCTCCAAAGGTGGTGGAAAATGAGCGTGCGAAGATCCTGTGGGACTTCCAGATACAGACCGACCGAATGGTAATGGCAAACCAACCTGACATCGTGGTGGTAGACAAAGGGCAGAGGACAGCCGTGGTGGTGGACGTGGCAATTCCAAGCGATGGTAACATCCGGAAAAAAGAACATGAAAAGCTTGAGAAATACCAAGGTCTCAGAGAGGAGCTGGAGAGGGCCTGGAGGGTAAAGGTGACAGTAGTGCCCGTGGTGATCGGTGCACTCGGGGCAGTGACCCCGAAGCTAGATGAGTGGTTACAGCGGATCCCCGGAACAACCTCGGACATCTCGGTCCAGAAATGTGCAGTGCTAGGAACAGCAAAGATACTGCGCAGAACCCTCAAGCTCCCTGGCCTCTGGTAGAGGACCCGAGCTTAGAGAGGGATAACCGCCCGCGGAGGGCCAAAGGTGAGTGGACAATTTTTTTTATATATATATATATATATATATATATATATATATATATATATATATATATTATATATATATATATAATATATGTTACAATTATATTTTATGCATAAAAAAACATGGAAAATTGTGTAATTAAAAGAATAAACTTATATGTACTTATGCATTACAATAATGAGATTAGATAAACGTGAAATTGCTTTATAAAAGTTATTTTTTGAATGTTTTCGTGCTGAAAGCCGCTTCGCTGCGCAGCCTACACGCGGAAAAAATGCGCTCGAGTTCCATTTTTGGTTTCAGGAGCGGAGGCGGCAGCGGCGCGCGCCGATTCCCTGCGCGCCGCCTCAGCGCCGGTCTGTACACAGAAGAGCTTTCTCATTTGCACAACAGGACGCGACTTGAAGCGCAGCTTGCGAATGCACGCGAGCGGGTTTCGAAGACGAATTCGTTCACGAATTCGTGTGCGGTGTGAAACAGGAGGAGAGGAGCGCGCACGGCTCTCCCCGGCATTTTTCTCTCCAACGTACGCTCACTGGGCAATAAGATGGACGAACTCAGCCTGCTCATGAGAAGAAACAAGGACTTCGCCACATCCTGTGTCCTCTGCTTCACTGAGACCTGGCTAAATGAGCGGATCCCGGACTGCGCTCTGGAGCTGCAGGGTTTTGGGCTGTTCCGCGCGGATCGCCATTGTGCGCTCTCAGGGAAGAGCAGAGGCGGAGGGCTCTGTTTCTACGTCAATACAAACTGGTGTAACGATGTGACAGTGATCTCCAAGCACTGCTCTCCTGCTCTGGAATATCTTTTCATTCATTGTAAACCATATTACTCCCCGCGCGAAATTGTTTCATTCATTCTTGCCTCTGTTTACATACCGCCATGCGCGGACGCGCGCGAGGCTCAGCGCGCACTTGCAGAGCAAGTACTGTGTATGGAACGCTTATACCCGGACTCTCTGATTATTATCCTGGGGGATTTTAATAAGGGAAACTTGAGCCAGGAATTACCCAAATACAGACAGTTTATCAAATGCCCGACCAGAGAGGAGAACACTCTGGATCATGTTACACCACCGTGCGCGGAGCTTTTCGCGCTGTTTCCAAGCCAGCCCTCGGCTTCTCAGATCACTCCATGATACATCTGGTTCCTGCTTACAGACAGAGACTAAAGCTCTCGAAACCTGCAATGAGGAGCTCCAAAGTGTGGTCTGATGAAGCTGTGGAAGAGCTGCGCGCATGCATGGAATCTACAGACTGGGACCTTTTCAGAGCTGCCACAGATAGTTTGGATGAATATACGGACACTGTGACGTCATCAATTCACTTCTGTGAGGATAGCATCATTCCAACAAGGACCAGGGTCATCTATAACAACGACAAACCCTGGTTCACTGCTAAACTCCGGCAGCTCAGGAAAGCAAAGGAGTCTGCTTTCAGGGAGGGGGACCGCAGCGGCTACAAAGCAGCTAAATATCAGTTCAGGAGAGAACTGAAAGCAGCCAAGTCCCGGCACAAAGAACGACTACAGGAGCAGTTTGGTAACAACGATACTGCTTCTGTCTGGAGGGGCCTACGGGAAATCACCAACTACAAACCCAAAGCCCCCCCCTGTGCTGACGACCACAAGCTAGCTGACGATCTGAACTTATTTTTCAGTCGCTTTGATGCTGCCCCTGACACCTCTCCCTCCCCCACCCCCCACTACTCTAACGACCCACCCATCAGCCCTGCCCCCAGCCTAACAATAGCCGCTAAAGAGATTAAACAACTCTTCCTGAGGCTGCACCCCCGCAAAGCTCCTGGCCCGGACCACGTGTCTCCGGCCACTCTGAGACACTGCACCAGTGAGCTAACTCCTGTGTTCACGGACATTTTCAACACCTCTCTGCAGTCCTGCCATGTCCCGGCCTGCTTCAAATCCTCCATCATTGTCCCCGTCCCGAAGAAGCCCAGGATCACAGGACTCAATGACTACAGACCTGTAGCACTTACGTCTGTTGTCATGAAGTCATTTGAACGCCTGGTCCTCTCCCATCTCAAGTCCCTCACCTCCCCCCTCCTGGACCCCCTGCAGTTCGCCTACAGAGCCAACAGATCTGTAGACGACGCCATTAACCTGGCCCTCCACCACATCCTACAGCACCTGGACTCCCCGGGGACCTACGCCAGGGTCCTGTTCGTGGACTTCAGCTCTGCCTTCAACACAATCCTGCCATCCCTGCTCCAGGACAAGCTCTCCCAGCTCAACGTGCCCGATTCCACCTGCAGGTGGATCACTGACTTCCTGACGGACAGGAGAGCAGCGAGTGCGTCTGGGGAAGAATGTCTCGGACTCTCGGATTATAAATACAGGAGCCCCACAGGGCTGTGTTCTTTCTCCCCTGCTCTTCTCCCTGTACACCAACCACTGCACCTCCAGCCACGACTCCGTGAAGCTGATGATGCTGATGATGGCGCAAGGAAAAAGATTAACCAATGAGACTACAGCAGAGCATCCCGGCCCACCGCCATGATTTCATACGTAATTATAGCTATCATGGGTGGGCGGGATGCCTCTGCTGTCAGGCTCATTGGTTAATCTTTTTCCTTGCTCCATAGCTTGGCCAGCATAGCGTCATGTTGAGATCACATTGGTCTCCCAGCTATAGCCATGTCAGAAACGAAAAAGTAAATATACGAAATCTCAAGCATTCTTCCATATGCAACAATTGCATTGTGTGTGTGTGTGTGGTTTTTTTTTTTTATACATATCCGTAAATTATCCTTTGCTCTGTGTCGCTGTCAGCTCCATTGGGGATGGTAAACCAGGTGTTTTGCATGTTGGACCTCAAGCATATCTGTTGGGACTGCTGTGCTAGTGTTGCCACAGTAACAACTATTAGCTACCATACAAGTCAAGACGCGTGATTGAAAATGGATTCGCTTTGGAGGAAGTTTCTGATGAGCTGAAAAGACTGGCGGAAAGGCAGACGAAGACTGTAGTATTGACTATATGATTTCCGTTTGGATCAATCTTACGTAAAGCCCCGTCCCGGCTATGAAATCCACGCGGGCACATTTAGTATTACTATAAAGTACATAGAGTTCGGTATTACACGTAGCCCTGGCGCACACTGATTCATTACATTAAACATAATCAACAGACAAAAATGACCACTCTACAGCCTAACATCAGTCCCTCGTGGCAAGAACGTCAGAAGCCTAAGCGTCAGTAGGCCTACAGCGTTTCTCCGGAGCTGAGCCTCCGCAGCTACACATCCTTCCACCTCAGAACTTGAACCTAGAGTGAGGTCTTTTCAAAAGCAGCTGAATGTAGCTGGGCCTTGCGGCTGTGCAGAATACTGCGCCCCTGCAACAAAAACTCGTTTCTGATGTGGAAAAACAACCGGACTCTGGGCTGTAGAACGAGCGCCTGTAACCCCATACAACTCCCTCCCCACTCGCGCCACCGTTTGGTACCATGAAAATGGCGCGGTCAGGGCTGTGGCCGCGTCCACTTTTCAGTCGCTCTCTGCCTTCACTGAAAGCCCAGTGTAATAGTGTAAAACCACACTTCGAACGCTGGGTTTCTCGGCGGATACGTCATGCTTTGTAGTAAAATACACACAAGCTCCGTTCACTGCTTGGCCAAAAGCCTCTCACGACCGACAGGGAAATGAGCATATAGAGGCCGACATCGTGACTCTTCAAGCAGATGATGATCGTGAAATAACTCCTCTATCATATCAGTATTTTTTATTTTGTGCCCAGACTACACGGGAGGGAACCTGCCTGAGAAAGAGAGAAGGGATGAATTGCCACGGTCCCCTCGCTCGTGTCATGGGAGGATATAGTTACTTGTTGTGGAGTTTGGGCAGGTCTTCTATTCGGGCAGAAAGAGCAAAAGTAACCCTGCGCATATGATGATACTATCTTTTTTATTTTTCGTTCTGACATGGCTAAGCGAGAACACAGTGAGCCTCAACATGGACCGCCTATGCTGGACAAAAAGCCTATGGAGCATGAAAAATGATTATCCATTGAGCTTACAGCATAGGCATCCCGGCCCACCCCATGATTTGCATATCATTAAGAGAAATAAGGAAATAAATAATTAATTGAGAAATATATAAATAAATTACAAAAATAATTATAAATAAATAAATACAAAAATACTAATAAATAAATAAATAAATTAATACAGAAATAATGCACTTATTCTCATAATGGCATGCTGTCCCTTTGCAAATTTTATCTTTTTTAAATTCTGTAATTTAATTTATTATTTCTGTAATATATTTATTGTTGTTGGCAGCCATGGCCTTCCATACTGAAGATCCTCTTGTGCCGGGGGTTTCCGGCGGTACAATGAAATAAAACTGCTCACCTCGCTGACAGAGACCTACAGCTTCCCCATAAGGTCGATTTTTTGTGGGATTTTAGTGTCCCTTGTCATCCTGAACTTTTTTTCCTCTAAATCCTTCGGTTTGTTTAATCCTGGCACTTTTGTCCCACAAACTCTGCCTTTGTGGGTGAACTGCTCTGATTGGTCAGAGCGCAACCTAAAGGGAAGATCGCAGGGCGAACCACAACCACAAGACTTTCCCACCTTTTTTGTATTTTAATTATTATTATCATTATCATTATTATTATATACATGTTTATATCTGTTTCAATCTTTCAATCTTTTTATTTATGAATTATCCATATTATTATTATTCTTTATGGAATCTTTTCCTTTGCCATATAATTGTTGCCTTGTTATGTTTTTTAATTATGAAGTTTACTTTTGACCAGTTGAACTCTAAAGGCAAGAACTCAAAAATATAGTATCAAGAAGCCCTTTACAACAAGAATCACCTCACACACTGAAATAAAAGGATAGAATATGAGGTAATATAGGTAATAAATGGTTTTACATGTCTGACTGTCATAAAACAAGATTTGCCAATGCCTGGTTAGTACTATGACGGGAAACCTCTGGCAACACCAGCCGCAGGGGCGGCTGTAAAGTGCCAAATTTTAGCTGTGTCCTTAGACAAGACACTTCATCCACATTAGAATGAGTCTGGTGTGAGAATGGCTGGTGTGGTGGGAAGGGCTGATGGCACATACTGGTGTGCAGGGCAGCTATAAATATTGTAGGATATCACCACTGTCTATGGAGTGAATGTATACAGCTGTGAAGAGTCTTTGGCCCTGTCCACACGAAGTCAAGCTCAGGCCTAAACGCAAAAATACTTTATCAATCCAGTGTATCGTCCATACGAGGCCGGCGTTTTGGGGGGGTGTAAACGAACATTTTTGAAACTAGGTCCCAGAGTGGAAAGATTTCAAAACTCCGTATATGCCGCTCCGTGGTTACTGCCTCTCCGCAATGTATCTGAGACGCTTGCGTCATCGCCCCGCCTATTGTTAAAGCACGCATGCGCCGCACTCAGAAAATAATGACAACAACAATGTAGCTTGTTGGTTTTGTAATCCAGTGTGACCCGAAGCAACAGTTCAACCTCATCGTCCGCCCATACTAATGTAGTACCAGCTCGCCCACTCGCCATGTTGTCTGTTTACAAAATTCCGCGCATGCCCACGGAAGTTTGGGCTTGATCCCGTCATTGCGTCACAGCGCCACCAGCAGGTCTGGCATAGTTTCACAGCGTTTTCAGGCGTATTGACTACATTCATATGGACGCACACATTTACTGAGCTAACTCCGTGTTTACAGAAAAAGTTTCTGAAATTATAAGCGTTTTGTCTTCGTGTGGATATAGCCTTTGAGTGTACTGTAGGTCCTCCGAGACGGCTGCTGTTGTGAATTCCGGATAAACCTAAATAAATTCAATTGGATGAAACCACTTTTCTCCCCCGTCACAATATGCCGTGTTTTTATTGGTCCTTCTGAGACATACCTCCCAGACAGGCTCCCATGGCCAGAGCAAAGATGAGTGGCTTCACTGGCAGGTTCACGTCTGCGTCCTGACTCAGGTTTATGAGGACTGGGATCTGGAGTTACAAAAGAACATTGTTAGAAGTGTGTGGTGAGGGGTTTTACAGCCTTAAAACGGTGTCCACTGGCACTTTACTTCACTCACCTGTGCAATTATAACTTTAATTAAAGCCGCATGCGGCAATGAAAGGCCTCGCCCCTCTTGCGACCGCTTCCTGGGCGCCAGTCCCACAAGCGTCACGCCGCAGCAATTGGCAGCCCGATCTGACCAGGATTACGTATATAAAAGCTCATTAATATGATCAAGTGCGCCCCTAGTGGTCACCTCCGGGACATGCACCCTCTACGTAGAGTAGTATTTTGCTCGTACAGAAGTAAAGATTTGATTTTGCAACTTTGGTGAAGATTGGAAAAGTTTAGGTCAGAAGCCTTCCATAGGTGGCGCTGTAGAGTCATATTAGGTGTGTGTTTTCACACCAATACTCTCAGGCCATTGCCAACTGTTAGTGATGTGAGTTTTAGTTCTGTAGGTCTGAGCCTGTGGTCAGGAGAGCATCAAACATGGAGAAATTGCCCGGGCCTTGTTCTTGCCAGTGAGATGGCTTCTTAGGACCTGCCTTACCGCTGGAGATATTTGGCAGTTGCCGCTTTCCTCGTCACCTGTTCGAGGTTGCCATTTGCTTATGGTATACCGAGATACTTGTAGCTGTCCTCAACATCTTCTATCGTTCCCTCTGGGAGTGAGATCCCTTCTGTGTGGACTACCTTGCCTGCTACATCCTGCTACATTTCTCGAGTCCAAATGACATCCCGATGTCATGGCTGTAGATCCTGGTGGTTTGGATCAGAGAGTCGATGTCTCTCTCGCTCTTGGCGTACAGCTTGACGTCATCCATGTAGAGCAGGTGACTGATCTTTGCTCCGTTCCTGAGGCTGTATCCATAGCCAGTCTGGTCGATTATTTGGCTCAGAGGGTTCAGGCCTATGCTCTCCACGGTGTTGGCAAAGAACTGCTTCCCCTTCCTGACGGACGGTTTTCCAGAATCTCTTTGAGGCCAACCGATAGTCATGTTCCATGAACTCTCCCATTATCAGGTTATTGCCTCGATATCAGCACGTGCAGCTGCCACAGGAGTGCCCCGAACCATCATGGCTTGATAGGACTCTTTCTTCAGCCTGACGGCATCCCTTACTACCTGTGTCCACCACCGGGTTCAGGGGTTGCCGCCGGGGACCAGCACTAGGGACCTTGAGACCACAGCTACGAGCTTCCGCATTGGCGATAGAAGTGGAGAACATGGTCCATGTTCGTCCCTCTCTTCACCCGAGTGTCAGAGACACACAACCGAAGGTCAGATGATACGACGACAAACCTCTGGCCTAGGGTGTCCTAGTGCCACGTGCACTGGTGGACACCCTTGTGCTCGAACATGGTGTTCGTGATGGACAAACTTGGAATAGCACAGAAGTCCAACAACTGAACACCTCTCGGGTTCAGATAAGGGGGACCGTTAAACTATGAATTTTCATGACCAACTACCGAGCCTCATTAACCAGTTGAAACCGGTTAACCGCGTAGTTTAAAATATTCTACATTCTTTGAAATAACAGCCATTTCGAGCCGCGTACTTTTCATAAGTGCAGCTATGTGTTCTACTGGATCAGAGCCGAGACAGCGGACCGACACACAGCTTTGGCACCTTTGCGCACAGAGAACTGCTTTTTTAATCTTACCATTCTTCTGTGCATGACCCAGGACAACAAAGGAGTCCCCGGTCGGTTCCCTGTCCAGTACCCCTCCCAAGGACACCAAGAAGGCTAAGTACTCTGCCCTGCTGCAGGCACCACTGTATTACAATCTAAATATCAGTAACAACTGACCTTCCGGTTCTCATCACTACAATTTATATTCATCTCACCATGGTGGCAGTGAAGGGGATGTTGTCGATGAGAGACGAGGCCAGCGCAGAGACCCACATGACCAGAATTATGGCGATGGCCAGTCTTTGATCCTCTGGCACCGCCTTAAAACATAGACACATATATTTAAAGCCTCCACATGAACCACCGTGTTTGAAAGCTCACTTGCTAGAAATAATCAAACCTTTATAAGCAGCGCAGTCTGTTCTCCTATGTAGTCGATGAGCTGGAGCTGAGCCAAAGCCTGGACAAGAAACACAACAATTACTGTAAGTAAGTCATCTTTATGTATATCGCACCTTGCACACATCAGAGACACAAAGTTCTTTAAAATTGTTGTGGCCATTTTTCTCTCACTCAACACAGAGACGGAAGCTGAGTCGCCGTACAGGAGACGCATGCCAGACCTATTGTACATATTTCTAGTGGTGGGGAAACTGGAGCACCCAGCAGACACGAGGAGAACATGCAAACTCAATACAGAAAGGGCTGGAGGTGGAATTGAATCTTGAACCTTCTTGCTATGAGGCACAAGTACTAACCACTGAGACTTTTCTCTTGTTGTTTGATCCCTGCGGGCTTATATAGCTTTGCAGTTAATATGTTAATTTTTATTGTGGTAGAGTCAGAGCAGAGTTTATGTACTTATTATTTTGACTTCATCAAGTTTTAGTAGCTGCAGGACACTGGTCATTTGTAAAAACAGATGACGGTGAATGAGTGATGACGCTAACGGTGAAGCTAGCACCTCATCATTAAATCCTGCTGCAGCTACATTCAACAAGGCTTAAATTCAAGTGCGGCCTATATGTGAACAACACTGATTTTCCTTTTAAAATGTATGCAGTGCGGCTTATATACAGGTGCACCTTATAGTCCAGTAACATTACTCAGACGCATCACCTCCATCAGGACGAACAAGCCGGCGAAGAAGAGCAGTGTGGCCCACTCCACTCGGTGAAGGATAATCTCGAAATCCTGGATATCGGCCAGAACCAGGAGCCACAGAGCCCCCAACACTGCAATCCACCCTGAGGAGAGAGAGAACACATGTTTGTCTATGAAATATGCAAAACTTCTGTCAAATCATGCTCTGTTAATAATTAATTTAAAACAGTCCGGCGTTCAATTAGAAGAGGAAATGAGAAAACACTGTATATTCTATTTGTTTTGATACAATAGTGTTATTCCATTAGCAGAGACACACACATATGGAAGAACCAAATGCATTCTTCTCTGGTCAACAAGCAAGAATACTCTCAAACAAACTACACTGTGAAAAAAAGAATGAATGTTTGGGTGATGGACAGACGAATTTGATGTTTGGACTCCGCATTCTAAGGGCTGCTCCACGTCAACAGTAAAATTAGCCTTTTAGTATGAATGGTGTGGGTTTTTTTGTATTGTGGCTTTTTAATTTATTCTCGAACTCTTCTACTCTGTGCTTTTTTATAGCCCCTTTGGAAAAAAGTGTTTTGAATCAAAATTAATTGAATTTGAGAGTGTGTGTGTGTGTGTATGTCTATCTCTGTGTATCTCTCTGTGTCTCTCACTGTGTCTCTATCTGACAAGTGAATCAAACTTCATCCTGTAGTATAAAACTACAAGAAGAGAGAATTGTGAAATATATGACTAACACTCAGACACAGAAAGTTCAGACAATTCTATGGATGTAATAATGAGATATGAGCCAGCTCAAAACAAAGACTAAGGGTTATTTCTCCATTTAATTAGCGTCTAAGTTACTAAATTAATTGCGGGCTCTTTTGTATCAGCCGATGAGATCTTCGTCTGATAAATGCAATAAGACACGAGCAAAGAAAAGTAATTATGCAGCAGTTTTATATATTTTAGTCTGGAGAAAGTAGCTCTCTCCTATAGGACTTATGCCACCTCTGCAATTACCTTAACTTGGCACTATGATCCATGGGAGCCTCATGAATGAAAGTGACGTATGCTAAAGGCCGTATCCATGTAATTTGCGCTTGGCTTTTGTTACTGAAACTGTTATTTGGTCCGATTCAGACACAAGAACAGAGGAAGCAATTCTCATAATAATTACACGACAGAGCGAGAAGGACCAGAGGACTGTGTCGAACAATAGCAGTAATGAGAGACCACATCAATACAATCACAATTATGTGCTTTAGTTTTTGATAAAAGACCAATTAATACTTCTTTGGTGATGAAAATAAAGCTGAGAATGTGTATTGGTCACGTAACTCATTGGAGAAATTTAAGGATTTAAATCCAGAGGCGGCGCTAGCGTTCGGAAAGCTTAGTTCACCGCACACGTGAGATCAATTCTTTTTTTTTGTTATAATGTTGATCATCAGAATTTTTGTTTTAAAACATTTGCTCACAGCGTTTAAAAAAAAACAAAGGCTTGGCATGTTTCACGAGCCAAGTAGAGTACAGTCCAGTACAGTATAGTAGATTAGAGTACAGTAAAGTAGGACAGGGCAGGGTATAGAGTAGAAAAGAGTGAAGCAGAGTAGAGTAGACCCAAGTAGAGTAAAGTAGAGTACAGCAGAGTACAGTAGTAGAGTAGAGTACAGTACAGTACAGTACAGTAGAGTACAGTAGGATACAGTAGAGCAGAGTAGGACCAAGTAGGGCTGGTGGAGACAGGGCTCACATCATAGCAGCACAGAAAAATATTAACTTTTAAATGTTTGTCTAACTTGACTCCGATGTTCTAACTTGTCTGAATACAACACGCAAGTTCTCAATATGTTCCAATAATTCTCATAGTTTCCCTTGTGAGTGAGACTTACCCAGATCCAGGTGAATGCTGGGGATGAAGGAGTTGAGGAAGAAGATGAAGATGACCACGCTGAGCACAGAGACACACTTCACCAGTAGAACCTTGTCTGTGATTTTGTGCTGGAACCAAAGAGAAACAGTTTGATTGGACCAGGACTGGGACCAGGACAAGGGCCGGGACCAGGACCGGGACCAGGGCCAGGACAGATCTGGAGCAGTACCTTCTTCTGCAGCTCCTGAATGTTCTGCTCCCAGTTTTTGTCCTCTTGAGAGATTTGGCTGTAGGGAAGAAGTTTGGAGGAAATATTTGGATCACAAAACAAGACATTGAGTGTGTGTAGCAGTTGAAATAATCCGCCATTTTCTTATTTTTGGGGAGAATATCAAACAAGAAAGCAATAACTTTGGAATCACAACAAAGTCACTCTTAAAACTGTTTTGTTCCATTTCTAGATTTCACATTTATGTACAAAAAAAAAAAAAAAACATAAATGCTTCCACTCACTCTTAGATCTTGTGTGGAGCCATATATTGTCAAAATAGCATGTTTTCTATTTCCAAATTACAGTACTTGCCAGACCAGTATCCAGAGAAATTCCTTGGTAACCATGGTTTCCAGCAGCACTCCATTCTCTGCCCATTCACTGTCAGTTAGAACACTTTAGCTCGGCCTGGAGAGAACCAGGACCAAGAGGGACTAAAGAAGGACCTGGTACTGGTTGGACAGGGCCGGTGGGAACACTCTCAATCAGGGGAGAGTAGAGTAGGGTAGAGTAGAGTAGATACAGCGAGTAAGGGCCAAGTAGGACTGGTGGAAACGGGGCAATATACTGTATGTTAAAGTCGATATCAGAATAGCAGTTTTATCATAACGCAAAAATTTAAAAGACATGTTTTTGACAATCAATGGTTTCATACTAAATCACTAAAACACATATCGGCAACAATAACACAACAAATCCATATGTTCCAATGTGATGTTATTAAAAAATGGCAAATCAAGTGAATCTGAAAAGAGAGGTGTTCGTAAGTGTTCTCCCTGAGTCTTAGAGTGTTTTAGATGATTCTAGATTAGCAGACATCCGTCCTCTCTCTCCTCTCACCTGTGGAAGCTTCTCGTCAGTTTGCGGAGCAGGTTTTCCAGATTGAGCACTTTCTGCATCAGGAGACATTTCACCGCCGTCTCCTCGCGACTCGCCGGATTGATGCGCTGAGCCGTCTGTCTCCAAACCAGGATCTCGTGCTTCAGTTCTAAAAAGCACGTTCACAGACATCAAACACACACTCATTCACCCCGAACTGCTGCACATGCTTTTAGTTGTAAGGGAAACCGGAGAGCTGGGAGCAGGTCAAAAAAACTCAAATGAAACTAAAATGATTTTCAATGATTATTATTATTATTATTAACTTGCAGCATTGATGGTGATTGGCAACCAACTGCAAAAAGTGTTGAGAAAAAAGTCAAAAATGGTTAAAATATGGCAAAATGTATCTTCATTTGAGCACATTTAACAAGATTTGCCAATGGGAAAAGCCAACTTATCTTGTTTTGAAAAGATACAATGTCAATGTCACCCACAAAATAGAAGAAAAATAGAGAAAATGTTGGCTTTGTCCCATTGGCCAATCTTTAAGGCAGAATGCACTCAAATTAAGATAAAAACCATCGATTCAAGCAATTTTTTGCAGTGAAGGAATCTCATGCATAAACTTTTCTCAACAACCACGAAATAACAGTGAAACTCATGTCACATAAAATGGATGTCAAAAAACCATCATAATGTAAAAAACAATTACAAAAATAAAAAAAATAAAAAAAACAGTTCCTATTTTTTTATTTGGCCCCTGACCCAAATGAGTTTGACACCCACGGCTTAAAGGAAACCAGAGCACCTGCAGACGCAGTTAGCATTTTTACCTTAACTGGTCGGGACTCAAATCACTATTCGGTCGTTATGATTATTTTAAATCAACATGTAAGAATCCATCCATCCATCCATCCATTTTCTTCCGCTTTATCCGTTACCGGGTCGCGGGGGCAGCAGTCTAAGCAGAGACGCCCAGACTTCCCTATCCACACACACTTCCTCCAGCTCGTCCGGGGGGACCCCCAAGGCGCTCCCAGGCCAGCTGAGAGACATAGTCCCTCCAGCGTGTCCTGGGTCTTCCCCGGGGCCTCCTCCCGGTGGGACGTGCCCGGAACACCTCCCCAGGGAGGCGTCCAGAAGGCATCCGGAACAGATGCCCGAGCCACCTCAACTGGTTCCTCTCGACGTGGAGAAGCAGCGGCTCTACTCCGAGCTCCTCCCGTGTGACTGAGCTCCTCACCCTATCTCTAAGGGAACATGTAAGAACTTTTGGAAAATGTCTCAGAATGTCTCAGAATGTTGAAGGCTGAAGTCCATCCATCCATTTTCTTCCCCTTAATCCATTTCTGGGTCGGGGGGGGTGGCAGTCAGAGCTGCACCCAGTCACAGAGCACCAGCCCCTCACTGATCCTTCTGCAGGTGGTGAGTCCACAGGAGCTGAGATCTTTCAGTGGGAGCTTCAGGCAAAGTGGGGTTAAGTGTCTTGCCCAAGGACACAACGACAGCAGTCATCAGTGGGAGTCGTGTAAGGCTGAAGTCCTTGAGTGAAATATTACAATGTAACCTCAAGCTCAAGCTGCAGATTTTTATACCATTTTTCTCCTTTTTGTTTTTTGTGGAAGAACATGAATGAATGAATGAATGAATGAACATTAAACTATGAAGCAATGAACATGAAAGCAGTGCAGTCTTTTCAGTCTGTAAACCGACAATATACATAGATAAAAAACATACAATCAGTGCGTAAGGAGAGGGTGCTGGTGCCAAGGGACATCGGTCACCAGAGAAAAAAAAACAAAAAAAAACGTTTGTACTTAAACCAGAGCACAATAAATATACAAAATACACAAACATAGCAAAGGATGGAAGTAAATAAAGAATGTTTCAAAGACTGTTTTAGTTTTGGGTGATGAGAAAGATAAGATAAACTCGTCCCACGGTAGGAAAATGTCAATAAAACATAGATATATATTAAGTTTGCTTGCACGTCACACACACTCATACATAACGGCAAAGTGGTCCAAGCAACACACTAAAGTAGAAGTGATTTGAGTAGATTCTGATCAGGCCCAGCACGTTCTGTGTGTGACAGTGAAAGGATCAGAAGGAGCGGGGCCATATTGACTGAGGAACTGTGTGGATTTCTCACATAGAAGCTGAGAAGAGACTGTCTTCACCTTGTGCTGTATTAGTGAGTGTTACAGGGAAAAATCAAAATGTCTGCGAGTAATGTCATGTCTGATATAGCATCGTGTCCCATCCGACGAAACTGCCAGACTGTAAGCTGCTACTTTTCAAGATCTTTAATAAAAATAAAAAGAATAATGAGCTAGTTCAGTGTTTTATCCAGGACCTACTCGTTATTTTGATTTGGAAACTGGACCAAACAGAGATTCCAAATCACTACTGCACTTCTGTCTTGTGTTTTTTCCCTGTAATATTCCACTTTATTTTTTAAACTTTTTGTAAAGGTCAGTGCATTAAAATATGTTGTGACCAGTTAAAACTGTTGTCCATCGGCTTTGTTTTTTTTTGGCTTTATCTGTTGGTAAAGTTACATTAAAACATTAGCATTACAACACAAAAACCTCTGGCTTGGATTTAAATTTTAGTTCAGCAAGTACTGTTTTTTTGTGAGAATAGAAAGTAGCTTCATAAGGATAAGTTCTGAGTTATATCAACAGATTTACCAGTAAAAGTTTCTGTAATTGAATTGTGTTTCATTTAAAGCTGCACTAACTGACTTTATTTTCGTATTAATTACGAAAATGCTATCCATGTCCATGTAGTGCATTGGGATATACGTCCTTTTGAAGAAAAAGTAGCGCAGATTTGTGCTGGCGTGACATTATATTTTCGATCGAGTTTTGATGAAACAAGGAAGAGAATGTGTTTCGGGTCGCAGATTGTGACCAATCACAACGGACCACTGACCCCCACTTTCGTGAGAAATCTACAGGTCCGTTAGCATAGACAGCTGAGTTAGCACAACAAGCGGCGGAGCTAACCTGAAACTTTCTCGTCTTCGTCACCGGTTACTGCTTACACAGCGAAACAGCCATCCAAAAGAAAGTCTCGTTCCTCCGCGCTTCCCGGTTCTATCGTTCTATGGTCACGCCATCCACGTGAAAATCCATATCCATGTATTATCCATATTGGGAGAGGCTAGCTCCGTCTCAACACTGTGTGTGTGTGGGGGGCGATAGCTTCGTGGGTGCGGGGAGGGGAGCAGAAAGAGCGAGGCCAGCGAGTCCGCGGCTTCAAAATCCCAAAGTCAGTTAGTGCAGCTTTAATAATGGATGAGTGTGAATATCAATACAGTATCTCATTTATAGAGAACCAAAAGTCTGAATGTGCTAAAGTCCTGAGAAACTACTTCTGGACAAACTCACCAACGATCTCAATGGATTCCTTGTTGTAGAGTTTTTTGTTCCAGTAAAGGATCCGGAGAAACGGGAACGAGGACAGAAGCACCAGGCACATTCCCAGGAACATGTAACCGGTGAAGCTGGCAAAATCAATCCCCTGGAAACAGAAATATACACGTCAGTCAGAGATGGACTAATACAGAGAGGCATCAGTGCCTCCTTTTAAATCACTTCTTTACCCTTTATTATTAAATGTTCCTCTGATGTTTTACCGTTCTACAATGTCTTTGTTTTGTCTGTCTTGTTCTGTTCCCTCTGTCCACTTTCTCATCATGACTTATTGTTTTATTGTTTTTGAAAAGTACAATACAATTAAATGTGTAGTATTATTATTATTATCATTATCATTGTTAATAATAATAATATTATTATTATTATTATTATTATTATTATCTTTGGGTTTCACCTCTCCCTGACACAATCTCCTGAGTATGCAAATAGCAACATGGGCCACACTCCTCCTCCTCCTCCTGTCTTCCTGAGGAGCCAGAGTGAGGACAGCTCAGCGGGACACAGAAAGACTGCAGACCCCTGAGGGCCAAATGTCAGCGTCAAGACTCCGCACTCGAACAGATTCAACACTATGACCGTCTGATCTGAAGAAGTTAATTGGATACAGAGAAACACAGACTGTGCAACTTTTACTGATGTGTAGTAGAATGTGTGTCCTCGTACATCTGTGCCATATGCACCAACTCGGACTCTGAGGAGCACAGGGACTGGCCTGCTTGTCCCAGAGACAGGACTAAACATGGGGAGGTAGAATTTCAGATTCCATTTCCATCCATCCATTTTCTACCCCTTCATCCATTTCTGGGTCGGGGGTATGGCAATCAGTGATGCCACCCAAGTCATATAGCACCAGCCCCTCACTGATCCTCCTGCAAGTGGTGAATCCACAGGAGGATGGCTGCTCTGTCAGTGAGAGCATAGCCTTGGTCTTTCAGTGGGCAAAGTGGGGTTAAGTGTCTTGCCCAAGGACACAACAACAGCATACATCAGTGGGAGTCGGTGGAGAAGGTCTCATGGTGGGTTTGAACCCACAACCTTCAGGCTCAAAGGCCAATGCTCTACCAACTGAGCCACTGTCGCCCTATTTCAGATTCATGCAACTAAAATCTGGAAAAGTCTTCCAGAAAAAAATTTACAACGGGGTCTACTTTGACAATGTGCGTGTGTGTGTGTGTGTGTGCGTTAGCGCGTGTGTGTACTTGTCTGCGCAGATCCTGGTTGGACACGATGATGACGTTGGGAGGGTCTCCGACAGCTGTGGCCGCTCCTCCGATGTTGGTGAAGATTACCTCCGCAATCAGGACGTGCCTGGGGTCCAGATTAAGCACTTCACACAACCTGAAATATCAGATCACAGGGGCCTTTAAGGATTTAGGATTAAAGGAAACAAGAATAAATGTATCTGCAAACAGGATATTGGAAAATGGACAGTCTCTAACAAATATTATTTTTGAGGAGTTCATTTGAGTACAGCCTCAGTCCTGGATCTACAGCCTCAGTCCTGGATCTACAGCCTCAGTCCTGGATCTACAGCATGAGTCCTGGATCTACAGCCTCAGTCCTGGATCTACAGCCTCAGTCCTGGATCTACAGCCTCAGTCCTGGATGTACAGCCTCAGTCCTGGATCTACAGCCTCAGTCCTGGATGTACAGCCTCAGTCCTGGATCTACAGCCTCAGTCCTGGATCTACAGCATGAGTCCTGGATCTACAGCCTCAGTCCTTGATCAGCAACCTCAGAACGTGTATTTGTTCTAATAAAACCTTTACTGATCTTTTTCACAAAAATGTTCCTCATAAAACACAGACCTGGAGTTGTTTTTAGATCCATCCACGCTAATATCTAAAAGCAGTGTTCTCGAACACTTTACCTGATGGTGACTGGAGTGAAGAGCATCATTGTCGTCACATTGTCCAGAAACGCTGAGAGAATGGCGGCGATGAGACACAAGATCATAATCATGGGCCACACTCTGCCTCTGGACAACTGATAGGCCTGAGGAGGACAGAGAAGTCATGAGGAAAGTCAAGGACCACGGGAGAGAAGACGAGAGCTGTGAGGCTGAGAGGAGAGAAAGGACGGACTATGCATTCAAACTTTACTGTTTTAATGTCTTGGTCCAGGACACTCAACTTTCAACAGTATTAATGGACATTTATCAACATTTATGGACATTGGTCATCTGCCCTTTATGGACCAATGGCTCTATGTGTTTTGTATCATTGCACTTGTTGTGTTTAAACTGTTTGAGTCTCTGATCTATGGAAGACTATTGGCACCTTAATTCAATTATCTATTCATTTGTCAAATGGCTATGCATTATGTTATTTTAGTATTTATTTTGTATTTGTATTTGTCAAAGTGTAATGTTATATCCAATTTTGACATTTAATGTTCTATTCCAAAAGTTCTAATGGCAATTCAATATGTAAAGTGTCGATACAATGTCTTTATATATTGCAAATTACAAGATTTTGAAATGAATAGCATATTGACATGGAAATTTGGCCTCTTTATTCATTGTTCTATTCATTCTTAACATGGCATTTAGTTTAGAGTTGTATTTGGCAAAATTGCATGTTATATCCTATTTTGACTTGTATTCCACATTTGAGTATGTTAAGTTTCATTTAATGTGTTGTGAAACAGCACCTCCCTCTGGATTGCATTTCATATTGCATATTGCATTGCCACATGGTTTGAGTGCAACTAATTAATATAATACATCCATGGTGCAACTTAATTCAATATGCTATGCAGTTCTTAACCCCTGGGAAGGCGGGCCCTGGTCCGCTCTCGGCCAATCAGAGACGAGTCTACATCCTCCTAGCTAGATGCGCTGTGTTGTTGATTTTTGCTGGAAGTAAATGCTGTTACTGTATGACGGAAGCCCCAACTGAAAGATCTCAGCTCCTGTGGACTCACCACCTGCAGGAGGATCAGTGAGGGGCTGGTGCTCTGTGTACTGGGTGCAGCTCTGACTGCCACCCCCCCCGACCCAGAAATGGATTAAGGGGAAGAAAATGGATGGATGGATTGGAAGTAACAGATCACCCTTCATGAAGATTCCAAGTTACTCTAAGGAGGTTCTGTGTAAGTATAGAAATGTGTTTGTTAAAATAACAGTAGTTTTTTTTTTTTTTTTTAGAAAACACTACTGGCTAGCTACATAGAACCTCCTTAGAGTAACTTGGAATCTTCATGAAGGGTGATCTGTTACTTCCAATCCGTCATAACAGCATTTACTTCCAGCAAAAATCAACAACACAGCGCATCTAGCTAGGAGGATATAGACTCGTCTCTGATTGGCCGAGAGCGGACCAGGGCCCGCCTTCCCAGGGGTCAAGAACTGCATAGCATATTGAATTAAGTTGCACTCAAACCATGTGGCAATGCAATATGCAATATGCAATACAATCCAGAGGGATGTGCTGTTTCACAACACATTAAATGAAACTTAACATACTCAAATGTGGAATACAAGTCAAAATAGGATATAACATGCAATTTTGCCAAATACAACTCTAAACTAAATGCCATGTTAAGAATGAATAGAACAATGAATAAAGAGGCCAAATTTCCATGTCAATATGCTATTCATTTCAAAATCTTGTAATTTGCAATATATAAAGACATTGTATCGACACTTTACATATTGAATTGCCATTAGAACTTTTGGAATAGAACATTAAATATATATATTTGTATATAAATATAACATTACACTTTGACAAATACAAATACTAAATAAATACTAAAATAACATAATGCATAGCCATTTGACAAATGAATAGATAATTGAATTAAGGTGCCAATAGTCTTCCATACTGATCTGTGTTGGCAAATTCATCGGTTTTGATCCAGGTCATAAACATTTATAGACAGTGGTCATCCCGCTCCCTATAGCACAAAAAGCTAGATATTAGACACAGGCATTCTTACAATAACACAAGTTTGATTCTCTGGTTTGAAGCATTTGAACATATTCGGTGAACAATATTCCCTTTGTGTGAAGCTAACAGCTTGGTAGAAATGCAGCATCTTCCAAGGACATTGTATTGCTACTGTGTGGAAATGATAGATCTCTGCAGACTGCATTAGCAGCTAAGACGAAGGAAGACTCTCTTTCTGGTTTATTGTTCAGTGCTTCCATCAGCAAACCAGATTGAGAGTAAGTAGGTAAGTAAGAAAGTTTTATTTATATAAAGCATTATACAGCACAAGGTCACTCAAAGCGCTTTACAATGTTCAGAAATGAGTTATTTTTCCATTCAAACATGGTGATAATGAAAGCAAGACGTCGAACACACTCGTACAATACAATATATTACAATTTATTCTTGTATAGCCCTAAATCACAACAGTAGTCGTCTCAGAGGACTTAACAAAACCATTGAAATCACCAACACAGATCAGAAAATCAACAGTTAAAACCCAAAAAGAATATAGAACACATGTTGATACATGTCCATACATGTTGTAGAATGTAAAAGTGTCCTGGATCATCACCACAGTCCTTCTAGTTGGACACTAACTGCCCAACAGACCCTCCTGCATCGGCGAGGAAAAAACTCATCAGGAAAACCCAAGAAAAAATAAGAAAAATGGTTGGTGTAGAAAGGTGCATCAAAGCCCCATTCAACACCATCCATTCACTCACTCAATACATTCAGATCTATAGTACATGTTTTTGAGTGGTAGGGGAAAATGGAGCATCCGGAGGAAACCTACGCAGACACTGGGAGAACATATAAACTCCACTCAGAAAGGCCCTGTTCCGACTGGGATTTGAACCCAGGACCTTCTTGAGAGTGCTATCCACTCAGCCACTGTGCCGAAAGGAAACTAAACAAGTGAGAACTTCTTTCCCTCGACACTTGATTCTGATCCGATGTTGACAAATCAACAACTTTGTAATGTCCTTTGAGACGACTGTTGTTGCATTTTCGGACCGTACAAAAATAAAACAGAATTGAATTGAAATGAATGATGCACAGCCTGCTTTACAGCTTCAGCAAATGCTTCGTCGGCAGCTGATTCCAAGCAAAAAAACACTATGACTGTAAGTGAAAGCAATGACCTACTTATGTGTCCTGCCCTTGTACAATGATGACACCTTCTCAGTTTGATGCGGTATATTTTGAGCGCAATCATCAACATAAAAGCTTTTAGATTGTATTTTTTTCAGCTCATAAAAAAACCTTATGACAGAACTTCATGAAATATAGACAAATATTAAGTACGCAATCTATCTGAGAAGCACAAATAACTTTTCGTCTGTCAACAGAGGTGAACAGTCAAAAGGGCTCGAAAAAGATTCTGTCTGTATATTTTGTATCTTATGTCATATTTTTGTCAAAGCAGAACCACAGTCTTGAATGACAGCGACCTCACCTTCACCGCGCAGTAGTCAAAGAATCCAGTGTCAGAGAAGATGGCAACAAGAATCATCTGGAAGGAAAGTAATAAATAAATCATTTTAACTGCAGATTATACAGACAGCCACAGAAGAAATAGGCACAGGCGTCAATGTATATAAATATTACAACTGCTGTGAATGCTGAAAGATCAAGGTTATGCCATAGAGCGGCCGCATCCTCTTACGGACTCACCACCTGCAGGAGGATCAGTGAGGGGCTGGTGCTATGTGTGCTGTGTGGCATCTCTGGCCACCCCCCCGACCCAGAAATGGATTAAGGAGTAGAAAATGGATGGATGGATACTATGAATGCGCTGGAAACTGCAGCACTCTGAAACAGCTGTTGTTTTGTGTTTTACAATCGTCTTTTTTCCATCTGTAAATGTTACTGTAGCAGAGTTCATGGTTTTACACTGATCCAGACCAGAGCAGAGAAGATGCACGGTCCAAACCAAGCAGATATCCACTGGAGGAATGCTAACTTTTGCTTATAAATGCTAATAACACATTCAGAAGTTCACTCTGATTCAGAGCAGGAAAATGGTCCGAACCAGCCAGACTCTGCATACAGAGGAGAGGAAGCAGCTCGTCACCAGCGGCTCCACCTCTGCTGCTGTGAGCTAAAGAGCTGTTGAACTTTAATACTTTTGTTAGTAACTTTTGGAATGATGTATTTGTTTGTGTGGATGGACGTGTTTCTGCTGCTGGACACCTGAATTCCTCCAACAGGGATCAATGAATCTATCTACCTATGACTACTACAAAAAGGGAGATGCATTCATATTCTTATGTTCCAAAGTCATATATCTGTCATTTCCAGGTTTAAAACTAGAGACAGTAACTGTTGTTGTTGTTTTATTATAGGCCAAAGTCTGTGCAACTACATTAAGTAATGCTTTTATATAGCGCTTTTCTGGACACTCAAAGACACTTCACATGTCATTGTTCTTTCACTCTGTACACAGCCATAATAAACCATTGCAGTAGCCACAGCTGTCCTTGGGCACACTGATAGAAGCAAGGCAGCCAGTATGTGCCATCGGCCACTCCGACCACACACACACCAGACTCATTTTAGGCAATGTGGGTGAAGTATCTTGCCTAAGGCCACAACAACAGTTGGCACATTACCGCCGCAGCTGCCTCACTGTGGCATCTGGTGTTCCTGGTGTTCCCAGGTCTCCCATCACAGTACTAAAGCCTGGTTCACACGAGACGATTTTAAAATTGTCGGCCGATTTTTCTCCGTGTTAGACCCCACACGGGGAGATTAAAAATCCTGCGTCTAACCACTTTGGTCGTGCAGTGTGTGGTGCGTAGCCACACGGCAAGATCACGCAAGCCACAAACATCACACACGAACCGACACCCCCCCCCCCCCCCCCCCCCCCGAGCATTCCCAGGTCAGACGGAAATCTCACAAAATCTCTCGAGATCAAGCGTGACTTCAGAGTAAACAGTCATGGCGGACGAAGAGGATGCAGTGGCGATAGTGTGCAGTTTGTTGTTAACAGAGAAGACACGTAATCCAAAGAAAAGGCAATGGTCAAAGCCATGCTGCTGTGTTTTGGTTTTTTTCCGGTGTTTCCTCACCGGCTTGTCACCTCGTCTTCTTATTGGCTACACGCCGTAGTCATGGCAACGCGCTCGCTTGTCCTCGGAGGACACCACACACGACAAGAAATCGGGCCAAAACAATCCAACATGTTGGATATCCCCGATTTGAGATCGGGAGCAGTCCCGATGTCCTCCCGAGCGACGAGTGCAGTCTTAACACACCACACACGGCAGGATAATCTGTAAGATTTTGTTACGGAAATCGGAGCGTTTCTTAAGATTGTCGTAAGGGGTAAATCGGGTCTAAATCGGCCTAAATATCCTGCCGTGTGAACCAGGCTTAACCAGTCCCTGCCCTGCACAGCTTCAGTCTGACGGGATCTGGCTTTCGCATGCAAGTTTGGCCACAATGTGATAAAACTAAACAAAAGTCAGTGTAACTTTTGTAGCGCTAACTCTGGAAGAGATTAAAGGATGACTTTCTAAGGTAAGCTAGCACTATGCTAAGGGTAAACTAACAACCGTTTAAGCAGAATTTTTGTACATTTTTGGTCTTGGTAACTTTGTGTGTTTGTTTGTTTGTGTAATCTATATGTAGTTTATTTATATGTCAATGTTGTTGTTTTTAATGAAACTATCTAATCTAAAGTGTTACCAAAAATACTATTAAAAATGTATAAAGAAAACAAAGTTAAGCCGTACCATGCCAAACAGCAGAGCCAGAGTCTCATAGTCGATCCACTCCACCACAGTGACCAGACTCGGCCGCTGTGGAACAAGACGAAATTTTAACGGCGTTCACAGTCAGTCTCTTTAATTGGAATGTATTATTTATCAATGTCTTCGCAGAATCGGCCTCAGAACAGATCAGTACTTACATCGCCGATTACAGCCAGAGCTGCTAATGCTGCCAGGGACCCCAACAGAGCAGCCAGGGTCCGGTGGACAATCTGTAAAAGTAAAAAATGTTTTAAAGTTTAGATTCTAGAAATAATTATACAGTGAGTGGTATGGTATGACACTACTACAACACTACAGCAGGGGTCTCCAATCTTTCTATCAAAGAGAGCTACTTTGGGACAAAAGTTGCAGAGAGCTAGTCTTTCTAAGGGTGGATCAAGGGCCTGATCCACCCTTATATCTCCAACATAAGTCCATTCCACATCCAGGCCTTTCTGTGTGGAGATTGCATGTTCTCCTTGTGTCTGCTCTGATTTCCCCTACCACTAAAAACATGTAAAATAGGTCTGAATGTAATGAGTGAGTGAGTGTTGATTGCTGGCTTTGATGCCAGTGTGTTCGGCGTCTCACTTCCGTCATCACCGTGTGGAGAGAATGGAAACATATCTGAACTCTGATCACCAAAGACCACTGCCTTAAAGCACTTTGGGGGACTTTGGTCTGTAAAATGCGCTAGACAAATAAACATTACTTACTTACTATTACTAACAGGAGCCTGAGGTCCTCCACTCAGAACGTGTTGTTTTAAAACCTTTAAAATCTTGTTTTCTTTCAGCACTTTGAGCTGCCTTGTGTATGAACTGTGCTATACAAATAAACCTGCCTTGCATTGCTTTGTTTTGATGTGACTTTGATTTCTCATATTGATTCACACACACCTGTATTAATGTAAAGATATGTGAAATTGTGTCCTGGTTTGAAAGAAATAAATCTAACTAACAAACTACATTAGCGCCATGTGGTTGACCACTGGATTTCAAAGGTTCCAAACTTTGCAATGAGGTACAGCATGACTATATCGGTGAAGCTGAAGTTGGCTGGATGACGGTGTGAAATGGCTACTTTGTGTTAGTGGTAGAGGGCAGCCTGGTACAGTAGTTCAAGCTAGCATATGTAGGAACAGTAGTAGTTGAAATGTCTATATACTGGTTATGATCCACATTAGGAAATTGAAAAAGAGTTGTATTGCTCGGTCGGTTCATTCTTACCTCGACAAGCCCAAAATAAGTCTGTCTCATTAAACACAAGTCAAACTGATGAACATTGCGTATGTAGTGTATGCACTGACGTTGCCATGGTAATGATTGTAATAAAGGCGAATATGAATAACCAGGACATACCGTAATCTGTGAACGAAATGAATCATGGCATATCTTTTTCACACATTGATAGAGATAATAAGCTAATATTATGACTCTCACGTCGTGTCATTTTCTACCCCTTCATTATTACACCCAGAGCTGCCCTCCAAGTCTCACAGCACCAGACCCTCGCTGATCCTACTGCAGGTGGTGGGTCCACAGATGACGTCTTCTCCTTTATCAAAGATATGACCTTGGTTTTTCAGCAGGGGCTTCAAGGGTTAAGTGTCTTGCCCAGGGACACAACGACAGCAGACATCAGAGAGAGCAGATGACATGGGTCATGGGGGATCAAACCCACGACCATTAGGTCCAAAAACCAATGCTCTACCAACTGTCGATATTATGACTGTCAATCATGTTATATATTATAGAACGAGAAAGTATGTAAGACAATGTAGGAAATGTACAGCAATCGTAAATGAGGGGGAGTCTCTGCGGATTAAAAAACTGTATGCACTATTTTGGCCATGACAAATTATACTGAGACCATTTACTTTGTTATTTCATGTTTTTTAGTATTAAATAATGTCTCCAGTGGAAAATATTTGGTGAAACTGAAAGTATGAAGGGTAGACAATTCTATCCACCTGCTGTACCACTGTGCTACCACCAGAGGGGGTTAGAGCTAAGATAAGATAAGATAACTTTATTTATCTCACAATGGAGTATACAGGGTAATTTTATATGTTTACAAATTTGAAAATCATATGATTGCAGAGAACGTAAGAAATGACCAAACAAACTGCCAGCAAATACTAAGTAATAAGAGATGTTTATGTATAGTGCGTTTCACAGACCAACGTCACAAATCGCTTTACGATTGCTGTGGGCATTTGTCTCTCAAAAATAATAAAGATGTAAAATGTACTAAAATTAAAATCAAAACCATTTAATTCAACCATTTATTACCTCATATTTTATATTTTTGTACAGTGCAGGAGATGCACACAGACCTATATGTTTTTAGAGTTATGGGAAACCGGAGCACCTGGAGGAAACTGAAGCAAACTCAGACACACACAGAAAGCATGGATGAAACTGAAAACAACTCCAGATTAGTTTTTTATGAGGAACAATAATGTAACAGGGGTAAAACCTCTTTCTGGTCTCTCCCTGGTCTCTTTCTCTGGCCTCTCTCTCTCTCTGGTCTCTCTGTCTGGTCTCTCTCTCTGGTCTCTTTCTCTGGTCTCTCCCTGGTCTTTCTCTGGTCTCTCCCTGATCTCTGTCTGGTCTCTTTCTTGTCTCTCCCTCTGGTCTCTCCCTCTGGTCTCTCCCTCTGGTCTCTCCCTCTAGTCTCTCCCTGGTCTCTCTCTGGTCTCTATCTGGTCTCTCTCTGGTCTCTCCCTGGTTCTCTCTGATCTCTCTCTGGTCTCTCTCTGGTCTCTCCCTCTGGTCTCGCTCTGGTCTCTCCCTCTGGTTCTCTCCCTGGTCTCTCTCTGGTATCTCCCTCTGGTCTCTCCCTGGTCTTTCTCTGGTCTCTCCCTGATCTCTGTCTGGTCTCTTTCTTGTCTCTCCCTCTGGTCTCTCCCTCTGGTCTCTCCCTCTGGTCTCTCCCTCTAGTCTCTCCCTGGTCTCTCTCTGGTCTCTATCTGGTCTCTCTCTGGTCTCTCCCTGGTTCTCTCTGATCTCTCTCTGGTCTCTCTCTGGTCTCTCCCTCTGGTCTCGCTCTGGTCTCTCCCTCTGGTTCTCTCCCTGGTCTCTCTCTGGTATCTCCCTCTGGTCTCTCCCTGGTATCTCCCTCTGGTCTCGCTCTGGTCTCTCCCTCTGGTTCTCTCCCTGGTCTCCCTCTAGTCTCTCCCCGGTCTCTCTCTGGTATCTCCCTCTGGTCTCGCTCTGGTCTCTCCCTGGTCTCTCTCTGTCTACGCAGCTGTTGGTATAATGCGTTCTCGCACGTCACCTCAAAGATGATGAGGATGTAGACGCCCGTGAGAATGATCCCTGCGATGGCCACCTGCGTCTCCACGGTGACGTAGAGTGATTGATGGGTCATGGTCAGCGGCACCACCTCCTCCTCCTGCATGAAGGCCTGCACCGTGATGCTGATGGGGTCACTGCCAGAGAAGAACCAACATCACCACTGTCACTCTCCCCCATCCTCAAACAACTCCACTCCCTGTCCCATACCGAATACTATTGCTGGGTTGGTCCGAAGGGGGCGTGGCATGGGCCGTAGGGCAGGAAGTATTTTAGTCCTATTAATTAGACAGGGCTATATGGAAAAACAAACTATTTATTTACATTATAGCCATGTATTAATAAAGGCTTTTTAACTTTTTCTATACCCACAATTTTCTCTCCACTTTATGATTTTCATCCCCAATCTGAAAAGCACCTGGGAGGAACATTTTCACTACACAATAGACTTGTGTATCCAGTAACCTTGCTTTTTGAATTGATATAACTCTTATTTGGAGTGAAAACTAATGAAGCGTCTGTTTTAGCGGCCACAGTGGATCGTTTCATTGATTGATTGAATTTGTTTTTGTTACATTATGATGTTCAATTTGTTTTTAGTTTTTACAACATTATTCAAATAGCAAATATACACTGGAAGCATTTATCGAATTGTAGATACCTATTCAACTACCTATCCAACTTAAGGGCTTTAGAACTATTAAAACATTGTTTTAAAAAAATACAAGTCAAATATTATGGAGAAGTATCGGACAATTGAATTTGATTATTATTATGCTTAATAACTCTTGATTATGGAAGTTTAAGTTTTGTGCTTCATGTTGCCATTTTTGGTATATGAGAAACTGTATAATTTGTCATCATTGGATGTATTGTCAGTTTGTAAAAGGGGTTAGGCAGTATAAGTTTCGACTTCAGCCTAAACCCCTTTTCGGTCTGGCATTGAGACACCCTCAGTGTAGGAAGGAGCGCTACCGCAGGACCTTTATCCCCACTGCTGTCAGACTGTACAATAAGTCACTTTAAATGATCACTGTGTGAAAACCTATCCATGCCAAATGTGACATGTAAATTTCTCCTATGTGAGATAAATAAAGCACATCTTATCTTATCTTATCTTATTGTTTCGCACAAGGGCCTTATGGACACATTTTGGTTCTTTTTTTTCTTGTTGTAAAAAGTATATGTGATCTCTGTAACCGTGTGACCTGAGATCTGGTGTACATATTAGCCAAAGAAAATCTTCTACTACTAGTAAAATTATGTAAAAAGTATTCCAGTGATATGTCCTTGTGAAGGAGAATCCTGTTTGTAAGACTGAGAACAGAAATATTCCCTGAGTGTTGATGCACCTTTCATATACTGTATGTGTTTTCATGTGATCTTGAGCCTGGGGATTATTCTTGTATTGTGGAATAATCGTGTCTTATCCATAGACTGTATATAATAACGGACAGAGTCACGCCTAACTCCGCCGGAGTTGGCCATGAAAAGTGCTTTCATGGAGCAATCCAAGATGGCCGCGAGTGGTCCCGCCCACAAGAAAATTGTGAAAAAACGCATCTGCGCATGCGTCAGCCGGCGCAGCTCCGTTCATTTGAACGAGATACTTCAAAAATTCACAGCAAGTAAACTAGAGTGGACCAAAAAAATCCACCCCCCTCAGCATTGACACACATGTGGAACGGAGCTTTGGGCCAAGAGCCAACTTTTGGTCCATCCTGTAAAGACGTTTTTGAGAGGTCTGCCAACGCTATATGTTAACATTGGCTAATTCTTCTTCTGGGTCCACCCCCATCGGCCCGGGGTGGTATTGCAAGCATGTCAGCGCACGTCATTTTGGCCACTTTTGAGCTGGGACCCGCCCCCACTGGTCTTATCACACAATCTGCTCAGGCCCAGCTCCTGTCGGGTAAAAAGTAATCTACATAACGCATGCAGCCTGACTTCTAGGAATCACTCCCTCTGGCCTTTTGTCTCCTATGGACCTACACCACATTTCTCCAGACCTTGTGACTATTCCTCAAGTTGTAAATGAAAATCAAGAGAGACAGATGAGACATGATGAGGAAAAAAAGCGATGGATAAACAATTGACTACTATTTACAAAAAAAAAAAACAATTGAATGAGACTTTTATGAAATGCAACTTTAGACACTGTACAAAGTCAGGAGTGATTTTGTTCAGTGTCTTTGGTGCGTACATGAATGACAATAACCTATCTACTATCTCTCTATGTCAGTCACTATTTTACATTTAAAAACATTTGGAAAAAAATGTATGCATGAAAAATGTACACTCAAAGACGCTTCACATTTCCTTATTCATTCACTCCAAACCCAGTGGTGATAAACAACTACTCTAGCCACAGCTGCCCTGGGGCACACTGACAAAAGCAAGGCAACCAGTCTGTGTCCCTGTCTCATAGTAAGTAAGTAAGTATTGTTTACTCATACTACAGCGCATTCTCCACCACCTGATAAGAATCAGACTCATGCAAATCGGGATCTTTGTACGACAAAGCCTCCTGGCTGGTTTATTCACAAAATGGTCGTTAATTTCAGGCAGAACAAAAGACACAGATACATTATATATGGAAATCTACGTCATCATAGAAAAGGCCAAACCTTCGGCACCAAATAGCCTAAACAACGAAAGTCTCTGTGGTCCTTGAGACCTCCACAAGGCCAGGTTATTAATACTATTTTGTCTTGCATTTGTCCACCTGTGCAGTACATAGGTCACTGTTTACCACAATACAGACCAAGGTCACACAAAGCGCTTTACAATGTTCAGAGTTCAAATATTGTTCCAATCATTCCACACCATGCAAACGCCACTTAGAAAGGCCCCGTTCCGACCGGGATTCAAACCCAGAACCTGCTGAGAAGAGAGAGTGCTATCCACTAACCCTCTCTCTCTCTTTCTCTCTTACACCCCATCTCTCTCTTTATTTTATCTCTCTCTCTCTCTCTCTCTCTATCTCTCACTCTCTGTCTCTGTCTCTCTCTCTCTGTCTATCTTTCTCTGTCTCTCTCTCTCTCTCTGTCTCTCTCTATCTCTCACGCTCTGTCTCTGTCTCTCTGTCTCTCTCTCGCTCTCTCTCTATCTCTCTGTCTCTCTCTCTTTCTCTCTCTCCTTGTCTCTCTCTATCTCTCACTCTCTCTGTCTCTCTCTCTATCTCTCTGTCTCTCTCTCTTTCTATCTCTCCCTGTCTCTCTCTATCTCTCACTCTCTGTCTCTGTCTCTCTGTCTCTCTCTCTCTCTCTCTGTCTCTCTTTCTATCTCTCTGTCTCTGTCTCTCTGTCTCTCTCTCTATCTCTCACTCTCTGTCTCGCTATCTCTCTCTCTCTCTCTGTCTCTCTCTCTATCTCTTTGTCTCTGTCTCTCACTCTCTGTCGCTGTCTCTCTGTCTCTCTCTCTATCTCTCTGTCTCTCTCTATCGCTCACTCTCTGTCTCTCTCTTTCTGTCCCCCTCTCTCTCTCTCTCTCTCTCTCTGCTGCACCTCTCACTCCACATCTAAAACGGCACACTTTAGAATCAACATTACAAATGATAATGCAATACTGCAAGGATAATGTAGTGGTGTTAAATTTATAAAGCCTAAGATAATTGATAGTTCAACAGTAATTATTATTGCAACAAGCTTAAAAATTCAATCTAAAAGAGAATTGTCTTTACCTGCTAACCATCTCGAAAGTCCTTGTAACCTCAGTCTGGTCACTGCGCTCCCGGTTCAGAGGAATCGTCCAGTTGTGAATGACCTGCCCCATAAAATATATATATATATATATAAAACACACAGATGCAGTAGTAGCAACAGTAAACACAAAGGGGGCGTGGCCTCACCTGCTGGCTCCTCCTCCTCCTCTGACCTGGCCCGTCCGTCTGCTCCACCTGGATCAGGATGTAGTCTGGATTCAACAAGTCCACCATTCCCCGAGAGAAAGGCCCGGCCACCTGCAGCCTCAGCAGAGCGTTGTCCCGGAAATCTGTTAAATTCAAAACTGTACAGTGTTGTCAAAGGAAAAATACAAATATTTATATGAGAGTGAGATCAATCAATCATTAGATTATTTGTTATTGTTCTCTTTATGAGTCCATTTCTGAGTCGGGGGAGATGATCAAATCAGTGGTACTTCAGTGGGAGAAGGATCCATCAATCTATCAATCACTTATATTTTAAACTCGTGCATACATTTAACAAAAAACCCTAACAAGCAGGAAACAAAATTAAAAATGATTTTGCTCCAACTCACTTACACGCACACACACACATGCAAGCAAAGTCACACACAGACACACACACACATGCAAGCAAAGTCACACGCACACACAGACACACACACACATGCAAGCAAAGTCACACACACACACACAGACACACACACACACACAGACACACACACACACACACACGCACGTAGTTCTAAATGAATTGGAGAGATTTTATACTGCTTCTTTTTACGCTAGAATTAGAGATTTTATTTATTATATTTTTAGTGTAGAGTTTTTATTGATTTATCCATTGTTGTGTGCTCCTCATTCCCACTGTTCTGTAACTTGTGATTCAACACTGAAATTTCCCCACTGTGGGACGAATAAAAGATCTCTTCATCTTAATGTCTATCATGGAATAAGTTTTGTGCATTTACTGCAAGAGAGTTCCAGATGTCCTGAACATTACAGTATTTGATTATCTTTAAAGTTAAAGTCCTGCCATTTAAGTTATCCCAAATCTATGAAAACTGGGTCAGAACACTGGCCTGACGTTTTGCGAGGTGATTGAAGACTTTGAAGTGATGGCTGCAGAATGAAGCAGACTCTGAATCTGCTTTATTTGACCGTTGTATCTGTGTGAAGGATACAGAAGCTGTCTGTAGGGGACACCGCCAACATCCTCCGGGGGTTGTCTCTGTCGGGATACATGCTGAAGAACAGCTGTGGAGAGAAGGAAGGTTTGGTTTTGAGTTCTTACTTTCTGACTAACCACCTAGGAAGCTAACAATCAGTGCTGCTGCTCAGACTTGGCGCCACTACTTGGCTGTTGTGTGCATGCACACATACTGACAGATATGTCTGGATTTATTAGAGAGATTATTACATTTAACTCTTCATAAATATATACGGGAAATGATAGTATGATGATGATTTTTCTTAATAGCCCAATCAAAGACACAAAGATAAAGATAATAAACATGTACTTACGCTACAGAGAACTACTATTGTGAATATACAGGCCGTCTTGGCGGACCTCATGCAGCATCTGAAATGTCACAATGATTGATCCACTGATTATAAAAACTTCTTGATGATGTACATTCTCTTGCTCCACTAAAGTGCCACACCTCATATTGTGCGTGAGCTTGAAATTAAGGTCCAGAGAGTCGTTCTTTTCTGTGGAGCTGGGGCGGGTCTGGGACAGACCGGCGACCTCAGAGCCCAACCGGAACCTCCTCTCCACGTCCATGGCACTGTGGTCCCAGAGCTCCGAGGGGAACCCCGAGTCGTGGACTGTCATGTAGGTGATGCTGCGACACAACAACAGAACACACTCTGCTTTGTGGACTCATGAAGAGGCATTGTACCACAGGCTCAGGATCCACTGAGGAAAACTGTCATTTATATTCAATGAGAAAATAACTTCTAAAGCTAGCACCTCACAGTCCACAGTGTTGGGAGTAATAGATTCCAAAAGTAATGTCATTACTGTAATGTATTGCTTTTTGCTGTAACGCTGTCAATTAAAGCATTCCAAAAAAACCTGGGTATCAGTACTCTGGGTAAAAAGGTTTGTTAGGTGTGTTCAAGCCACGGTGATCCGCTATTCAAACGAATGACTTGTTCTCAGTAGTGCATGCATGGGACATACATGGGGACCGAAACATTAGCGGAACTCGCCCATATTTGGGCATCATCTGGTCCTCACGGTTCTACGCAGTGGACTAACTCCCATGATGAGAGCCTGGGGCAATAAGAGCCGTACATCATTCAGAGTATGAGATTACCTGTCGTCTTGTGGGAACCTGAGAAGTGGAGATCTCTCTGTGATGTTGGCTGAACTGGTCTTTCCTCGGAGGATGTTTACAACGCTGAAACTGTGCCTGAAAACCACACAGCATCGTTACACTGCGATACATTTTCCACTGATAAACAATAATCAGGTTGTTAAGGAAACAGAATTTCTTCTTCCTACTTCATTCACCACAAACTCCAAGATTCTGTGTGGTTCTGCGACATCACAGCCAAAGAAAGGGGACTTGAGAGAGACCAGAAAGAGACAAGAGAGAGAAGATATACAGACCTGAGAGAGAGACCTTAGAATAATCAATGACTCTTCTGGCCCCTGGTAAAGCTATGTTCCAGCTTCTTCCCTCTGGTAGAAGATGTTGTTTGTATTTAGGAGACATCTTGTTTTCCTAGCACCTTCTTTCCTCAAGTTGTCATCAGTCTGAACAAAGCATTTTAATGAGGCACTTGAATTGCAAGTTTCTTGCAAGTATTTGTTTCTTGTCATGTTTAGCTTGTTTTATATAACGTACAAGACGAATGTATGTACAAGACAAGAACCATTTAGGAATACATTAAATCCATTGGTGCATTGAGCAAAGGAGGTTCTGCTTAATCCTGGTAACGTCACGACCACTGGCCTGAGATTACGGCCTATGACTGAGACCGAGTCCTTTCTGTGTGAGGAGTCTCCAGAACATTCCTCTGTTTCACATTCGCTCATGAAGCAGATTTAAGCGGTGGCCCCTGAGTGATGACTGCACGTGTGGTCCTGACTCCAACTCTGCATGTGACTCCTACACGTTCAAAGTCAGTGTGTTTGCTATTTGCAGTAAAAAAACACACACATTAGAATACATGTGCAAAAAGTCCCCAGAGTGCACCAGACAAGTACATCATATAAAACAAGTGAAAACGTGCAAGACATAATTGTAGCTGTGAATCAAATCAACAAAAACAGCTTCAACACAAGTGTCAGACTGAGGAAAGAAGCTGTTAGTGAGAGAGAGCAGAGAGAGAGATCAGAGAGATGGCGCCGTGGCAAGAGCTCTGGTGTGTGCCGTCTTCGCTGTCTGGTGCACACTGGGCTAGTCTTGCACAGTTTTTCCAATGTGGTTGTACTGCAAATGGCAAATAAATGAATCTGAATCTGAGAGAGAGACCAGGGAGGGAGAGAGAAAAGGGAGAGAGATCAGCGAGAGAGACCAGAGAGAGACCAGGGAGAGAGAGAGCAGAGAGAGAGAAAAGGGAGAGAGATCAGCAAGAGAGACCAGAGAGAGACCAGAGAGACCAGAGAGAGAGAGAAACCAGAGAGCAGAGAGAGAGCAGAGAGAGAGCAGAGAGAGACCAGAGAGAGACCAGCGAGAGATTGAAGAGAGAACAGAGAGAGACCAGAATGAGACCAGAGTGAGACCGGAGAGAGGAGACCAGAGAGAGACCAGAGGGAGACCAGAGAGTGGCTTCAATACAAGTGCAAGATCATTAAAGTGCTTGGTTCAGACTGATAGCAGCTTGTGGAATAAAGCTGTGGCATATCCAGATATACTTCATCTCAGCGCCCCCTGCTGGGTCTGGCACCACAGTACATTCAGCACAGCAGGTCTCCTTTAAAACCTTCCAGAGTGGCGCATGTCTCCGGCAGAACATTTCAGTGTGTTGTGACCTTCACTCATTCTGCAGATTTGTCCAAAAGTGGAGTTACCATCCCGCACAGAGGCTATTCTTGTGGTTCTTAAGGAGTTTGTTATGCGGTAACTCACAAAATCCTTTAAGCCGCCAGGAGCCAAACTATTTAGAATGTGGAATACCAGACACAGATCAGTAAAAATCATGAAACTCTAAGAAACTAGAAAAAGATTCTTCTTGCCAAGATGTTACAATGATGGTGTGCATTAGAGGCTTTTTATCCGAAAGTATGCATTATATAACTAGGGTTAGGGTTGACTAATGAGAGACCTTTGCATCTGTCTGAAATTGGAGAGATTGTATGTAGAAGTTTTTTGTAAGTTTGAATCTGAAGTGACACCAAGATATCAAAATTCCAAAGCATTATCCATCTTTTCATTCCTAATTGAAATGTCAGCGTTTGAGATTTTTGGACACCCAAACCCTGTCCGCTTTGGTTTGACGTCAGTGCTCACCTCCTGGTCCTTTTGTGTATTTTGAGATTTCCTAGAATGTGACATAAATGTGAGTTTGATGCTTTCGCTTCAGAATGGCAGAATTCTCTTATTTATCCAAGTCATTCTGTTTTGGGGAAGAATAAACAAAGTAACCCTATACTGAATCTTATTGTTGTGGTTTGGGGCCACATACTGTAGAGGAAAGGCACTGTATTAATATTCATAAATAAATTGAGGGGCATATTCAAAAACAATAATATACCTTCCATTATTTAAACTGTTTACATTTTGCATTAATAACCTTGAAACCAATCTGACCCTGACCCATCTCTGTGTGAAGGAGAGGTTCCACATGTCTTTCCTCCCTGCTCCATATTGGATTGATTGTCAGTCATGCTGGAGATGGAGACACTATATCTGGTAACTCCCTCCTACTTTATCATCATCAATATGACTTGAGCTGTAGTCTGTTCATTGCTATTCACCCGCTGTCCCACTGTCTGTTTCATGGTGTGATGATGGGACCTCTGAATCCAGCCTTTTTCATCCGTATCACCAAAGTACAAGTTACCCTGTGTAGGAAAAACGCTATATTGATGCCACACTAACCCTAACCCTGACTGGCATGGTTTACAGGTCCCACCTCTCTATAGACTCTCTGGTCTCTCTGTGGTCTCTCTGTGGTCTCTCTGTGGTCTCTCTGATCTCTCTGTGGTCTCTCTGATCTCTCTGGTCTCTCTGTGGTCTCTCTGATCTCTTTGTGGTCTCTCAGTGGCCTCTCTGTGGACTCTCTCTGGTCTCTCTGTGGTCTCTCTTGTCTCTCGTTTCTCTGGTCTGTGGTCTATTTGGTCTCTCTGTGGTCTCTCTGTGGTCTCTCTCGTTTCTCTCTGGTCTCTCTGTGGTCTATTTGGTCTCTCTCTGGTCTCTCTGTGGTCTCTCTATGGTCTCTCTCGTTTCTCTCTGGTCTCTCTGTGGTCTATTTGGTCTCTCTCTGGTCTCTCTGTGGTCTCTCTGTGGTCTCTCTCTGGTCTATCTGTGGTCTCTCTGTGGTCTCTCTGTGGTCTCTCTGTGGCCTCTCTGTGGTCTCTCTGTGGTCTCTCTGTGGTCTCTCTTGTCTCTCGTCTTTCTCTGGTCTCTCTGTGGTCTCTCTGTGGCCTCTCTGGGGTCTCTCTGGGGTCTCTCTGGGGTCTCTCTGGGGTCTCTTTGGGGTCTCTCTGGTCTCTCTCGTCTTTCTCTGGTCTCTCTCTGGTCTATTTGTTCTCTCTGGTATCTCTCTGGTCTCTCTGGTCTTCTATGGTCTCTCTGTGGTCTATTTGGCCTCTCTGGGATCTCTCTGGTCTCTCTGGTCTTCTATGGTCTCTCTGTGGTCTCTCTCTGGTCTCTCTGGTCTTTCTATGGTCTCTCTGTGGTCTCTCTGTGGTCTTTCTCTGGTCTTTCTCTGGTCTCTCTGTGGTCTATTTGGTCTCACTCTGGTCTCTCTGGTATCTCTCTGCCAGCTGTTTTAAAGGTCCCATAACCCTACACATACAACCTAGTCGTATGACTTTCCTCCTCAGAGTGTTCTCCGACGCTGTCACAGCCGCCCTGGAGGCAGAACTCACCCGTCCTCCTGCCTCAGCGGCACAAAGCCCTCTGTGTGGATGACGCACTGTCCGTTCTGCTGCAGCTTCTGGGTCTCCCTCCGCTCAGACATGCCCTGGAGCAGCCTCAGCTCCCCAAAGTTCCCCCCCTCTGGAGCCCTGAGGCCGCGGTTCTGTCCCTGTGCTGAGGCCTGCGACATCTCCATCTCCATGTTCTTGTTCTCCAGATACATCCTGAAAAACCAGGCAAGGCGAGTTTATTCGTAGAGCACAGATCATACACAAGGCAAATCAAAGTGCGAAACAAAACCAGAATATATATCATAAATAATCACAGGACATTTAATCAAGTGAAGAGACAATCCTTCAGAACAGAACTGTTTTTAAACTGGATTTGAAATTTCTCAGAGAAGAAGTTTGTCTGCCCCGTGTTTAGTGCTCCTTCTGGTCCAGTCTCTGTGCTCCTCAGAGTTTGTTTTTGATATGTCTGATTCTAGCAATCATTTGAAGATGGTAAAAAGAGCCTGATGTTGCTGTTAAAATGTAGTCTATTATCACCCTTAGATTTTTAACCTGATTTAAATGTGTTTGGGAGAAAGAATCAAGGTGACCCATGACGCGCTCTCTTTGTTTCTGGGCACTAAAGAAAAACATTTCAGTTTTGTCTGTGTTTATTGCTGTTGGATTCAGTGAAGGAGTGAATCCACTGGTCCATGTTCTCCTGCAGTCAGTGAGACGTAGATCTGAGTGTCGTCTTGTTTCTGCGTATTAACTGACCTAATGGCAGCATGTGAGTAAAAGGGGCCCAGAATCGACCCTTGTGGCACTCCACAGGTCAGGGCCTATATGACATCAAAGTTTCAAGTTCAAGTTCAGCACAAATTTGCAGTCTGCAGCAATGGATTATCATTCAATTCATCAGTACAAAACAAATATATACGAGATATATACAAAAATGCATATATCTCGTAGCATTTCTGTTTCCAAATGGCATCAATATGATTCAAGAAACATGTAAGCCCAGCAGTTTTATTTTGAATTGTAGATGTAATAACTAAGCTACTGTCATGGTGTGGCATCTCTGATTGCCACTCCCATCCATCCATTTTCTTTCCCTTAATCCATTTCTGGGTCGGGGGGGTGGCAGTCAGAGCTATACCCAGTGCACATAGCACCAGCCCCTCACTGATCCTCCTGTAGGTGGTGAGTCCACAGGAGCCTTGATCTTTCAGTGGGGGCTTCAGGCAAAGTGGGGTTAAGTGTCTTGCCCAAGGACACAACTACAGCAGTCATCAGTGGGAGTCGTGCAGTAGGTCTTATGGTGGGCTCAAACCCACGATCTTCAGGCTCAAAGACCAAGGCTCTACCAACTGAGCCACTGTTGCCCCACTGATTGCCACTCCCCTGATCCAGAAATGGATAAATAAAAATAAATATGAAAAATAAAATAAAATAGTATTTTGGTTTTATTTTGACATCAGTTTTTTGGTTTGGGTTTAGTTTTACTTCCTGTTCCCCTGTCTTGATTGTCTGCCCCGCCCTGATGTGTTTCACTTATGCCTGTGTCTATATGTACCTGTGCTCCTCTCCCCTTGTCGCAGGTCCATTGTCTTTGCTTGTCTTTGTCTGTCTATGTTCCTGAGTTTCATTTGGATTATTATTGTCTACTTTAAATCATTATTTTTACATTCCCGCTTTTCAGGTCCTCCTACACTTCATTCCGTTTCATTATGACCTTCGTTGGCGAGTGAGCAATGACTCTCAGTTCGAATATTGAGAATTAAATTTTTTCTTCAATGAAGAAATAGTCCTTACAACTAACAATCTTGAACCTTGAGAGCCGTCCATGAGCTCCAAGGACAATGCGTGGTTTCTCTACGTCACAAATTCTCTTTCATGTGAGCAAAAATACAGCCGCCTCTGTTCTTCAGCTCACATTTTTCCCCCGTGGGGCATCAGTGGTTGGATCACAGTCTCATAACGCAGGAATGAGTCCACTCCACCTCTTCAGACTGAGGTTTACTACGGGTCCATTAAAGCTCTGTCTAAATGTCAGGCTCCGTTAACAGCAGGTCAGTGGAGGAGGTCAGACATGTGGTGATTTAGACTGGATTATTCCTCACATGAACTCGTGTGTTACTTTTGGAGATTTTTTTTTTACTGAATAGACGTGAATTTGTAAGGCAAGGAAAGGCAGGGTTATTTGTGTAGCACAGTTCATACACACGGCAACTCAAAGTGCTTCACAAAACAAGATAAAAGCAGCATTAAAATCTTAAATAATCACAGAACATTAGAAAGAGTGAAGATACGATCCTTCAGTTGTATGCACGGCTAAAAACATCGGAGGGGCTGATGGCACATACTGGTTGCCTCGCTTTTGTCAGTGTGCCCCAGGGCAGCTGTGGCTACAATAGTAGTTTATCACCACCGTGTATGGAGTGAATGAATGACGACATGTGAAGCGTCCTTGAGTGTCGAAAAGAGCGCTATTTAAAACCGATGCATTATTATTATTATTTTTAAAAAGAACTGTTTTTAACCTGGATTTGAACATTGTCATAGTAGAAGCCTGTCTCATATTTTCAAGAAGTCTTTTCCTGATTAGCTGCATACATTTGAAACACTGCCTCTCCATGTTTAGTCCTGACTCTGGGCACCAGCAGAGTCCCAGCAGGAGGCCTGTCCCTGTGCTCCTCAGAGTCCCAGCAGGAGGCCAGTCCCTATGCTCCAATTTAGTTCACATGACACTAACTAACTGTTGATGGATATGTGCATTTTATAAATCTGAAATAAACTATACACAGTAGTAAAAGTGTGTGTGTGGAGCGAGCAGTCACTAGTTTGGTTCATCCACGATAGTTTTCACATGCATGTATTTTTGGCCTCAATCACATCTTTTTCAGACAGAACATTTAAAAATCCTCCTCAAAGAGTCAAATACTGACTCAAAGGGATCTGTCTCACAAGACAAAAACTCTTGGACATCTCAAAACCTACCTTTTTAAACTGGCTTATTCTTTGTACTTTTATAATGTTTTATATTCTGTACTTTTAATAATGTGTGTGATGTTTTTTTTAATATATATTGTAAGGCGTCCGGGTGTCTTGAAAGGTGCTATGAAATAAAATGAATTATTATGATCAATGTTGTGGACTGATTTGACTCTATCTGTTGAGACAAACTACACACATAATTTTAGGTACCCCAGCTTCTATTATTCTTTGTGTTGTCTACTGTTTAGCCCCTGTCTCCCTGACCTGCAGAGGCTACTCCAAAAAACTGTTGGGCTCTCTCTCTGGTCTCTCTCTCTCTCTGATCTCTCTCTCTCTCTCTCTCTCTCTGATCCCTCCCTTTGGTCTCTCTATTTCTGATCTCTGGCCTGTTTCTCTGATCTCTCTCTCTCTCTCTGATCTCTCTCTCTGATCTCTCTCTCTCTGGTCTCTCTCTCTGGTCTCTCTCTCTGGTCTCTCTCTCTGGTCTCTCTCTCTGGTCTCTCTCTCTGGTCTCTCTCTCTGGCCCCTCTCTCTGGTCTCTCTCTCTGGTCTCTCTCTCTGGTCTCTCTCTCTGGTCTCTCTCTCTGGCCCCTCTCTCTGGTCTCTCTCTCTGGTCTCTCTCTCTGGTCTCTCTCTCTGGTCTCTCTCTCTGGTCTCTCTCTCTGGCCCCTCTCTCTGGTCTCTCTCTCTGGTCTCTCTCTCTGGCCCCTCTCTCTGGTCTCTCTCTCTGGTCTCTCTCTCTGGCCTAGCTCTCTGGCCCTTCTCCTGGTGTCTCCTGAACAGTGAGAGAAAGCCCCATTGTCTGCTCTGCCTCGGGGGGCTGTGAAATGGTGAATGTCAATTTATTTTCTCTGCGTTTTCACACTCATTCACAGCGATAAATCTGATCACACTCTCCATCTGCTGCAGAGTTCACCGTGAGACCATCGTGACCAACGCATTACAGAGTCAGGGGGAAAGTGATCAGTATTAGAGTATTCAAGTATTCGAGTATTCAAGCTGGATTCCCCAATTTCCAAAACACTAATTCCTTGCTTTAAGACAATTTGATCAGTCACTTTTCTCATGCATTTAAACATAAATTTCAGCCACCCTCTCTCAGCCAATCAGCTCACTGCCTTTGCTTCATATATACTGGCCATATTGGTCTCTCTTTCTGGTTTTTCTCTCTTATTTCTCTCTCACTGGTCTCTCTCTGGTCTCAGTCTGGTCTCTCTTTCTGGGCTCTCTCACTGGTCTCTTGTCTCTCAATTTGGTCTCTTTCTGGTCCTTCTTTCTGGTTTCTCTCTCTCTCTCTCCTGTCTCTATCTCTCTGGTCTCTCTTTCATATCTCAGTCTGGTCTCTCTCTCTCTCTCTGGTCTCTTTTGCTGGTCTCTCGCTCTGGTCTTTTTCTCTGGTCTCTCTATCTGGTCTGTCTCTCTGGTTTCTCTCCCTGGTATCTCTCTCTGGTCTCTCTCTCTCTCTGGTCTCTCTTTCTGTCTGGTTTCTCTCTCTGGTCTCTCTCTCTGCCTGGTCTCTCTCTCTGGTTTCTTTCTCTCTGGTCACTCTCTCTGGTTTCTCTCTCTGGTCTCTCTCTCTGGTGTCTCTCTCTGGTCACTCTCTCTGGTTTCTCTTTCTGGTCTCTCTCTGGTCTCTCCCTCTCTAGTCTCTCTCTCTGGTTTCTCTTTCTGGTCTCTCTCTCTGTCTGGTCTCTCTGGTCTCTCTCTCTGGTATCTCTCTCTGATCACTCTCTCTCCCTGGCCTCTCTCTCTGCCTGGTCTCTGGTCTCTCTCTCTGTCTGGTCTCTCTGGTCTCTCTCTCTCTGGTGTCTCTCTCTGATCACTCTCTCTCCCTGGTCTCTCTCTCTGGTTTCTCTCTCTGTCTGGTCTCTCTCTCTGTCTGGTCTCTCTGGTGTCTCTCTCTGATCACTCTCTCTCCCTGGTCTCTCTCTCTGGTTTCTCTCTCTGCCTGGTCTCTCTGGTCTCTCTCTCTGTCTGGTCTCTCTGGTCTCTCTCTCTGGTGTCTCTCTCTGATCACTCTCTCTCCCTGGTCTCTCTCTGCCTGGTCTCTCTGGTCTCTCTCTCTGTCTGGTCTCTCTCTCTGGTGTCTCTCTCTGATCACTCTCTCTCTCTCACTTTCTCTGATAAAGACATTCTGCAATCTCTATGGGACTTAACGGTCAATAATAATAATAATAATGATAATAATCACAAACTTACTTTGACATCAATAGAAAAACAGAAATATTCATTCATATTTAAATAAATAAATTCAATTAAATTCCGAGCAAAGATCTTTTGTATCGCCTTAAAGGGCAGATGACCAATGACCACAAAAAACTGAAGCAAACCTTGAAAGTGGCACTTACCTTGACTCAATAAAAGCAACAAATTCAGACGAATGCAGTAAAAAAGAAGACAACAAAAATATCCGAAACGTGACCAAAAGTGAGTTTGTGTGAAAGAGTTGAATATTGCAGCAGGCGGTGGTCTTTGGCACTGGTCTTTAGTTTGGTATTTTGGGCTGAGTGAAAGTGGGAGAGTGGGAGAGTGGGAGGCAGAGGCTGAGGAGCTCCCCCCAGAGAAGATGGGAGTGGCACCAGCGGCTGAGAGCAACATTCATGAGTCTTTCTCAGAACTTTGACGAGACCAGAACTCCCACAGAACCATGTGATCGGCACCATCTGTGTACTATAGCTATGGCGCTGTTTTTTATATAGCGCCTTTCACAGACCAGAGTCACAAAGCGCTTTACAATTGTACACAACATATAATTTCAACAAGATCCAAAGTCGATTTACTTCTGTCATTCAAATTATATTCTTACTACTTACTTATTAAAACGTTGAAACTATCTTCAAACCTTGCAAATACATCTATGTCTATGTATAGCTAGGCATGGCATGTTTAATTGTATGGCACAGGAAAAAGTGCTGAAAAAAACATGATTAAAAACCTTCACACAAGGAAGGCATTAAAACCATAAATTATCAAAAAGTAAATTAAAATAAGTGAAGTAAAAATCCCTCAGTTTTATGCACAGCTAGACAGAACTGTTTTTATCTGCATTTTCAGGAAGACTGTTCCGCATAGACATGAAACGCTGCCTCGGCCATGTTTAGTTCTCTAATTCTAAATCCCAATCTATTTCAGACAACACAAAATATATCCTTTATTTGTTATGATGTTGATAATTTGTTCACAGCTTGTAAAAACTGTAAACTGTATACAGTACATCAGGAGTGGACTGACCGAGTGTGACATCACCAGTGTTAGCCTTGATGCGGAAGAAACAGATTCAGATTCAGATTCATTTATTTGCCATTTGCAGTAAAACCACATTGGAAAAACTGTGCAAGACCACCCCAGTGTGCACCAGACGACACACACCAGAGCTCTTGCCACGGCGCCATCTTTACGGCGCCATGCGAAACTGCTTTGAACATAAGGTGGAGCCAATATCCTTATATGGGCATTTGTTCCGACGGCGTTACTTTCAGGGGCAGACGTGTTACTAACGTGGTTGCTAAGGCAAGCTGAAAGATGAAGGCTTCTGATTGGTCAAATATTATGGTTCATATCTGGATTTACAAAGACAATATCACAATATAAAGATCAAGATCACAGAGAGAGAGAAACCATGGATTCTTAAAGCCAAAAATTATAATATTGTGAAAATGGACATTATATTGTTTGTATATTTTTAAGTTGAAATATAGATAAATAAATGAACGATGGTATAATTTTTACTTTCACTTATTGAGTTTCACATTTAAATTAGTGTGTAATTTGCATTTCAGCCTATAAGCAGCTCAGGGGCCTCTCTCCTGCTGGTCCCAGAGTCATGAGGGTCTAAACATGGGATTTCAGCATTTCAAACTCTATCCATGCAGCAAAAAGTCTTCCTGAAAATGTGAGACAGGCCTTCACACTGACTATGTTCAAACCTGTATGATAAAGATGGACTCCTCTTATGTCTGTGTTTTATCGCTCTAAGATCTGCTTTGATTTTCCATTTTTCTTTTCTAAACCAGCTAATAAATGACCAATCAGCTGCCCTCTCTGCCCAGAGTGTGAGACGGCGTGTTTCGGAGCCGTGTGGGAGAAAGTCACATTTTAAATCCACTTCAAACACCTGCAAACTTTCTAATTTTCTCTCATGATTACGGACGGTGACGTATATTGTGACGTATATGATGTGGAGAGTGTGATCTGTCTCCACACAGACTAGAGGCCACCCGCGGTACTGCAGCTTCAATCCACACGGGCTGAAAGGAGATTATAACCGTAGACCTCAGCGTGAATTAAAATGGACAGAGAACCTACAGCTTTCACAAAGGAGGATTTTGTTTGATTTTAGTGTCTCTTGTCATCCTAAACTTTTGTTCTTTTGGTTTTCTATAAATCCACTCTCTCTGGTCTCCCTCTCTGTCTGGTCTCTCTCTGGTCTCCGGACTCTGACTCTGTTGTCTCTCTCTCTGGTCTCTGGTCTTTCTCTCTGGTCTTTCTCTCTGGTCTCTCTCTCTGGTCTCTCTCTCTGGTCTCTCTCTCTGGTCTCTCTCTCTGGTCTCTCTCTCTGGTCTCTCATGGTCTCTCTCTGATCTCTCGCACTGGTCTCTCTCTCTGGTCTCTCTCTGGTCTCTGGTCTTTCTCTCTGGTCTCTCTCTCTCTCTCTGGTCTCTCTCTCTGGTCTCTCTCTCTCTGGTCTCTCTCTTTGGTCTCTCTCTTTGGTCTCTCTTCTTTTGGTTTTCTATAAATCCACTCTCTCTGGTCTCCCTCTCTGTCTGGTCTCTCTCTGGTCTCCGGACTCTGACTCTGTTGTCTCTCTCTCTGGTCTCTGGTCTTTCTCTCTGGTCTTTCTCTCTGGTCTCTCTCTCTGGTCTCTCTCTCTGGTCTCTCTCTCTGGTCTCTCTCTCTGGTCTCTCATGGTCTCTCTCTGATCTCTCGCACTGGTCTCTCTCTCTGGTCTCTCTCTGGTCTCTGATCTCTCGCACTGGTCTCTCTCTCTCTGGTCTCTCTCTGGTCTCTCTCTGGTCTCTCCTTGGTCTCTCCTTGGTCTCTCTCTCGTCTCTCTCTGATCTTTCTCTGGTCTCTCTCTCTCTCTCTGGTCTCTCTTTGGTCCCTCTCTGGACTCTCTCTTGGGTCTCTCTCTGGTCTCTCTCTGATCTCTCTCTGGTCTCTCTCTGATCTTTCTCTGGTCTCTCTCTCTCTCTGGTCTCTCTTTGGTCCCTCTCTGGACTCTCTCTTTGGTCTCTCTCTGGTCTCTCTCTGATCTCTCTCTGGTCTCTCTCTGATCTTTCTCTGGTCTCTCTCCTCTCTCTGGTCTCTCTTTGGTCTCTCTCTAGTCTCTCTCTAGTCTCTCTTTGGTCTCTCTCTGGTCTCTCTCTGGTCTCTCTCTGGTCTCTCTCTGGTCTCTCTCTAGTCTCTCTCTCTCTGGTCTCTCTCTGGTCTCTCTCTCTGGTCTCTCTCTGGTCTCTCTCTGGTCTCTCTCTGGTCTCTCTTTGGTCTCTCTCTGGTCTCTCTCTGTCTCTCTCTGGTCTCTCTCTGTCTCTCTCTAGTCTCTCTTTGGTCTCTCTCAGGTCTCTCTCTGGTCTCTCTTTGGTCTCTCTTTGGTCTCTCTCTGGTCTCTCTCTGGTCTCTCTCAGGTCTCTCTCTCTGGTCTCTCTCTGGTCTCTCTCTGGTCTCTCTCTAGTCTCTCTTTGGTCTCTCTCTGGTCTCTCTCTGGTCTCTCTCTGGTCTCTCTCTGGTCTCTCTCTGGTCTCTCTCTGGTCTCTCTCTGGTCTCTCTCTGTCTCTCTTTAGTCTCTCTCTGGTCTCTCTCTGGTCTCTCTTTGGTCTCTCTCAATCTCTCTGGTCTCTCTTTGGTCTCTCTTTGGTCTCTCTCAGGTCTCTCTTTGGTCTCTCTCTGGTCTCTCTTTGGTCTCTCTCTGGTCTCTCTCAGGTCTCTCTCAGGTCTCTCTCTGGTCTCTCTTTGGTCTCTCTTTGGTCTCTCTCTGGTCTCTCTCTGTCTCTCTCTAGTCTCTCTTTGGTCTCTCTCTGGTCTCTCTCTGGTCTCTCTCTGGTCTCTCTCTGGTCTCTCTCTGGTCTCTCTCTGGTCTCTCTTTGGTCTCTCTTTGGTCTCTCTTTGGTCTCTCTCTCTCTCTCTGGTCTCTCTTTGGTCTCTCTCCTCTGGTCTCTCTCTGGTCTCTCTCTGGTCTCTCTTTGGTCTCTCTTTGGTCTCTCTTTGGTCTCTCTCTGGTCTCTCTCTGGTCTCTCTTTGGTCTCTCTCTGGTCTCTCTCTGGTCTCTCTCTGGTCTCTCTCTGGTCTCTCTCTGGTCTCTCTGGTCTCTCTCTGGTCTCTCTTTGGTCTCTCTCTGGTCTCTCTCTGGTCTCTCTCTGGTCTCTCTCTGGTCTCTCTTTGGTCTCTCTCTGGTCTCTCTCTGGTCTCTCTCTGTCTCTCTCTAGACTCTCTCACTTGTTCTCTTACACAGGTCCAATGTTTCTAAATCTCCAGGACCAGAGACATGAGAAAATCCCTCGTCATGACGGTTCTTTCCCAGGCTCTGCTGTCATTGAAGGTGTAGAGGGGTCAGAGGTCCCCGGACCAATGCCCTGGGAGAGGTTCTACTATCACTGAGACACACACACTGACTGAGACAGAGGCAGAATCATGACAAAGTGAAGGAGCAAATTATATTATTACTTGTTGTTTATGCTGATGGTAACTGTGGATCAGGGATAAATGCAGAGGCTTCACAAAGAGAGCAGACAGGACAGAGGGAAGTGGGGGAACTGGTTAATCTGTTAAAATAAAGGTCAAAGGATTAGAGTCAAATCATTTAGGGGTAAATTTCTCATTCATGTTTAGTGTTAAGAGATAAGTCCCAGATGAGAGGTGAGATTGATAGCCACATATATTCTTAGTCAAAAAAGTGTATCTTAAATTATCTAATCTTATTAGACAAAGCATCAAAAAGTGCTGGATCCTGGACTTGGCCTTTTAGTCAGTTTCCTCTGGGCGGCGATTTCTCCCATCACCCAAAAAACAAAAATCCTCCAGCTCAAGCCCTGACCAAAAGAATGAGGATGGATCCAAACAGTCTAGTCCAAGCACAGTTCATCTGAGGTTTGTCTTTTATTCTAGCACCAAAACTGGGTTAAATCCTGAGAAGGTTGTTGTAGAAACTCACTTTAGGAACCTCTAAATGAGCTTTATTTGAGACTTTATAAAACATAAACTGAGTCGGTCACCTGGTGCACACACTGAGGTCTGAGGTCCGGAGCCTGAGGCCGAGGTCTCGTGCCGCAGCTGATGTCGATTCTGCAGAGCGTCACATGGAGCGAGTCTTGAGACGCTGCAGAGGAATGTGAGCTTCTGACTGTTGAACCTGCAGATCTGTCTGTGCTCTCAACTCAACTCAATGAATTCTTGTACATACCTAATTCACAACAGTGGTCGCCTCGAAGGACTTTACACAAACCGCTGATATGGCGAAAGAAATGCAATGATAGAAAACACATACACTGTAAACCCTAACAAGTAAGGTTTACTTGAAAAAACCTTGGAAATAAATTGCATATTAACTTCACTTGAATTACTCGAGTACATCCTTTACTTGATATTACCAAGTAACTCAAGGGATTGCAATAAATTTTAAATTTTGCTCCGACCAGGAGTCGAACTCACAATCTTGAAGTTGAGAGGTGGAGGTGCTACCCACTCAGCAACCATGCTGCCTTGCCCCATTTCACACCCGTCTTATTTAACACTCTACACATCAAAATGTAAAAAGTGAGGCTTACTTGAACAGAGACAGTTCAATTCAAAGAAAACCCTGAGTGATATCGCCAAGCTTTAAATAAACTAACAATAAATGAGTAATATCCACTTACTGGGAAAAATCTATTTAGAATAACTTTGATATCTGAAGTACGATTGAAGTTAGGGTTTACAGTGATAGAGCCATAAATGCCAGCTGGTTTCACACAAGTGGATCTCTCACAGCACTGACAGCCCGGTGCAGCCACATTTACACACCGCAATATTAAAGCAAAGGGACTGGATTTAAAACCACAAATGGTAAAACTACGTGTTTAAAACCAGCAAATGCTTAATTCACACCAGAGAATCTTCTACATGAGCAGATGAGAGGTTTAGGGCCCAGTTGAGTCGCTCTGAAAGACAAATATTGGACATAAGTCTGAGATCTGATTCAGAATAGTTTAAGTCCTGGTTCTGGTTCAACCCAATGTTTTTGTTTGTATATTTGACCTCTCCAACATGACACACATCACTTTAAACGGTTTGGTGGCTTCACATCTCAACATCTTTCCCAAACTGGTTCTTAAAGTGCTCTCTGCTTCACTTTGGGACTGGAGTGAGACCACATCCTCAGTCTCAGGTTTTATCTCGCCGCCGGTTCCTTGACTTCCTCGTTGATTCTCGGAGTTTGTGGTCAAAGAGTTCTTATTTCTCCAAAGTCCCACTTCTTGTTATGGTTCATAAGGTAATGTGCTGTAGACGTTCTCTGTCACCGTAACCCCAGGACCGAGCTCTGAGCCTCTTATCCTAATCCTCCTCCAGGACAAAGGTCATGACATATTTGGACCAGATCTACACGAATGTTACACACTATAAAGAACGATAACAAAAAGTAGTGACCATTATTATTACAAAACTAATGGAACCAGAATCCACAAAACATGTAATATGTTGTAGATTCTTTGTGGGTCGGACTCGATCTAGAAATTGATTTGAACTTCAAGATTTCAGAGTTGTTCCTTGCAGATGCAGGAGGGTCTAAGAAAAGTGTTGATCCGGGACATTTATTATTATTTCTAGACAGTGGTCATCCCGATCCCTTTGAACCAGTGGCTCCTCTGTGTTTGTCACGATTGCATGTCCTGTGTTCCAACTGTTTGATTCTCTGATCTGTTGTTGGTGAATCAACAACTTTGTAAATTAAATTGAGATCTAAAATCAAGTTCCTCCTCTGTATCAGGAAAGTCAAACAAATTAAAACTGTATTAATCATTTTTTTCATCAACTTACATAGTAGGCTGTATAAGATGTAAGATCACTTTCCCAAGAGAAATAAAAGAGGCATAGGTTGTGCCCACGAAAACAATGGATAAATACTTCAGATCTAGCCTGGTCTTACCAAACCATCGCACTAATTTCATCTCGTAAATGTAGGCAAATGAAAGGCCAGGCTACCTCAGATCTGATAATTAAATATGTTTCTACTAACATTTGTGCTTTGGGGACTACTCGACCCGTCACATCTGCTGCTGATGTTGTCTTTACAGAACTGCAGGAAATTCTAAACATGATTTTGTGTCAAATCTTCTGTTGTAGTGAAAGCAGCATCTCACCTGTGGCTTTAAACATGGACAGAAGGAGATCATAAATACATGCTTCTCTCCACCATGTTACCGCAGCGTGAGGTGATGCTGGTCCTGTGCCTCCTGGTCCTGTGCCTCCTGGTCCAGTGCCTCCTGGTCCTGTGCCTCCTGGTCCTGTGCCTCCTGGTCCTCTGCCTCCTGGTCCTCTGCCTCCTGGTCCTGTGCCTCCTGGTCCTGTGCCTCCTGGTCCTCTGCCTCCTGGTCCTCTGCCTCCTGGTCCTCTGCCTCCTGGTCCTCTGCCTCCTGGTCCTCTGCCTCCTGGTCCTGTGCCTCCTGGTCCTGTGCCTCTTCTGGTGCTGCAGAGCTGAGAGACTCATGACGAAACACTCAGAAAACTCAGAGAGAACTCTTGATGTGTCATTGTCTTTACACTATTCATTGTCCTGGTTTGTGACTTCCTGTTACTCACAACAGCTATAAAGTATTCTGATTCTAAAGTTTTGGACTTATTGGGAAAAACACAAAACATAATATTCAAGGCATCAGGTATTTAAGGTCACATGACCTCATTCATATCCATGTTGTTTGGACCAGTTACTGCGAGAAAGCATCTTTGAAATGACACACACCATGTGAGCTGAAACACCCTCTCTGGGGCCTGGACTTCCCTGAGAGAGACTCTGAAATCTCAGTGAGACTTTCACGGAAGTTTAATAGTGTCAACACTGGCTCAGTTGGTCTCTTTGGTCTTTGAACCTAATGGTCGTAGGTTCGATCCCCTCACGACCCACCACCTGTAGGAGGATCAGCGAGGGAGTGGTGCTACTATGAGCATTGGGTGGCAGCTCTCATTGCCACTTCCCAACCCAGAAATGGACTAACAAAGGGGATTTTAATGAATGAATGAATGAATAAAGGTTAACAGAATAAACAAAACATTTCAAATCCACAACCAATAACAACACAGACTGTATCTAGAGGAACACAACAATTTGACACACTTTCAAAGGCAGATCTGTGTTTTTGCGAATGAGCAGTTCCAGAATAGTTTCCATGTCGGACTGTAGTGGTTCTGGATCAGCTGACCCTCTCTGTATCACGTTATGACTGCACTAAGTCTGCAAAGAATGTGGAGGATTTTAAGCCAAATCAACCTTTCATAAAACTTCATCAGAAACTCTTTGAAGCCGGACTGTGGTCAGAGACGCAGGAATGTGGCTGGATCCTCCTTCTGCAGCCCGTGGACTTTTACCTGTGATTCTGTGTTTGTGTGTTTCAGTGAAGGAAAGAGGATTTTGATGTTTAGATGAGACCAGATTTTTTCCAATTTGAGTGATTTTGAGATTTTATCATTTACAGAACCTTAAATAATGTACAGACCCTTTGGAATCATATGAGAATGTGTGTGTCTTTCCGTTTGTGCGTCTATCTCTGTGTATGTGTGTTTCTCTGTTTGTGCACCTATCTCTGTGTATGTGTGTTTCTCTGTTTGTGCATCTATCTCTGTGTATGTGTGTTTCTCTGTTTGTGCATCTATCTCTGTGTATGTGTGTTTCTCTGTTTGTGAATCTATCTCTGTGTATGTCTGTCTGTTTGTGCGTCTATCTGTGTCTCTCTGTTTGTGCGTCTGTCTCTGCGTATGTGTGTCTCTCAGTTTGTGCATCTGTCTCTGTGTATGTGTTTCTCTCTGTGGGCGACAGTAGCTCAGTTGGTAGAGCATTGGCCTTTGAGCCAGAGGGTCGTGGGTTCGAGCCCGACCATCACCAGCAACTCCTTGGCAAGACACTTAATCTCTGGGAACACCAGCCACAGTGGGGCGGCTGCGGCTGTAAAGTGCCAAACTGCCGTTGTGTCCTTAGGCAAGACACTTCACCCCCATTGCCTAGAATGAGTCTGGTGTGTGTGAATGGTTGGTGGTCGGAGTGGCCAATGGCACATACTGGTTGCCTCGCTTCTGTCAGTGTGCCCCAGGGCAGCTGTGGCTACAGTAGTAGTTTATCACCACCGTGTGTGGAGTGAATGAATAATGACACACGTGAAGTGTCTTTGAGTGTCCAGAAAAGCGCTATATAAAACCAATGAATTATTATCTGTTTGTGCGTCTGTCTCTGTGTATGTGTGTTTCTCTGTTTGTGCGTCTGTCTCTGTGTATCTCTCTGTTTGTGCGTCTGTTTCTGCGTTTCTCTGTGCGTCTGTCTCTGTGTATATGTTTCTCAGTTTGTGCATCTGTCTCTGCGTATGCTTGTTTCTCTGTTTGTGCATCTGTCTCTGCGTATGTGTCTCTATTGAAGGGGGATTACTTTTTAAGTAATGTAATAATTTTATTTTTTGTTTTAGTTTCTTATTTAAGTTTATTTGTGCCCTGTTTCATATTGTTTAATGTCTGTATTGGAGGGATGTGTGTGTGTGTGTGTGTGTACTTTCATCACTAATTAACCTACACTACACAAAGAAAAGAACGTCCACTCCCTCTGTGCTCAGAATCAAAAGTCGACATTTCTGGTTTATAATGATCATTTATTAACAGATATTTATCAACATTAAAATGCAGGAATGAGTCCCTTCTGTGTGAACATGGCACAATCATCATATGTACATTCTTTTACAGACAGTGCACGACTCGGGGATCCGGGGGCCAGTGTGTGTGTGTGTGTGTGTGTGATCTATTTTCTTTTTTTTAAACAAAGAAACATGGCAATCGGCAATCCCCAGTAAACAAAAAATAATCCTACACTTTAGTCACAGAATGGTTTTCTATGTACAATAATCTAAGAACAAGTTTACTCCACACCAACCACAGAGTGCGAGGCTGGGGTCGTGTTCTAGAAGATTCCACAGTGGCAACACTTCACTAAGAGCCCAAAGATCAATCAAACAGGCCGAGAAATGTGTTGAAATAAAAAAATTATTGAGTATTTGAGACCATAGACTGTATATGAGGAAAGGACTAACCCAGTGGCTTTTTGTAGAGGTCGTGATTGAACGTAAGCTAGCTGGAGCCATGAGCTAGCTGGAGCCATGAGCTAGCTGGAGCCATGAGCTAGCTGGAGCCATGAGCTAGTTGGAGCCTATTTCTTTATATGTGAAATATGTTTTGATAGGGTTAGCATAGCAACATAACAGGGCAGATGTGTTGCTAAGGCAGGCTGGAGTTTCCCCCGCAAATGAAGGCATCTGATTGGTCTATCTTTATATCTGGATTTTACAATATCAAATCATAAACCTAGGATCACAGAAAGAGCTAAAACACAGATTTTTTAAGCCCCAAATGATGAGCGTGACAAACGGTTACTGAACTAAAAGGAGTTTACTTTTCAATGTAAGCCAATGGAAAACCGAGGGAGTTGGAGCAATAATGTGTTCATGAGCACTTGTCTTAAAAGATGATGAGAAGATGTTGTCATTGAGCTAGCGTCATGAGGGTTAGCGTTGTCCATTTATATACAGTATGGTTTAGACCTGGCTGTTCTTTAACACATGCGGAATTTTGTATTAGTTCCAGTCTCTCTCTCTCATATATAAGCTTTGCTTTTCACAGAATTGACTTGAAAGTAAAATGGTCGACCAAAAGTATAGTACTTTTGCATGTATCTAAAAAAAAAAACCCTAAATGAAATGAAATTTGGGTCAAAACAATTGCACCTTTCAAACAGCCTGATCACTCGCTTGAACAGACATACTTTATTTCCTGTGCTATTTAAACTTAACTTCTCACTTCTTAAAGCCGGGGTACCTCACTTTCAATAAATAACACATGAAGTTTGTACCAACAGAAATAGTAATGTGAACAAAACCAACCATGTTTTCTCCAAACATTTGATCTATTTTATTCTTGTAACAAAGAGCTCCGTGAGGCACTGTTCGACAATTTGGGCTGATTTGCTGAGTGTTTATCTCTCTCATGTTAAGATGTACTTTTGTAGGGTTATCTTTCCTCTGCAGTTGACCCATCCTACCACTAGTTGACACTTGGATTTTCAAGTGAGAAAACCAGGGGATGAAACCAAACCGTTTTGAGAGCGAAGGACTAGGATCTGAAAACATAGTTCGTGTTTTTGTGGTATAAAAAGGAAAGTACCCCAGCTTTTCGTCTCCATAACAATTGAATCTTTGCCTTAGTGCAAGTGTTACCAAAGCAACAACCACAAAACCTGTTCCGTCCTTAGCTTATGCTTAAAGCTCATTGCACTTCACCCCAAAGACAGACTTTTGTGTCTCTTGTTTATGTGGATGATCCTGTACTTTAGCTCCACACTTCCTGGTTCAGTGTCCGGTCAGATAGTCCTGCGTTGAGTCCGAGGCGAAAGAATCTGCGTCTTCATTATCGGAGTCCTCGCTGCTGTCGTCGGCGGCCTGCTCTCCGGAGAGCGCGATGCGAGCGTAGTCGTCCGTGTCGATGGATTTGCAGAAGTGGATGGCGTACTTGAGTTTCTCCTCCAGCACCTGTCGGCACGAGTACCGCGGCAGCTTCAGCAGGAAGAAGCAGGTGTAGGACTCTGGCAGGAAGTGGTCAGGAGGGTTGTACTTGTCCAGCACCTGGAAACAGACACAGACCAGGAGGAATTACGGTACTGCCACATCACAGACCAGGAGGAGGGGACAATGTACAACCCCAAATAAAATACTGGATAGTTTTGTGCTAATGCTGTCAGTGAAATGTGTAAATAACAGCGTTAACACAAACCAGTTTTATCAATGTGTATTTTATAAGTATGTAATTTCACTGAAAGCTGCGTCCCTGCGCGGCAAAAAGTACACATGGGTCTTATTTTAGGCTAAAAAGTGCCTGGCCATGCGGTGCGCCAGCGTGCGTTGTGCTACAGGTTTCTACCACGGGCACGTATCTGAAATCAGCCTCGCTGCCTTTTACACGTCACTGTGCGAGATTTTCTGCTTCAGATGCAAAACATATGGTCTTTGGGATAGAAAGCCTGTATCCATCGACCTCTTCTACTGATGTCACCTGTGCCTCACCTGTACCTGATGTCACCTGTCTCTCACCTGTACCTGATGTCACCTGTCTCTCACCTGTACCTGATGTCACCTGTCTCTCACCTGTACCTGATGTCACCTGTACCTGATGCAACCTGTCTCTCACCTGTACCTGATGTCACCTGTCTCTCACCTGTACCTGATGTCACCTGTCTCTCACCTGTACCTGATGCAACCTGTTTCTCACCTGTACCTGATGTCACCTGTCTCTCACCTGTACCTGATGTCACCTGTCTCTCACCTGTACCTGATGTCACCTGTCTCACCTGTACCTGATGTCACCTGTCTCTCACCTGTACCTGATGTCACCTGTCTCTCACCTGTACCTGATGTCACCTGTCTCTCACCTGTACCTGATGTCACCTGTCTCTCACCTGTACCTGATGCAACCTGTCTCTCACCTGTACCTGATGTCACCTGTCTCTCACCTGTACCTGATGTCACCTGTCTCTCACCTGTACCTGATGTCACCTGTCTCTCACCTGTACCTGATGTCACCTGTCTCTCACCTGTACTGATGTCACCTGTCTCTCACCTGTACCTGATGCAACCTGTCTCTCACCTGTACCTGATGTCACCTGTCTCTCACCTGTACCTGATGTCACCTGTCTCTCACCTGTACCTGATGTCACCTGTCTCTCACCTGTACCTGATGCAACCTGTCTCTCACCTGTACCTGATGCAACCTGTCTCTCACCTGTACCTGATGTCACCTGTCTCTCACCTGTACCTGATGTCACCTGTCTCTCACCTGTACCTGATGTCACCTGTCTCTCACCTGTACCTGATGTCACCTGTCTCTCACCTGTACCTGATGCAACCTGTCTCTCACCTGTACCTGATGTCACCTGTCTCTCACCTGTACCTGATGTCACCTGTCTCTCACCTGTACCTGATGTCACCTGTCTCTCACCTGTACCTGATGTCACCTGTCTCTCACCTGTACCTGATGTCACCTGTCTCTCACCTGTACCTGATGTCACCTGTCTCTCACCTGTACCTGATGTCACCTGTCTCTCACCTGTACCTGATGCAACCTGTCTCTCACCTGTACCTGATGTCACCTGTCTCTCACCTGTACCTGATGTCACCTGTCTCTCACCTGTACCTGATACAACCTGTGCCTCACCTGTACCTGATGTCACCTGTCTCTCACCTGTACCTGATGTCACCTGTCTCTCACCTGTACCTGATGTCACCTGCCTCTCACCTGTACCTGATGTCACCTGTCTCTCACCTGTACCTGATGCAACCTGTCTCTCACCTGTACCTGATGTCACCTGTCTCTCACCTGTACCTGATGTCACCTGTCTCTCACCTGTACCTGATACAACCTGTGCCTCACCTGTACCTGATGTCACCTGTCTCTCACCTGTACCTGATGTCACCTGTCTCTCACCTGTACCTGATGTCACCTGTCTCTCACCTGTACCTGATGTCACCTGTCTCTCACCTGTACCTGATGTCACCTGTCTCTCACCTGTACCTGATGTCACCTGTCTCTCACCTGTACCTGATGTCACCTGTCTCTCACCTGTACCTGATGTCACCTGTCTCTCACCTGTACCTGATGTCACCTGTCTCTCACCTGTACCTGATGTCACCTGTCTCTCACCTGTACCTGATGTCACCTGTCTCTCACCTGTACCTGATGTCACCTGTCTCTCACCTGTACCTGATGTCACCTGTCTCTCACCTGTACCTGATGTCACCTGTCTCTCACCTGTACCTGATACAACCTGTGCCTCACCTGTACCTGATGTCACCTGTCTCTCACCTGTACCTGATGTCACCTGTCTCTCACCTGTACCTGATGTCACCTGTCTCTCACCCGTACCTGATACAACCTGTGCCTCACCTGTACAACAAAGTCCCGCCCCCTGAAGTCTGCGATGGTGCGCGGCAGGCGAGTGCGTCCCCACACGAAGCGCAGGAACAGGGATCGTTCAGTGTTGGAGAAGGACTCCATCACGTCCCAGAACCACTGGATCAGCGGCGCCGTGGGCTCCACCCCTTTGTACGTGGCCACGGACTTCAGCAGGTGAAGAGGGATGTCCGGACTGCCACACACCTGAGGCGAGAGGACAGGGATGGTCAGACGTTAAGACAAACAACATTCTCACACCGTCATTTCAGGACTACGCTACTTTTTTCTAGTTCCCTGACCCCTGTGGTATAGAGTGATGTGGTTAATGTGTGTGTTTTTTATTGTGGTAGAGTTGTCAAAGCAGAGTTTAAAAACGTATCATTGTGACTAAAACTTTTAGTAGCTATAGGACATTGTCAAAACAGATGACAGTGAATGAGTGATGGAAGCGAAGGATGAAGCTGTTTAACTCTTCATTTAAAACAGTCTCTCTGCTACATTACAACATGAAAGGCTGGAGCCAAAAGCTAGCTGGAGCCCATTTCTTTTTCTTGACCAGTACTTTTTCTTAAAATGTAATGCTAATATACAGGTGCCCTTACAGTCCAGAAAGTACGGTACTTATTGACTAAACTTGTTCACTCTATTCTTCAGAGAGAGTATTAGTCATCACCACGGTCATACGCTGTCGCTGGAATCTTTGTATAAATGACAAATTTGAAGATGGAAAAAAATCTATTGGTAATGTTTTGTAATTTGTTTTTTTCAGTTTCCCTGTGGATTAAACAAGTGGCTGTTTCATATTTTTGAAAAGGTGCTTAAATTGGAGAATAGTGCATGTGGCTCGTTTGAGAACTAATTGTAATCAGCAGAGTTCTCCTGAGGACCCACCATCGTCTCCAGCTCATAACCGGTGAAGAGAGAGAGCAGAGGGACCGGAACCACACGAGCCATTCCCTCGCGGACTGCCGACACCTGCTCATCAAACTCATGAAGCCTGAGGAGAAGAGAAACACACACACAGTGAACGTTTAAAGAAAATATGATTATTGTTTTTGGATATTTTTACTACTTTTTAAGAATGAATTGTCAGTAAATGAAATCACTGCATCAGGTGTGTGTTGTACTTTTGTTCAAATGGAGCAGAGCATTAGAGAAGGGGACGAAAGATTTTTACTAAACTGTATCAAATAAAATTCAATTCCATTCAATGTATTTGTGTACAGAATCACAACAGCATTTATCTCAGAGGACTTTACAAAGTTGTTGATTCTCTTGAGCTTCTCTGCCTATCACAAGGGAAAAGGCGATGTGAGGAACAAAAAGGGGACAAAAAGTAAAGTATGATGCATGCCAACCAGTGCAAAAATGTAAATACAATGTAACACTTGAATAAAAAATTGATCACAAAAAAAGCTTTGTAAAGTCCTCTGAGATAACTACTGTTGTGATTTAGGACTATACAAAAATACATTGAATTTCAGATTCAGTTTGCCATTTGCAGTAAAACCACATTAGCATAACTGTGCAGGACTACCCCAGTGTGCAGATAGCCACCAGACAGAGCAGATAGTACACACCAGAGCTCTTTCCATTGTCAGTGAATGTAGCCCTCACCTGTAGTTAATGGCCAGGCGGACATATTCAGCACGGTTTTCCAGAGTGATGTGTGAGTGTTTGGAGCTGAGCTGGATGTCCTGACCGCTGGCATTGGGGACCGTGAAGGGCAAGGTCATCGCCTCGAACTCCTCCGCCGTAGCTTCATTGTCCCGAATGTACATCAGGCCAGGAATAAAGTCTTTATCAACCTGTGAGACAACAAAAAGAAGGTTGTCAGTCTTAAGTTTTTTAAAAAGCAGGAAATTTTCCTTCACACCGCTCATAGTTTGGCCCTGAGCAATGTTTGTAAACACTACTCTAGTCTTGTGCTGGTTTAATCCTCATTCTAACCTTTTTAAGAACTACAGTGCACAGGCACAAGACAAGAGGTGCTCTGTGAGGCCTTTTTCACAGAACTATCAGGAACTTGTGATCAGAGCGTGAGGCACAAGTAGAGGCTCACTCAGGCAGAAAGCCAAGGTTAAAGCACACCAGGCCAAAAGTACAATGCTCTGAAGGCAAGATATATAAATGTGTAGGTCTGTACTATGAGTCTCACTGAGGTGGGCTTACTCTAATCTCAGCAGGAATGCATAGAACTCACTGCACTGGCTCTAATGCAGCTTAGAAGTTAAATAATGTACTCAAGTATTCATGTGACACGTCATAACCAACCCAGTGAAGGGGAACAATAACGTTGATAATAGAGTTTCCTATCGGAGTTTCTGCTCCTCGTACCTCACTGAGGTCAGCGATGGTCAAGTTCATGCCTGCCAGCTGCTTCCACACCGGCTCGGCCAGATTCAGACTCAGAGGGCTCCCAGTGCGGATGGCGATGCCCAGCAGCACCCCTGCAGACACAGACATGAACAGCGTCACCAGGACGATACAGAAGAGAGAGCTCAGGACGTCAGCCCAGGGTTTTATCAGCAATAACACAAACCAGCTTTTAGGTTTGTTTAGGAGTAACACCAGAGTGAGAGGATGTGGATTATACCTAGGAAGCGGAACATGCTCATGTGCAGCGGGGACTTGGCCGCAGGATTCAACAGGAAACAGTCTCTGTTGGCGCCGGACTCGTCGCGTCCATTCGGGGTGACGATGAGCAGCGGCGTCAGGGCATTCTGCAGCTCCTCACACATCTCTGCGATGGACTCACTGTAGCCTCCACCACAGTCGTCCACAGACTCCCCTGAGGACAGCACCACATGTGTTAGAGAACACACTGGACTCTCAGGACCAGATCCTCCTCCTGATGTGACAAGAGCTCACCCACAAACTTGACCTTCCAGACTCTGTGGGGGAGCAGCAGGCTGTCAGGGCTGAAGGAGCTCATCTTTGAACACATCTGACCAAACACAGACTTGGTGCCGTCTGGACCTGCCAGACCCCCTTTGCTACGAGAACGCTTCACCTGCAGTGAGAAAAGCACAAGATAAAAAATAATGATAACCATTGGCTGCTCACTGGAAGTGACGGCAGTGACGGCTTGAGATTTACCCCTCTGATACATGAGTCTTGTATCGTACCTGTATCCTGTTGAGCTCCACCACAGGGCCGTGCTGTCGATCTCGCACCATTGTAGCTTGAACCACTTTCCTGAAAGCTGCTTCCTAAAAACAATGTGTGAAAAAAAGGATTATAACACTGTCACTGTGTTTCAGGTCTTTACTTCAGTCGTACTTTGCCCTGAGAGATCAGGATCCCCCTGAGGGTGTCCACCCCCACACTGAGCCCCTGTCCCGTCTGGCCAAGCCGGCCCTCCAGGTCGAACATGGGGATACAGGGGCAGAAGAGCTCAGAGATATGGTGCAGCAGCAGTAGCCGGTTCCTCAGGGCCATGATGGGGATCTCCTGCAGGTGGTTGTACTCCATAGGAACCTGAACCAAAAGAGGAACTAGTGTTTATGCTTGATTCAGCTAAAGCAGTGCTGCCCCCTGCTGGAGGAGAGTCTGCAGAACCATTAGCTTCATCTGAGTGTTACCTGAGCCGGGAGTTTCCCAGCGTTGGTGGGTTTACTGGTGGACCAGGCCAGAGTGTGGGCGGAGCCACAGGCCACTCTGTTGATCTTCTTGCCCTGGAGCGCAGCGACCAGGCGCGGCCTCTGGATGGCATTGGTGGTTCCGTCTCCGAGTTGGCCCTCGTCATTGTCTCCCCATGTGTACACCTCTCCTGCTTCAATAACACATGAACATTAGACTTCAGAGGAGACTCTCTGTGACTGATCCTGGGTCAGAGACGTACCATCCTCTGTACAGCAGACGCAGTGCAGCGAGCCCGTGGCGATGGCGATGACCTTCTTCCCCTGCAGCCCCTGGACCTGCCGCGGGCGCCGCACATGGTCGTCTGAACCGTGGCCCAGACGGTGGTAATCTCCTTTGCCCCTGTGATATTAATAAAGTATTATTGAGTGATGATTATTTCAGATGCCATATGGTGGTAAACGTCCAGTATAAGAGAAGCTACAACAACAACAACATACCAAGTGTAAACTGAGCCAGACTTGGTCAGAGCCACAGAAAACTGGGATCCACATTCCACTTTCACCACTCCGAGACCAGTGAGAGAGTCGATCTAAGACACAAGAACAAACATTTTATTGTTTTGACTGAACGCCTTCAGTCCATTAGACGCTTTTGAGCTTTTAAACAAGTTACATATATAAATAAAGATTACTTACTTACTTACTTACTTACTTACAATATTGTTCCCTGGTCTAAAACGGACAGAGTTGTTTTTTAGATTAATTCATGCCAATACCAGGAACTTCTGGCACAAACCTGTAACTCGCCCCTTCTATCTAAAAGCTGTGGTCTCAGTCTTCTAAAAGTATGATGTCATTGTACCACTATGACATCATACTTCTTTACAATTGCATGGCTGCAGCCATTAATTGGAAATTTGGGGAAATAAAAATCTCAACTCTGTGGTAGACTAGGGAGTTACAGGAGGAAAGCCTTTTTTACCCTTCTGACTTGTTTTACCATATAATCTCTACTCTATGAGTAAAAAGTCATTTTTAAGGGCCAAAAATAACACATGTAAGCACATTGGAATTCCCTTGGCTCTGGTTGTACCTTCATGGGGACTTTGCAGCCGTCGCTGCCTCCGCGCCCCAGTTTACCGTAGTCTCCGTCTCCCCATGACCAGACCATGTCGTCGTCTGTGAGACACAGAGTCTGAGCGTCTCCACTACCACAGGCCACATCGATCACACGGTGTCCCTGCAGGGCATCCACCTACACAGAGAGAGACAGAGAGACACACACAGACTGAGTGAGTGAGAGAGAGCTTGCATGTGTGTGTGTTTACTGTATGATTGCATAATGTAATAAAACCAATTCAAAAATGGTCCAAAGACGGTTGAAACATGTACCAGTTTAGGTTTGAGCTGGTCCTCACTGTCTCCATGACCCAGTCGTCCATAGCGTCCTTTGCCCCAAGTAAAGAGCTCTCCGCTGGTCGTGATACAAGCGCTGTGTGCCCCTCCAGCTGCAATGTCCACCACCTCCACCCCCCGCAGGGACTCGATCACACGTGGACGATCACACGGGCTGCAGACACACACACACACACACACTCAGTACTAACGCCCTCAGAGCTCACGAGAATCTCATGACGTCAGAGAAGGACTAAGAACGGTTTTGTCGATATGGGAGAGATATGAAAAAGTAATCAATCAATATCATTGGGGAAAACCTATTAAAACTTAGGTAATTATTAGATAGAATATAATTTGTTTCAAAAATTACAATTGTTGTGACATGTGTTTATACATTTTCAGTGCAATGGTATTATAATGAGTCTATTTTGATGCTAAAAAGATGTACACTGGGGGTTCCTTTAGGGCCCTGATCACATGACTTATCACAAATGTATACTGTATGTCAGTTAGAATACTTATACATACTGACCTCCTGTTCCCGTGACCCAGTTTCCCGTCCTCGGCCTCTCCCCATGAGTACACCTCTCCCTCTGAGGACAGGGCGAGGCAGTGCTTCCCTCCAGAGTTCACGGCCACTTTGCGGATGAACACGTGTTGGATGGACTCCAGCAGAGTGGGCGTGGACACCGACTCTGTCCCACCGATGCCAAGTCTGCCGCCCGCTCCGTATCCAGTCGCATACAGCTGTGGAGCAAGAGAGGAAGCTATTCAACACAATACGACCCAGAAACAGACATGAACATATAGATTTAGATTTTTTCACATGTATTTTTGCAGAGCTCTATTCCAGACAGAGTGAGCATAATCTTAGTAGTTTGGACCAATTTTAACTGAGATATGATATATTTCAGTTAAATATATCATATAGAAGACAAACAGTGATATTTGAGAAAGTAAATAAAGATTGTATAATTTGCAGAAAGCGTGCAAGAATTATTTAAACCTAATTGGGCATGTTTTATACATCCTCCTTTTGCAGAAACAAAACAACCCAGAGGTGTCAAACTCAGTTTGGGCAGGGGCCAGATAAAAAGACTAGGAACTGGTCATGGGCCGAAAGAATAGAAGGTATTTCCTTTTCTTATAAATATTTTTTACATTATGAAGGTATTTTGACATTTTTCTTAAACAAAATGATTTTTGTGTGTAGATTTAACCAAAACTGGATCAAACAAGTTAAAAACATTTTCTACATAGAACTATTTCACTTTTAATGATGTGTTGGATAACATTTTAGAATACATTAAATTTGATTGTTCTTCTGAGAAAATGAATGATGTAAAACATGGCTCGGTAAACCCATAACCATCAATACTGAAAGTTAGTAGTAATAATTGAATATAATTTCAGGGGCCACTAAAAATTGTCCTGAGACGGAGGAGAGAGCACGCTGGGAGGGAAATTCGAAAAGTTCTTTTTCGGCGTCTCCTTTTTTTATTTTGCTGTATGACAACTTGTCTTGACGTTCGTAAGTTACGACTTTGCACTTATAACGGACCTTGGAGTATTGACTTTACTTAATATAGTTTGTTAGACCTCGGGTCATGTCCTCCGCGTCAGGGGGTGGTGAAAGGGATAAGGTATCGAGAAAACGGGAAGACTCTTTAGAAAAGGACGAAGGTAGACTGCTTAAAATGGCTAAATCTGTGGCGGAGTTTAAAGTGATTTTCAAGCTGAAAGAGCAAACCGGTGAGGGGTTCAGGGCTATGAACCCTCTAAAGATCGCTGAGTCATTAAGAGCAATCGGGGAAAATCTAAAGGCTCAAACTCTTGGAAATGGAGCTTTGTTGGTGTTTTGCTCCAACAAGGAGCAAGTGGCTAAGGCCCAGAAAATTGGGAAAATATGTGGGAAAAAAGTGGAAATGTCTCTCTCTGAACAAAGGGATGTGATTAAAGGTGTCATCTATAATGTGGCTGGAAGTCTGACTGATAAAGAAATTGAGTAAAACTTAAAAGGAGGAGAAGTAGTTGAAGTAAAGCGTTTCAAAGCTCGTGAAGGGAGTAATGGCAGTGCCCCAGTTTTGATTACATTTAAGGGAAGCAGTCTTCCAATTCGTGTGTTTCTTGGCTGTATGTCATATCAGGTTAGGGCCAATATTAGGCCCCCTCTGAGGTGCTTTAAGTGCCAGAGGTTCGGCCACATGGCAGCTGCCTGTAGAGGTGACAGGAGATGTGCAAAATGTGGGGGGAATCATGATGTCTCTGGTTGTGATGGCCTTACTCTGAAATGCTGTAACTGTGGGGGAAATCACATGGCGTCATCTAAGGAGTGCGGTTATTTTACAAAAGCAAAGCAAGTACAAGAAGTTAAAGAGCAGCACAAAATCTCATATGCCGATGCTTTAAAAAGAGTGGAAGGAAGGGTTAACCCTAGTGTGTCCTCTAGGACTGTTGTGGGAGGTCCTGCTGTGGCACAGCTCACCTGTATCTGTTCCTCACAACTGTTTTATGGTTCACAAAGAGTCGTTTCTGGCCTTTATAGTTGATGTTCTTTATTCTAATAGGGGAAAAGGCTCCAGAGCTGATATTCTAAAGTATGTAACTTTGGCTGGCAGCAGATTCTTGGGGCTTAAATATTTTGCTCCCCAGTCGCTGCAGGATTTTATGGCAGCAAGTCAGAGGAGTCAGGAGGAAAGGGAGTTTGAGATGGGAGAGTTGATTGATTTGGATGATGGGGCTTTTAGTGATGAGGCTTGTGATTAGTATCTTTCTTATGGTTTACATTTTGCAGTGGAATGCAAGGAGCCTCATTGCAAACGGACAGGAGGTTAAAAAGTTCATTAGGGATTATCATTCACAACCTGATATTATATGTGTCCAGGAAACGTGGCTAAAACCTAACCTTGATTTTGTCATCCCGGGCTATGCAACCGTCCGTAAGGATAGAGTGAGCAGGCCTGGTGGTGGATGCGCCACATTTATTAGAACAGGTATCCAGTATAAAAGTTATGAGTGGGAGGGGTCGCTTGAGTGTGTGATAATTGAGGTATGGTGTAATGAGGGTAACTTATTTTTGATTAATTGTTATAACCCAAGCCTAAGCCTTTGATTTTTACTGAACTAGAAGATATCTTTAGCAAGACTGGGCCGTCTGTGATTTGGGTAGGGGATTTCAATGCCCATAATCCGTTATGGGGTAGCCAAGAAAAGGATGCAAATGGAGCTGTTATTGAAGAATTTTTAGATATTGTAAACTTAATTGTTATGAATGGTGTGCCAACTCGGTTTGATTTTAAATCAGGTAAGGGATCATATTTAGACATCGCTTTCACTTCTCCAGGATTGGCTCGGGTAGGGGACTTAGAAGTGTTGGAGGAGGATTTAGGAAGTGATCATTTTCCTGTTCTTTGCCATTTTGGTAGGACTGCTTGTGTGGATACTGGAGGAGGAATAGCTAGATTTAATTACAGTCTGGCTGACTGGCGCAAGTTTAGTGAGGGTACAGCAGCCGGTCTAGAAGGCATTGATAGTGATGGGCCAATTGATGTAATGTGTGAATCTTTAGTAGCAATGATAATGAATGTTGCATCTGAAACAATTCCTTATCGGAAAAATGCTGGTAATCGTGTTATAGTTCCCTGGTGGAATCAAGAGTGTGATAATGCAGTGAAAAAAAGGAAGCAGGCTTATTCTAAAGCACATAAATATCCCACACAAGAAAATGTTATTGAGTATAAGAGGTGTAGGGCAATAGCTAAGAAAACAATAAAATCAGAAAGGAAAAAAAGTTGGAGACAGTTCTGTAGCACATTAGGGCCAGAGACCCCAGCTCAGCATTTGTGGAGACGGATCCACTGTATGTCTGGTAAATTAGTGAGCCCTTGCATGCCAGTACTCTGTGATGGGCAGGTTGAAGCAACTAATAGTAAAGAAAAGGCAGACATGTGTGTTAAAGTATTTCAAGATGTTCATAACTCGAGGTTTTTATCAGAAGAAATGATTAGATTACGTGAGGACTTGTTGTCAAATAATAGGTTTAAGTTGACAGGAGGAACTGAGTCAGATAAGCCATATAACCTGTTCTTTTCCATGAGAGAGCTGGAGGATGCTGTCCAGGCAGGAGCTAACACGACTCCAGGGAAAGATGGAATCAGCTATAAGCTTTTACAACACCTGGATGAAGGTACATTGCATGAGATTCTTGTCTTATTTAACTACATCTGGGAGGAGGGCGTGTTACCAAGGGCTTGGAAGCATGCTGTCATCGTGCCTATTGTGAAGCCAGGAAAGGATCCGTCCTCTCCGTCATCGTACAGGCCAATAGCTTTGACATCTGTGTTGTGTAAGGTGATGGAGAGGATGGTCACTAATAGACTCGTTTATTTTTTGGAAACCATAGGGTTTTTTGTTAAGTATCAAAATGGTTTTAGAAGAGGAAGAAGTACAATTGAATCAGTGGCGGTTTTAGACCGAGATGTCAGGAGAGCTATTATTTAAAAAGAAGCTGTTCTAGCTGTGTTTTTAGATATAGAAAAGGCATATGACAGTATGTGGAGAGAGGGCTTACTTCTTAAGTTACAGTGCCTTGCGAAAGTATTCGGCCCCCTTGAACCTTTCAACATTTCGCCACATTTCAGTCTTCAAACATAAAGATATAAAATTTTAATTTTTTGTCATGAATCAACAACAAGTGGGACACAATCGTGAAGTGGAACGAAATGTATTGGATAATTTAAACTTTTTTAACATATAAAAAACTGAAAAGTGGGGCGTGCAATATTATTCGGCCCCTTTACTTTCAGTGCAGCAAACTCAGTCCAGAAGTTCAGTGAGGATCTTTGAATGATCCAATGTTGTCCTAAATGACTGATGATGATAAATAGAATGCACCTGTGTGTAATCAAGTCTCCGTATAAATGCACCTGCTCTTTGATAGTCTCAGGGTTCTGTTTAAAGCGCAGAGAGAACCATGAAGACAAAGGAACACACCAGGCAGGCCCGAGATACTGTTGTGGAGAAGTTTAAAGCCGGATTTGGATACAAAAAGATTTCCCAAGCTTTAAACATCTCAAGGAGCAATGTGCAAGCAATTATATTGAAATGGAAGGAGTATCAGACCACTGCAAATCTACCAAGACCCGGCTGTCCCTCCAAACTTTCATCTCAAACAAGGAGAAGACTGATCAGAGATGCAGCCAAGAGGCCCATGATCACTCTGGATGAACTACAGATAACTACAGCTATGGGTTATGGTACAACAATCAGTCGTGCACTGCACAAATCTGGCCTTTATGGAAGAGTGGCAATTTCTCAAAGATATCCATAAAAAAAGTCTCTTAAAGTTTGCCACAAGCCACCTAGAAGACACACCAAACATGTGGAAGAAGGTGCTCTGGTCAGATGAAACCAGAATCGAACTTTTTGGCCACAATGCAAAACGATATGTTTGGCGTAAAAGCAACACAGCCCATCACCCTGAACACACCATCCCCACCTCAGCTGTAGTTATCTGCAGTTCATCCAGAGTGATCATGGGCCTCTTGGCTGCATCTCTGATCAGTCTTCTCCTTGTTTGAGATGAAAGTTTGGAGGGACGGCCGGTTCTTGGTAGATTTGCAGTGGTCTGATACTCCTTCCATTTCAATATAATTGCTTGCACAGTGCTCCTTGAGATGTTTAAAGCTTGGGAAATCTTTTTGTATCCAAATCCGGCTTTAAACTTCTCCACAACAGTATCTCGGACCTGCCTGGTGTGTTCCTTTGTCTTCATGGTTCTCTCTGTGCTTTAAACAGAACCCTGAGACTATCAAAGAGCAGGTGCATTTATACGGAGACTTGATTACACAGAGGTGCATTCTATTTATCATCATCAGTCATTTAGGACAACATTGGATCATTCAAAGATCCTCACTGAACTTCTGGACTGAGTTTGCTGCACTGAAAGTAAAGGGGCCGAATAATATTGCACGCCCCACTTTTCAGTTTTTTATTTGTAAAAAAAGTTTAAATTATCCAACAAATTTCATTCCACTTTGTGATTGTGTCCCACTTGTTGATTCATGACAAAAAATTAAAATTTTATATCTTTATGTTTGAAGCCTGAAAAATGGCGAAATGTTGAAAGGTTCAGGGGGGCCAAATACTTTTGCAAGGCACTGTATATGATGCTGGGGTGCATGGAAGGTTGTTCCGTTGGGTCAAAAACTTCCTTAGTGATAGATCAATCCAGGTGAGAATTCGAAATGTATTGTCAGGTGCTGTAGAGGTAGCCAATGGAACACCACAAGGAGCAGTGATTAGCCCAGTATTGTTTAACATAATGATTAATAATATTTTTGAAGGAGTGGATTACAAATTTGGTACAGATTTAGAGATATATTGCCCTCTAAATTTCTGAAGTCCGTCCTGAGCAGTTTGTTACCTTCACTGACACAAATAGTAAACATGTCTCTGTCGTCAGGAACATTTCCTATGGCCCTAAAAACAGCAGTCATAAGACTTCTCCTGAAAAAGAGCAGTCTGGATCCTGCGGGACTTCAAAATTATCGCCCCATATCGAATCTGCCATTCATTGGAAAAATTCTTGAAAAAGTGGCCTCCCAACAACTTACTGAATTTTTAACAATGAATAATTCTTTTGATATGTTCCAGTCTGGGTTTAGACCCCACCACAGCACTGAGACCGCTCTAGTGAAGGTAACAAACGACATTCGACTTCACACTGATGCAGGTAAAGTCACAGTTTTGGTCATGTTAGATCTTAGTGCCGCGTTCGACACTGTCGACCATGAGATCCTCATGCAGAGACTGGATGACTGGGTTGGTGTCACTGGCACAGCCCTAGACTGGTTTAGGTCTTACCTGGAGGATAGGAAGTACTTTGTGGAGATTGGAGACTGCGTCTCAGATCATGTGGCCCTGACCTGTGGAGTACCCCAGGGGTCGATCCTGGGACCTCTCCTATTTAATCTCTACATGCTGCCGTTAGGTCAGTTAATACAAAGAAACAAAGTGTCCTACCACAATTACGCCGACGACACTCAGATCTATGTCTCACTGACTGCAGGAGAACATGGACCACTGGATTTGCTCCTTCACTGTATCCAACAGATCAGTGACTGGATGCAAAATAATTTCCTCCAGCTAAATGCAGACAAAACCGAAATCATTGTCTTTGGTCCCCAGAAACAAAGAGAGGGCGTCATTTGTCAACTTCAGTCTCTCTCCCTACTTCCTTCAGACAAGGTCAGAAATTTGGGGGTAATACTGGACTCAGACCTAAATTTCAATAGCCACATAAAATCAATAACATCAACAGCTTTTTACCATCTGAAGAACATTGCCAAAGTTAGAAATATAGTGTCCAGGGCAGACTTGGAGATTCTTGTCCATGCATTTGTCTCCAGCAGGCTAAACTACTGCAATGGCCTGCTTACAGGTCTGTCCAAACAGACCTGTAAGCAGCTGCAGTACATCCAAAATGCAGCAGCTAGAGTCCTGACAGGAACCAGGAAGTATGACCATATTAGTCCGGTCCTCAGGTCTCTGCACTGGCTTCCTGTGGCTCAAAGAATAGATTTTAAAACAGCTCTGCTTGTGTACAAGTCTCTCCATGGCCTTGCACCAGAATACATTAGTGACATGTTGGTGTCATATGAACCGGCCCGGACTCTGAGGAGCACAGGGACTGGCCTCCTGCTGGTGCCCAGAGTGAGAACCAAACATGGGGAGGCTGCGTTTCAGATCCATGCAGCTAAGATCTGGAACAATCTCCCTGAAAATGTGAGGGAGGCGTCTACTCTGTCAATGTTCAAATCCAGGTTAAAGACTGTTCTGTTTGCCTGTGCATACAACTGAAGGATTTTATCTCCATTTCTAATGCACATTTTTTTAAATTTCTTGTGTAATTTTGAAAGTTTTAATGGTTTTATTCTTTTGTGTGATTTTAATGTTTTAATTGTGTTTTGATCTTTTGTGTGATTTTAATGTTTTAATTGTGACTCTGGTGTTTGTTTTATGTGATGATTTGTGATGTGGACTGTGAAGCGCTTTGTGTTGCCCTGTGCATGAAAGGCGCTCTACAAATAAACTTTGATTGATTGATTGATTGTAAATCTCTCTTTGCTGACGACGGTGCAATTTGGAAGAGCGGGAGGAACCTCAATCATTTGTTCTCTCAAACACAGAAAGCTTTAGATCAAATTATTCAGTGGGCAAATTGTTGGGGGTTCAAGTTGTCAATTGACAAAAATAAATTTATGATTTTTGGGTTGAAGAAAAACATTCCCTCTTGTAATCTCTACATGTATGGATCAGTTATTGAAAAGGTTAAAAAGTTTAAATTCTTGGGGCTGTGGTTTGACGAAAAACTAATTTGGAGAGACCATATCGGGAAAATGGTTAGCAAATGTGAGAAAGTTATTAACATTATGAGGAGTCTCTCAGGTAGTGACTGGGGGGCAGAAAGGTATACCTTACAGCTGATTTACAGGGCTATGATTAGGCCTATTTTAGATTATGGCAGTGTAGTTTTTGGGAGTGCCTCTAAATCTGTGTTAGAAGTTTTGGATCGTGTGCAGACTAAAGCCCTAAGAATCTGTTGTGGAGCATTCAGAACTACCTCCATCCCAGCATTGCTTGTGGAAATGGGTGAATTTCCTTTAAGAATGAGACGGGAGAAGCTCGGTGTTCAGTATTGGACTAGATTGGCCGGGGCCAGTAATAGTGTAGCAGCAAAATGCCTTTTGGATGAGTGCTAGGAGTTCAGCAAAAAACAGGACAAGGGAGGTTTTATAATGCATGTTGCGAAGGTTGCAGAGAACTTGGGACTGCAGAAGGATAGAGTGGTGGGGTTGGTGTGGTCTCCAGTTCAGGTTTGGAGGTTGCCTGAGCCTGAGGTTTATGTGGATTTGCTTGGTATGGATAAAGCGGCTGCTTCCAGGCATGTAAAGATGTATTTAAATGAGCAAAAAGATGTTGTCAAAGTTTTCACTGATGGTTCTAAAGAAGAGCAGCCGCAAAGAACGGGTTTTGGAATTTATATCGCTCAGTTGCAAATTATGCAAAGCGTCCGTATTACAGACGAGCTGTCGATCTTTTCTGCTGAATTATTTGCTATATTGTGGGCACTGTGGTGGATTAAAAAACGCAATGTTTTACAAGCTGTTATTTGCTCTGATTCTGCTGCTGCACTACTGGCCCTTAGGAGTATGGAGTCAGATGCCAGGCCAGATATGCTCTTGGAGATTTTGTGCTGTTTGAAACAACTTGAGGATGTGGGTGCCTCTGTTTCGTTTGTTTGGGTCCCTGGGCATTCAGGGGTGGAGGGAAATGAAAAGGCTGATGCTCTGGCCAAAGAATCACTTCATAGAGACGCTATAGATTATCATCTTCATTTGGGGAAAAAAGAGTGTTACAGCATTAGTAAAAAAGTATTTTCAAAGTCAGTGGCAGAAAGAGTGGGAGAGGGAGACCAGGGGGAGACTCTATTATTCATGTCAATCATCAGTCCAAAATAGTTGGCAGCCTGTAGCTGAGGGGCGTAGAGAGGAAGTGGTTCTCACTAGAATCAGACTGGGGCACTGTGGACTTGCAGCTTCTTTGTATAGAATAAGTAAACATGCAGATGGACTGTGCACTTGTGGGACATTGGAGACTGTTTCTCACATCTTGTTGTCATGCAGCAAATACTCCAAGGAACGACAACAACTATTTGTGGAATTGGCTGATTTGGGGCTAACTTCTTTTTCATTTAAGTCAATTTTTTCAAGTCGTGAAAACACTCAAGGAGTTAACAGAGCCATTGTTTTATTCCTCCGCCGCACAGGCATTTTTTTGAGAATTTAGAGTACTGACGGTCTCATAACTGTGGAGGGCAGCATTGCGCACGCCAGCGTACAGCCTGCCGGAATTAATTAGAAGAAGAAGAAGAATTGTGAGGTCCGTATTTGGGCCACGGGCCTGAGTTTGACATGCCTGCTCTAACCCCTTCTATAACTTACAATTAGAGTCTGGATTTGGTGGAAGATCTTTTGACAATACGCACATGCCTAATTTGTTTTAAATTATTGTTGCACACTTTCTGTAAACAACACAAACAAATCGACACATCCTCAGTGCCTCGTGTTCCTCGTGCTCACCTTTCCGTCGGCAGTGACGGCGAATAGCGTCTGCTCTCCTCCGATCAGCTGGACAGGCCTCAGTGTGGCCAGGGCCTCTGTGGGCGTGGGCACCTTGACCTTGGCGCCCTCGATGCCCCCGAGCTGCCCGCGGTGGTTGTGTCCCCAGCCGTAGATGGTGCCGCTGCCGCCTGCAGACAGCGTCCAGTCGTCCGGGCGACGGTTCATCCACTGCACCAGCTGCTCGTCATGCTCGCGCTTGAACAGGTCGTGGCTCTCGTGCAGGTGGTTCATGCTCTCGTGGTCGGCCATCAGCTCACGCACCTTCTTCGTCACCTTAACATGTTAAAAGTATGTTTGTAAGGCAAAGGAGTTAATAATGGCTACAGTGAGGAGAGATGGAGGTGTTCTGAATCACAGTGCTGTCTGCACTCACTTTAAACTGCTTAAATATTATTATGACGCTAGAAATGTTATTATATTTTAGTATAGAGTTATTGTTCATTTATCTTGTGCTGTGTGCTCCTCATTCCTACTGTTCTGTAAACGGAGATGCAACACTGAAATTTCCCCTCTGTGGGATGAATAAAGGATCTCTTATGGATATTGACATTTTGACTTGAATCTGAGAAACTCTTTTTAGGCCTGCTTTTATTTTTTTCATTTCATTTCATTTCATTCACTTGTTTGTGTGTGTGAAGGGCCAGCAATGTGACTTTGATGTGTTGTTGAAGGAGCGATAGTTCACAAATACATTGTGCTTCATAATTCTGTCAATGCAATGGGCTCTCTAACACCGCTACGGTAAAGGCTTTTAAACTTACCTCATCTAGGAAGGGTCTCGGTAAGTTGGTTCTCTTGTCTAACGCTATAGACACTCGGGACGCAGTGCAGTAGCGGCGAAACCAGGCCCACTTATGGGTCTCGGCACAGCAGGGCAGAGTGTCCAGCTCCAGGTCACAGGCGAGAGCAACCAGCACCTACAACACAAACATTATGGAGAGAACAATGTTAGAACCCATGACGACTCAAAGGCCAATGCTCTAGCAACTGAGCCACTTTCAGCCCTGATCGCAACTATTCGCTCATTGAAATAGTTGTTTACAAATTAGTAATTGATTCATTGTATTGTGAAACTTCCATAGATTTGAACAGGCTGAGTCTTTATGACTCAGATAACTCCATAAATAAAGTGTTCACAAAGTATTTTGAATTAAAAACCCAATGTGTATTTACCACATTACTGGCCCAAAAAGCTCATATAAAAGATTTTTTTTTTTTTTTAAAGTAATCATACAGCCCAATGTGGAACCCCCAGGTCCATTAGCTTTTTGTACCATTAACATCCTGTATTTTTCTCTATCTACCTTCCCGTCAACTCTTTACTGTCCCTACTGAAGAAAAGCAGCCCCATGATGCTGCCACCCCCATATTTGACACGAGATAGTGCACTGAGATTTTTGCTTAGATTTCTCAGTTGTCAGCTACTTGCGAGTGAACTTTTAGGTAAAAAATCATGATGTTTATAGTTTTAAACATGACAAATTTGAGAAAAAATCTGGGCAAATTAGTACCTTTTGAAAAGCACTGGATGTATATTTTTGCACATTATAGCAAATTTTAGTTTTGCAGGTTTCTAAAAATAAAAATATGTTGTAGCATGATGATAAGACTACTAATAATAAAAATAAAAATCCAGACAGTGGTCCCAACCTTAAAGAATGGACTGTGTAGAAGCTGTTTCCCCCCTCTGACAACTGGGTCCTCGTATTCGTATTGTCTCTGCAGCGCCTCAGGAAGTCCCTTCACCAAAGCCGCCAGTGCACTGCCGGTGAAACTCTGTAAGGGTAAAAGAAAAACCATCACGTCTATCAGTCAAACCATCAAACTACTTTTGATTGCTTGAGAAAAAAGCACAAACCATGGGTCGAGTCTCTCCCTCACTGTCTCCCAGAAGCCTGTTGATGTTAATGGACTGGCCATATTCTGTTGTGAGAAGCTTCCGGAGCCTCTGTAAAGCCCACATCCGGTGTCCTGCAGCTATAACCACAACAGAAATATGTTTAGAAATGACACTAAAGTTGATATCGCTGTAAATAAAAGGGAATAGATCATTACCGAGTGCACTAAGCTGAGCACAGGCAGCGAGGGACGCGGCGAGACGTGGGACAATGCTGCGATTTGAGGCGAAGTTGAGTCTGAAATCCAGGAGGCAGGTGACCAGGTCCATGGAGGGGCAGGACAGGATGCAGCGATCTGACAGCAAGTCTTTGGGACCTTAAAAACATTAGTGTCCAGTAGGTTAGTATGAAACTTACACGTATGTGTGTATATTTATATATTTTTTCTTTTAGTGTTGAGACGTTAAAGATACTAGTAAAAAGTAACTTGATGAAAACTGCTTCTATACGGACTCAGACCAGCCTGACAGGGAACACTTCTTTCAGGCTGGGAGGGGCCGTGAAACAAGAAAGAAAGTAGAAAGTAAGTAAGTATGTATCTATCTATCTATCGAAGTATCTTATCTGAGTGTCTATCTATATCTATCCAAGTATCTATATGTGTCTAAGCATCTATCCGAGTATCTATCTAAGTATCTATCTATCTATCTACTGTATGTATCTCGTTGAGTCACTCACCAGCGACAGGCATGATGGGATAGACGGTGAACCTCCAGCCCCATCCGTTCACTGATCCATCACTAGTGAACTTCCATTTCAGTTCATCTCCAGGAATCCTCAACTCGCTCGACCAGTCTGACCATTCCCGGCCTGGGAGCAAGAATAAAACACTTTTTACTTTTAGTTGTTTACAAACCTCAGAGCAGAGAGGGCACAGTGCGTACCTGAGCGCACAGACACAATTCTGTTGGCTCCGTCCATGACCGTGAGAGGGTCGTGGCGCCTCTCTGTGGAACACTGTCGATCGAACTCTATCCTCAGACCCTCAGCTCCTGCTGCCAACATAAAGATCGTGTTATGCTAGTTTATAGTTACAACATTAGTTTATAGTTACAATAGATCTTAGAGAACACGCTGAGGATGTGTGAACAATGTAAAAAGTCAAAGGCAAAAATGGCTTGAATGAGACAAAATGTATCATAATTTGAGCTCAGTCCTAAAACAGGATTTGCGAATAAGACGAGCACCTCCACTGGCTCCTCTCGATGTGGAGAAACAGCGGCTCTACTCCAGAGGCCTCTATTGTTTTATGTATAAAAGCTAAATTATATTAATCCCAGGGAAGATCATATTGTTATGAAGCAGTTGTAATATATTATAAAAGCCAACGTTTAAAATCTGATTATCTGACTGTTAACAGTGATCAGGGAAAACTTTTAATGTAGAGAAATTCTAAGCTTACAACCTGAACATGTGTAGAGGATAACTGTTTAACCTGGGATCTTCACGGTGCCGCTGGTGGACGTGTCATCGGTGTAAGGATGACTGCTCTCCACCACCACAGGCTGAGACGACAGACGCCCGCTCTGAGAATCTGTGGCTACATCCTCCAACTCAGTCACACACAGCTCCAAAAGCATGTCTGCAACCTGAAGACAACAGGACACACTCTGAGTCTAGAAAGTACAGTAGAGACCAGCAAACCGGGCAGCTATTTTAAAAGTATAAACTTTTAGCCCTCATTTCAATTTTCTCAAGATAACATCTGCAAATGTTTACTTTAGTCTGTGATTTTACCTGTGGATATGCTGTTCCCATCCCAGACAACACCGCGGACAGCACCTCTTTTCCTTTCTCACCGGAGCGAAAGGACACGGCCAGTTTGAGGAGATCCACCAAGACTCGGGTATCGTCAGGAACAAGCAAACTGGTGAACTCATCCAGGTACTGCGGCTCCGGACCCACCACTTTGTTCTGGCTTTCTGAATCCTGAAGGAAAACACAATCATCACTTTAATATAGCAGGAAAGCAACTGCTACTATATTTTTTGGACTACAAGCCGCAGATTTTTTCCTGAATTTTGAAGGCTACGGCTTATAGTAAGTTGCGGCTTTATTTATTTATTTAAGATAAGATAAGAATTCCTTTATTCGTCCCACAGTGGGGAAATTTCGATGTTGCAGCGCACATATAGGACAGTAGTAAGAGCACACAGGGATCACACACAATATATACACTATATACAAATAAGTAGTAGCTATGTTTCTTAACTAACATAACTAGCTGTAGATGCTGAAAATGCTTCAATACCAGTCAACAAATATATATGTAGTAGTGCAGTTATATACTGTACAGTTAAATAGTGCAAGATAAAAAGTATATAAGTAAAGTGACAAAGTGATTTGTGTAAATATCTCATAATAAACAGTTTTTTGATTCTTTGTGTAGACATAAAAGTCTACACATGATAAGAGACGTTTTTGAGAATGTGGGATATGTGCGTCTTATAATCCAGTGCGGCTTGTAGAAGTAAAAAATTCAATTTCTTTCTATAAATTGGAGCTTGCGGCTTATAATCAAGTGCGGCTTATAGTCTGGAAAATACGGTTCATTATAGTCTGGTCTCTCAGTCTGGTCTCTCAGTCTGGTCTCTCAGTCTGGTCTCTCAGTCTGGTCTCTCAGTCTGGTCTCTCAGTCTGGTCTCTCAGTCTGGTCTCTCAGTCTGGTCTCTCAGTCTGGTCTCTCAGTCTGGTCTCTCCTTGGTCTTTCTCACCAACAGCTTCTTTCCACAATCTTTTATCAGTTTGAACAAAACACTTTAATAATCTTGCACTTGTATTGAAACAGTTTTTGTTGATTGGTTTCACAGCGACATTGTTTCTTGTACTTTTTTAGCCTGTTTTATGTATGTACCTGGTGCACACTGTGGTACTTTTCCACATGTCTTCCAATGTGTTTTATTGAATATGAAGTGTCCTACACTGAATTCCTGTTACCTCTTTGGTCTTGGTCATGGTCTCGGCGATGATGCTAGCTGCTCCCGGGTCGTCAGTGACCGGAATGAAAGGGCGAGAGGAGCCTCCGGAGGCCGAGGGCGTCACAGCTGAAGACGGCGTCAGTGCGTCCTCAGAAGAAGCAGCCTCAACACAAGAAACACACTAATATCAATAAAATTCAATCATCAATATTAAAAAAGAGAAAAAAACCACAGTTATGTTGTAATGTCCGCAATATAGCGAGGGAACACTGTTTTGTTATGTTTCTTTCGACTAATCCAGAAAATCCTTTTGGGTTTCTCCTCTCCTCAGCGTTGCCAGTTTTCTCAAAGTTGTGTGTGAAGTTTTTGTTTTGTCAGCAGATCTCGCGCTAGCAGACGAACCTCTAAGGAACATGTGGGTAAAAATTATCCCCGCAAGAGTCTGGGGTTTCCAAGAATCTCCTGAAATAGTTTGCCGAGTTGACACTGAGACACCTGGACATTATGCAGAAGGCCTCCAGTGTACGGGAACTTCCATGACACCGGTTATTAATCCTAAAGTAACCAAAATACCTCTCCTTTCTTGTCCTGCCATGGGTTTGGGCTGACACGGTCCTCGGTCTCTGGTGGGACAGGGGAGGCCTCGTCGTCGCTCACGGTGGAGGAGGCGTAGGAGTCCAGGGGGGGGATGGGGGAGCTGGAAGGACACTCGGCGGGCAGGATCATACTGGCTGGCATCAGAGCACCCACCACGGCATCCCTGGAGGACAGAGAGCATATGCAGCCTCTCAGTGTGCAGAACAAGACACGGATTTGTCCAGGTTTAAGCGACTAGCGTCTACAGGGTCAGCTAAAAGGGGTTAGCAAGTAACTAAAAATTAGGTTTTTCCCTATTGTAAAATGTAATACTACTACACCATACTACCACCACCACCACCACCCTACTACTACAACTCCACCACCACCACTATTACTACTACCACTACTGCTTGTCCTCTGCCTTTCACCCATCCATCTTTGTTACCAGGATCAATCAATGCAAAGAGTAGTAGATATCAAATGGTGAGATAAATTTGGATGAGCCAACCAGAAAAAAACATGAACACAAGGTCAAATCCTCCAGCTGGTCCCCTTGGAATGAAAACCCGCAGCCACACCGGCCCTTTGACAAACATAATCCAAAACTAAAACAATGTTATTAAAGAAAAAGAAACTGGCACACATTTGGAATCTCCCCCAGCGCTTTCTGCCTGACCCTTGGCATGCTCATATAAAAGGCTTTGAAGTTAGTGATTGATTTTTATATAATTTTGCTTACGCTAGACCAGCCATTCCCAAACTCAGTAACACCGAGGCCCCCTTAAAAATCTGACGGGTCTGCGTGGCCCCCCAAAATAATAACCAAGAAGACAACATTAAGAATAGGCTCTTCTGGTTATTTTATTTTGGGGAAATAGCCTCTGCTACAAACATTGTAATACAAAAATGATTACAGTGGATTATTCAAGTCAAATAATGAACACAAATATTTTAATATTACAAACAAAACATTATAAATTTAACATTAAATAATTATATATATTTTTTATGACCTCCCGCGGCCCCCCTGCAGTACCCGCGCGGCCCACCAGGGGGCCGCGGACCCCACTTTGGGAGACACTGCGCTAGACCAATTTTATTTATGCCTTTTTTCCAAAAGTAAAAACTGTGTGTTGCAGTCAAGTGGCAGAGAGGGAGGAACACACTTCATTAAGTGATGAAATACAAGTAAAAAAATGCTCAAATTTGGCTAAATGTATCTTAATTTGAGCACATTCTGACTGCCTTAAAACAAGATTTGCCAAATGGAAAAGCAGAAATATTTGTTTTAAAATGATACAAGAATAAAGAAACAGTTTGTGAAATAAGACTAAATGGCTTTGTCCCATTGGAAAATCTCGTTTTAAGACAAGCATACTCAAATTAAGATAAAAAAAAAACCACTCGATTCAAGCAATCATTACCTCGTATTTATCTTTTTTTTGCAGCGTAACATCACAACTTCAAATATAAATGAGTCAAACATGCATGAGCAGCTGTAAAAACCACTTGTGTGAAACGCACAAGGGAAAACAACTATACCTTGGTCCAAACCTGTGATCAGTTGTGCGTTCTGCCAAAGTGAGTTTGTAAATGTTTCCGTACCTGGCATACATGATCTGCAGCGCGGACAGCACGTGTGTGAGCGCCTGCTGTTTGGCCAGTTTTCCATCGAGGCTCAGGAGGATTTTGGCCAGAGACGGTCGGCTCGGCTTCGAGGTGCTCTGACCGTTCAGCTTGTTGCTCACAGCGGACGGGTCACTATCGGCCTGGACACCTGGAGAGGTGCAAAAAGGGAACTTAGTGATGGAGAAAATGAATCAACAAAACTTTTAATTAAAGCGAGAGGACTTTTTGTTTACCAGTGATAGAACCAAACCGTTTGGAGAGCTAGGAACAAGTTATATGCATTTTTTATACAGTTAGTTTTTGGGGTTTCAAAGTACACCAGCTTTAATGGGAGTAATTACAACATCAACAAAAACATAAAATGGTAAATTCCTTTAAAAATCTAATTTTTGTGTTAGCTTACTTTTTACCCTTTAAGCTCAGGTTCATATGATGATTTAGGCAAACTAATGATCTATATTCTTCTTCAAAGGTAGGAAACATATGGAAACAAGATTTGTCAATGGGATAAAGCCCTTTAGTCGTATTTGCGTAAGAATTGTTGCTTTATTATCTCATTCCAAGGGAAACATTTCTTGTATCGTTTTAAAACAATATAATTTTGCTTGTAATAATCTTGTTTTAAGGCAGTCAGAATGTGCTCAAATCAAGATACATTTTGCAGAATTTAGCAATTTTTTACTCATTATTTACCACTTTTTGCTGTGTATGGCAAATCATTCAGAAAAGTCCATACACTTACACTAATATCCTATGATTTCTAAGTGCTTTGTCAGTTACTAAGTAAGAAATGTTTAATTATATAGCGCATTTTACAGACCAAGGTCACCCAAAGCTCTTTACAGTGTTCAGATATTGTTCAGATATTGTTCCAGTCACTCCACACGGTGATGACGGAAGCGAGAAGCCGAACACAATGGTGCATCAAAGCATCCAACCAACACCATCCATTCACTCACTCATTACATTCAGAACTATTGTGCATGTTTTTTTGGGATTCGAACCCAGGACCTGCTTGCTGAGAAGCGAGAGTGATTAGTAAAAGGCAATGGAGTACTGAGGCAAAACTTTTTAAAATTCAGCCTTCTCTCAGGGATGGATGCTCCTGAGTCATTCCCAAAAACCCCCAGAGATGACAAGTGAACAAACCTAAATAGGAGGCTCCCAGAGAGTCCCTGGCGGTCTGGAAGAGGACGGGTTCGTGGACTGAAGGCGTGGTGACGTCCACAGTGGTCCAGGCCACGCTGTGGGAGGAGCCACAGGCCACGCGGGTGATCTTCTGTCCCTCCAGGCCCTGCACAAGAGTGGGCTTCCTGTTCACTGTAGTGGTACCGTTGCCCTGCTGCCCGTGGTCATTGTCTCCCCACGCATACACCTACAGCAGAGACAGAGAGCTTCATATAGAGGAAAACAAATCTGGAAATTTACAAGAGTACAAGAGGAGACCACCATCCAATCTGGGAAGAAAATAGTACCATTAAAGCTGGGGATATGTATGTGTTTGTGCTTATATTTATTTAATTTCAATAGTGGACATGACAATACGCAACATTTTACAACTATATTTCAAATAATGTTAGTTCGGTCACACAAATGAAAAGAAACAAAAGGAAGCAAAAAAACCCTGTGGCTTGCCCCTTAACTCATTCACTGCCCATGACGACAAAACTCGTCATGTTGAATAGTAACGCTCACTGCCCATGACGAGTTTGACGAGTTTTTCATGTTATTACACGGGAGGCTACAGTAATGTCTGGCGCACCTTGTGAATGACCCACAATACTGATATATAGTGCAAATGTACCTGTAATGATAAATCAACACCAGTAGGATGCAGTATTGCACCACAGGAGAGGTCATAAGTCATTGGAGAGAAGGAGGAGGAGTGTGGGAGTGTTTGGAGAGCGTGCTGCTGTAGCAGAGCGTGCTGCTGTAGCATTGAGACGGATCAGCGATCTAGTTTAGCGATAGTATAGCAAGAGTGATGGCGAAAAAGAATAGTTATAAGCAGTGTACACTGCTTCAGAGATTGAATCGCGGATCAGTGAGTGAGGTCGAGAGGGGAGAGAGTGGAGACCCCGGTGGAGGTCCGTCTCTGCAGCCACATTTGCGCGGAGCAAGAGCAGAGACACACCTTCCGCCTCTCGCAGCGTATCAGCTGCTGTTGTTACTGATGCCTCGGATTCGTTCAGAGAACCTGATCATGATTTATCGGATGAGTGGTTGCAGTCTCAATCCAGCAGAGCATCCTCTCCAGAAGCTCCACAAAGAGTCGAAGGTAAGAACTTGCTAAATTGCCTAGAATATGCTAACTTGAGAGGAGGGAAAGGCGCGGAAACTTCATCTGCAAAGTAACACAGCGCTCAAATCCTACTGTTTCTTTAGTAAATGCCAGTTATGCGTTTTATCATTGTTGTATTTATTATTTTTATGTTTAGTTATTTCATACTTGAACATCTTGTTGTAGTGTCATAGCTCTGACTAAATGAAATGTGTTCTCCATTCACAGATTCTGATAAAAGAGCCCTCCCCCATTGGGGTTGACAGGGCAAGGAGCAGAGGTAAAGATAATTCCTCCTCATACCATTGTACATATTCTCCTGGTATAGTGATTTACAAATGTATATTATTTACAGGTGGTGCATCAAGAGGCAGTTGCTGTGCACAAAAAAGGTAAAAGAACTACTATTTCTATTCTTGTACATTCCATGGCAATATAATATAATAATAATATAGTATACTGTGTTTGGTCCAAAAGTAGTCAGTCAATAATGTGGGTGGAAGGCCTTCATTGTATTTTATGTATTGATTTATTGTAACAAATTCACTGTATAATATAGTTATTGTGTGTATCCAATTTCCAGCACGTTCGTCACCCAGAAGCTCTGGGGAAGATGGCTGACAGGAGGATCAGTGGGAGACGAGTCAGTTGCCCTTCACAGGAGCTCCTGGACCACAGAGGCTGCGGACAGAGGCTGCGAAGCTGGATTCATCTGATCCAGACTTTCTGGAGCTGGATTCATCTGATCCATACTTTCTGGAGCTGGATTCATCTGATCCAGACTTTCTGGAGCTGGATTCATCTGATCCAGACTTTCTGGAGCTCTTCTTCACGGAGGGAGAACTACAAATGGTACACAGTGTGTCGTGTTCCGTTGCACACAGTGTTTCAACCTCTACAACTCAAAGCTGAACTACTGGGAGGACTGAAAAAGCAGATAAACTCACTCATACACACACTCACGAACACTCACACGCACTCACTCACTCACTCTCGCGCGCACACACACACGCACTCACTCACGCACACAGACACTCACTCGCACACTGACATTCACACACACAGACACTCACTCACACACACAGACACTCACTCGCACACTGAGATTCACACACACACTCAAATTCACATGCTTCATTCTATTTTATACATCTATAGTTTTATTGATCTTTGTGTTGTTGTTGTTTGACGTTTTGGTTGATGGTATAGAAGAAAGTTAAATTTTCTATCTGTGAATAAATTGCCAACAATTTGCCATCAAAAGTATTATTTCAGAGTCATGTTTTTATAATTTTTGTAATGGAACAAGTGTGAAGATGTTTTGAGTTGTCACTAAAGCAGCAAAAATGCATCTAAAAGTCACTTTTCTGCTTGATATGTTCCTGTTTACATACAGCTCGTTTTCTCTGTTTTCTTGCTCAGACCAGGTGTTGTGGGCGAAAGTATGCTTTGTTCTATGGCGAATAGCTCAAGAACGGTAAGAGGTAGAAACAAACTGTTTTTTCAGAGTAAATCAGAGAGGTTAATCTTTAATTTGGTGCCCTTGGTGTTTAAATCGTCTAAAAAATGAATATTCTGTGGCACTTCAAAGTTGGGTCAAATCACCTGAAATCACCTGAAACGCACTTCTCAAATCTGAAAATGCCTGGCAGTCAGTGAGTTAATCATGTAAACATAAAAAAATAAATTATTAAAGACGTTTAAAGATTTGTTTTTAAAAAATCTGATTTTTGTTGTTGTATTAATGCCTTTATTTTCTCAATATTCTTAATCATTGTTTTGAAATGATTTCAAAATTGTTGTGTGGATGTTTAATATAGATGTATTGTTGTTTTGCTGGACGCTTTTGCATTCTCCAGGCAAAAAAAAGAAATACATTTTAAAAAATAAAAAAGCTGGGGTACTCATCAATAATCCACGTTGTTTGTTCCAACATAGAGAGTAAATGTTGAGCCCTGTGAGTCACTATTTGATGCTCTCTTTTTTTACTTTTCTGTCTGAGAAAGCTGATCTAAACATGTGACAGAGGCCAGAAATACGTGCAAGTGGACTAGCAATAGAACCAGATTGATTGATTTGATTAAAAAGTTGGGTTTTTAGTGGATTGAAAGTTGGTAACTCCTACAGAAATAACAAACAAACCTGTCCGGTCTCTGTGACGGCCAGACAGTGCAGAGCTCCGACAGCCACATGGACGATCTTCTTCCCTCTGAGCCCCTCCACCATCTGCGGCTTCCTCACATGGACATCGGTGCCGTGGCCCAAGCGGAAATAATCTCCTTTGCCCCTAAATTAAAAAACAAAACAAATGTGATTCAAATTAGCAAGGCACAACAAACAAGCTTGAAGTAAGTTAGTATTTTCATTTGAAAACAGGAATTTCCAATAAGACAAGCCTTTTCTCACTCGGAATATTTGGGAAACACCTGATCAAGATACAGATGAAACTTTGAACGAAACAAGAAAATCGTTCAAAAGTTGTTTCTGTAATTCTGTTTTGCGAGTTTATGGACTTTATATTTTGGAAGCTAATTAATTGCCAGAGTTTCACCTATAAATCCACATTTCCACAATCAAGCAATGATGAAGTTATATTTTTCAGGGTGATAGTAACATGTTGCTCTCACCATGTCCACACCACCCCAGACTTGGTGAGAGCGAGGGAGAACTGGGCACCACATTCGATCTGGCAGACGGCCTGTCCGTTCAGCCGCTCGATGTTCTGTGGGATGTTACAGCCTTCACTGCCTCCGCGGCCGAGCTTCCCAAAGTCACCGTCCCCCCACGAGAACACCAGCCCTGAATCAGGATCAAGGCAAGGTTATTTGTATAGCACAGTTCATACACAAGCCTCCTCAATGTGCTAAGCCAAACAAGAATTAGAACATCAAAATCAAGAACATCAAAAGCAAAAATAATCACAGTTTAACCTGGATTTGAACATTGTCAGAGAAGAACCCTGTCTCACATTATCAGGAAAAATGGTCTCTCCCCGGTCTCTCCCCGGTCTCTCCCCGGTCTCTCCCCGGTCTCTCCCCGGTCTCTCCCCGGTCTCTCCCCGGTCTCTCCCCGGTCTCTCCCCGGTCTCTCCCCGGTCTCTCCCCGGTCTCTCCCCGGTCTCTCCCCGGTCTCTCCCTGGTCTCTCCCTGGTCTCGCTCTTCTTTGTAAACACACTAAATGATATTGGCATAATGCTATAAGCCTGAATGGAACTTGGCACCAGATTTTGAGAAACTTACCTTCGTCAGTTAATGCAAGAGTCTGAGCGTCCCGGCTTCCACAGGCGACCTGGATCACACGGTGTCCCAGTAGCACCTTCACCTGGAAAGAAAAATAAACGTATTATTTACAAAGCTGCATTGATCTGTAAAACTCACTGGTGCAATTCATCTTCTTAGATGTTTGCAACTTTGGGGATGTTAAGTTTGTATGTTGTTTTTGTCTTTAAGCCATTTTGTTAAAAAATAAAATGATAAATAAATGTATGCAGTTGTTATGCGAACAATCTAAAGTCTCCAATTATTTCTGTGTTTTAGGGTCTATAATATTCAAGGCTAGTCTAGTTAGCGAAAAACATCAAAATTCAGCAAAAAAAATTACTGAGGGTATTTTTTAATCACTGTAGCGGTTCAATTGAATGAAAGTAAAGAACATTAATTATGTGTGTTCATTCTGCGCCTTGAGAAGATTTGCGGTATGGACCAATGGCTTCTACAGTATGTGTTTGTGATGTCTCCTGTAGGTACCAGGCAGACCCCTGAGCCTTCTCACCAGTTTGGGTCTCAGTTGTGTGGTGTTGTCCCCGTGTCCGAGGCGGCCGTACTCCCCCAGACCCCAGCAGTAAAGCTCTCCGCTCGAGGTGATGGCTGCACTGTGCGAGCTGCCACACGCAATGTCCCGAATGCGTTTGGTTTTTAGAGCCTCGATCAGCCGTGGCTTGTCACAGTTCCTGTTAGGAATAAACAAAGAGTCTAGTATAGTATTTATTTAACTTAACACCAACAGGCAAACTCAGGATAACTAAAAAAACAGCAATACACAGGCAGATAAAAGGAGTTGGATGAAGCAGACACACACACATTCACTCACTCGCTCAGACAAGACACAGGCACAACACTCTCTGTCCTTGCTCTTCTTCCCCATCTCTCTTTCCTTCATGTACTTATTTGAACCACAGACAGTATATATAATAACGGACAGAGCATGGTCAGTTCTTCCCACTCAAACTCGCATAAATGCCTTTTCCACAGTCAGAAATACAGTTGCATGATGTGAGCCTGCTTCCTTGTAGCCGTGATATAACAGCTAAACGCTCCCACTGGTTTTAACAGGTTTTTAATTCATCTGGTTGTCTCCACACACTGAGATACACATTGATTTTAAATAAGTTCTAAATTCAGGCACTTTTTTGTTGTTGCATCCTCTTGTCTGTAATTCTCTATTTTTTGTTTAATTAACTTTTATTTAACCAGGAAAGTCCCATTGAGATCAAGAACCTCTTTTTCAAGGGAGTCCTGGACAAGAGGAAGCAAAAGTTACACACAATTACCTATAATTACAGATTACATGTCAATAAGGATGTCTCGAGGGCTCTCAATCTGGATTTAGAAGCGGTCACACCGGGGTAGTCTTGCACAGTTTTTCCAATGTGGTTTTACTGCAAATGGCAAATAAATGAATCTGAATCTGAATCTGAATCAATTAAATAAATCTATACATAATAATCTTTCTGCGACACGTACCATGTAGAAAGCCTTTTTTTCCCGCCAGTTCTACATAATCAATTGATGGAAAACATTCTCTGTTTGACCATTTGGATAATGGAATAAGCTTTGTGCAGGTGGAATATCCAGGACGCTCAACATTCAATACAATATGAAAATGTATCAACACTTATGGACATTGGTCATCTGCCCTTTATGGACAAATGGCTCCATGTGTTTTTATCATTTCTGTTTTTTTCTCTGATCTGTGTTTTGCTAAGTCCTCTGCAATAACTACTGTTGTGATTTAGGGCCATGCAAGAATAAATTGAATTGAATTGAATTGAATAAAGCAAAAGTATAGTGATAAAGATAGCATGTAGCTAAGGAAGTCATTTATGAATTAATAGTAATAAACCTCTTACATTCTGCTGAAATGTCCCAGTTTTCCGTCGTCCCCTTCGCCCCAGGAGAACACCTTTCCGTCCACGGTCAGGGCCATGGCGTGGCGGCCGCCGGAGTGCACCGCCACCTTCTTCACCACGTAGTTACTCAGAGCTGTGATCTGACGTGGGATCGGGATGGTTCCGCTGGACAGGCCCAATCCCAACCTGCCGTTGGTGGCTTCTCCACAGGCGTAAATCTTACCCTCCACCGTCACTGTAACATGAGAAATTACAAAAAAGAAAAACGTTTAAGAAAGACGAGTGCTTCAGTGACAAAAAACATACATCCTTTAAGAAGCAGTGACCATAGACTGTATAAAGATGGACAATGCTAACCACCTAGCTCAATGAAGCCCAAAAAGGAAGTACTCATGGATGAAGTTTTGCTACTATTCACTTACATTGAAAAGCAAACTCCTCTGGCTCAGTAACTCACCATTTTGGGCTTAAAAACAGTGGTTATTTGCTCACTGTGATCCTGGGGTCTTATTTTGATATTGGCTGTGTATATCCAGGTATGAGCCATGTAAGGATAAAAAGGATCATGTGCATATTTTTTATTATTAGACACACTTTTGGACCGGAAACCCCATCAAACAATTGAAGCCTAGTGATTCAGTTACATAGGGCTACCTCTACATTAACACTTCAGCTTACACTGGTATTACTCACCTGCAAACAGACTTTTGGAGCCTCCAGCCACTTGCACCACATTCAGAGCAGAGAGAGTTTCAGAAAACGAGGGTACTTTGATCTGCAAGTCAAACAAACCAAGGTCATACGTAAATAACATGTTCTTGTGTTGAAATCAGTTTGCTCCGACAAATAATAAATACTGAATATATTGTCTCAAATTAAACGGCATCACCTTGGAGCCTTTGAGTCCTCCCAGCTGGTCTTTGTCGTTCAGACCCCACACAAACACTTTGGTCCGGATCGTTGCCGCAGACTCCAATCCCGATGACTTTTTCCGCGCGAGGCTGATTCACATGAAAATAGGCAAATCTATTACTGATCCCATCCCAAAAATATATAGAGATGTAGGACACAATGATTGATAATGATGTCTGACCTCCCGGTGGCAGTCTTCTCCTCGTCTTCCTCTTCGTTGTCGGAGGCGAGGAAGGGGACGGTTGCCAGATCCTCGTCTTCTGCTCGGATGCGTCCCACGATACTGAGGCCGTGAATCTTACAGTCGATGCCTGCGCTGCGGCACTGCTTTATGGCGACCTCGATGTATCTGTGAAACTGTGGACGAGGAACAACGTTACAGAGAGGATTTTAACTTAAATTATAGCATGAATGTCTTTTATAATGTATAAAGTATTTTTAAGTGACTATTTACTTCGTCACTTCTTGTTTAAAAATGGGAAACAAGTGTGAAGGGCAAAAATGCGTTTCTAACTCCCTATGATACCACTAGAGGGAGGTGTTTCATCTCTCAGCTCTCTCTTTACTCTCTGTCTCTGCTCTCTCTGCACTCCATCTCTCTGCTCTCTCGCTCTCTTTCTGCTCTCTCTCTGCTCTTTTCTCTTCTCTCGTGGATAGATCCAAAAACAGCAGGTCTTTTCGATGAGTAACAATGTTGTAACGTGGTTGGAAGCTCATAAAACCTGATTTTGCATAATACATATAAGTGTTTATAAATAACTTGAGTTATGTTCAACAATAATAATAATACTTTTTGGGGACACTCAAAGACGCCTTATTACAGCCTGTTTATAAGTTCAGTCTTCACTCTTTGTCTTTCACACACACCTCCGTACAGTCGACCAGCAGAAGGACGTTAGTGTCTGTGGGATTGATGTTTATTGTCTTCAGTTCGATTAAGTTGTTCAAAGAGCTTCCGCCTGTAGATATAATAATCATGTCACATGAGTGAAGGGAACAAAGATCAATGCATTTCAGCCACTGCAACAACAGCCAAAACAAACACACAATAATAACAGAACACATCATGATGATAAAGAGAGAGTACAAAGTACCTGAGACCACCACGAGTGACGGCATGTAGCTGCTGTCGGCTGGATCCACGAGCATCTTCAGTCGGTGAACCAGGACGTCTGGGAACAGCTCCAGGCGAATCCAGTGCTGAACACATGACACGGAGATGGAGATTTTACTCTCGATATTCAATTCAATTCAATGTATTTGTGTACAGCCCTAAATCACAGCAGTTGTCTCAGAGGACTTTACAACGCTGTTGATTTCTCAACAACAAATGAGAGAAAAAAAGGTTCTAGTCATACATGAATACAATTCCTACATCAAAAAGATTACATTATTTTTATTGGGATACATCTGATTTTGCATACAGACAGGGTATGGTCTCATCAAATGATTTTTTGTTTGACAATTAAGTTTTCTTAATTCTAAAATAAATAGTCTCTACCATTTACGTTTCAGGGTGAAATTGAAGTTATTATTGACTCATCAGACCTTTTTCAGATCAGTTTAGAGTGTTTTCAGGGGATTTGACCTAACTTTGAAGAACCACAGAATATTCAGCTATTTGACTACATAAACACCAAGGGCAGAAAATTAAATATTAGGCTCTTAGATTTAATCTGCAAACAATTGTTTATTTTTACCTTTCTTGAGCAATCTGTCATAACACAATCAAAACACCTGCTGCTGACCAGAAAGCTGAGAAAACTAACTTTTTGTTATCCACAACATATCAAGCAGAAAAATGTAAATTAAAACCATAACAAGATTTATGGGCTGCAAATCCAATTTTGATATTTGCATTTCCGAGCTTAACTACTTTCATCAGTTGAAGAAGTATAAGAAAAGAGCATGGTTTATTAAGACCTTTTGACATATTAGGGCCATTTAATAATAACTTCACATGCAATTCTTAGATATGGCTACTTTAACAATAGGAGTCACTGACCTTCCCCTGAGAGCCGGAGGACTGCCAGCACTGGTCGCTGCAGTCGATGAGGCGCGAAGCCTGGTTCACAGAAGACGAGACGGTCAGGTTCTTCACGGCTCGAGACCAGTCGTCAATCAACATCCCACGCTGCATGTTGTGATGCTTTTTCAGCTGTTTTCCCGAGCGACCACAGAATGCTGGAGATTGGCCTGAGGACACAAACTTGGATTTCAGGAATGACTAAAGCTGAGAGAGAGAGAGATACTTGATTTGACTATTGACAAAACAAGAGAGTAGGAGCCGGAGCCACCACTCCAAAAGATGATGAAATATGAGGTAATAATTGCTTGAATCAAGTGTTTTTATCTTATTTCTAGTACATTCTGACAATAAGACAGACGTTTAGTCTTCTTTCAGTAACTGTTGCTTTATTTTTGCGTGTTCAAATTACAATACATTTTGTCCAAATTTGAAATTTTTGTGACAAATGTTTCATCTAATTTTTCTTTTCTCATGAATAAAAAACAAAATTTAAATACCGCGTTCATTAATTCGACCGAAGGAATGCCTGGTGTTGTGTTTGCGAGTTTTGAAGCAGCTTTCGCAGAAATCAAAATCATCACAATTTCTACATTTGAATCTGGGGCCGTTTATTGGGAACATCTGGCATCCGTCACACCTGAGGAAAAGAAACGGTGTATGTATAAAACATGTTTGATATTGAGGATATTACAGTATATATTAGATCATAGTATATCTTAAAACCACACCTCACTCCCAGATGAACGCTGGGTACGAGCTCCATCTCGGACAGGAGGCCGGTCCAGTGCGATTGTTGAGGGAAGTCAACGATCACGTCCTTTCCATTAGCGCTGAATGCTAAAATGTAGTACAAAAAAATTATGTTTAAATGTAAATTGGAATTAATAGCAAATAGTAGCAGCAGTAGAAGTAGAAGCAGTAGTAGTAGCAGTAGTAGCAGCAATAACAGCAGTAGTAGCAGAAGTAGAAGAAGCAGTAGTAGTAGTAGCAGTAGTAGAAGCAGTAGTAGCAGCTATAACAGCAGTAGTAGTAGAAGCAGTAGTAGCAGCCATATCAGCAGTAGTAGAAGCAGTAGTAGTAGCAGCAGTAGTAGAAGCAGTAGTAGCAGCTATAACAGCAGTAGTAGTAGCTATAACAGCAGTAGTAGCAGCCATAACAGCAGTAGTAGAAGCAGTAGTAGTAGCAGCAGTAGTAGAAGCAGTAGTAGAAGCAGTAGTAGCAGCTACAACAGCAGTAGTAGAAGCGGTAGTAGCAGCTATAACAGCAGCAGTAGTAGCAGCAGTAGTAGAAGCAGTAGTAGTAGCAGCAGTAGTAGCAGCTATAACAGCAGTAGTAGTAGCAGTAGTAGTAGCAGCTATAACAGCAGTAGTAGAAGCAGTAGTAGTAGCAGCAGTAGTAGAAGCAGTAGTAGCAGCTATAACAGCAGTAGTAGTAGCAGTAGTAGTAGCAGCAGTAGTTGCAATAGCAATAGTAGACATATCATCATCCTCAGTTTACATTTTTACTCTTTTAGGAACTTTTTGATTTATTTGTAATCTGGTCTGGTCAAAATCAGAAGTTTTGTTATTGCCATTGTGGGTACCAGGAAGTCACAAACTAGGAAATGGCTTTCACTTTGCAAATAAGTTATAAAAGTAATAATAAGGCAAGCATAAAAAGTGCACCAAGTACACACAAAAGACATTTAGCAGTGTAATAAAGTGAATAGTTTACCTTTAACAACCCCAACACTGCGATGCGTCACTGATCCCCATTTGTATTTGGGCGTGGTCACTGTGGGCTTCACTCGCACCTTGTCCCCGATTCTAATGTGAGAGGGTGAACTCTGAGGGGGGAATCCTGAAGACAAAAGCAAAAGACAATAACACACACAAACACACACAGCCACTGAGTCATGTTTGGTTAAGACAGTAGTTACCAAGGAGCTCGATATGGATGTAGCGAACCCAGTAAGTGCCTCCTTTCTGCTGCCAGTCACACTGTACGTTCAGGTCGTGGAGTCCATCTCTGTCCAGCTTTATGACTTTCCCCATGTCGCCATCGTACACCTCCTCGTACGTTCTGCAGCATTTTACCATCATCCCGACCTGCGTGAGCGAGAGAGCAGTATCTGGGCTGTTAGTGATGATCGAGAAGAATCTAAAGTGGGGTGTTCTGTGATTATTTATGATTTTAGTGCTTTCTTGTTTTGTTCAGCACTTTGAATTGCCTTGTGTATGAATTGTGCTATATAAATAAACTTGCCTTGCCTTGCCTATATACAAGGACATTTGAAATAAAATGAAAAGGACATGCCTGGATGTTCTCACGGACATAAACAGCGTAGTCGTCGTTGCTTTGAAAATCCGATCTCTTCTTGAAGGTCTGGCTTTCGGTGACAACTGCTCCAGGAGGCTGCAGGAGAAAGTATTAATGAGTGTTAAAAAGTCTAAGCACATATTTGTATTGGGAGATCACAGAGCATCTAAAATTAAGTCATGTTTAATGTAAAAAAATGAGTAAAAGACTGTAGTCTGAGGATTCGTCATCAAATCTGTCTCATTTTAAAACAGGTCTATCGTCAAATATGTAGTAATGTTATTGTACCACTGTATACGCCGGCTCGCTCTCCTCCAGCTCCTCCATCACTTCTTCATCAGAGAATTCGTCCGACACGGTCTCTGCGTCTGATAACTCGGTCACCTGGATGTCTGGGTGGTCCAGCAGCCAGCTCACCAAAGCCTCAACACCTGCACAGAAAACATATTGTAAAGAAAACATATTGCACATACACTGTACATTCCAGTGACACATTGTATTATACAGAAACAATGCAAATTTACAACATTTACAAAAGAATCATACAGATAAGGAATGAAAGAAAGTAAGGGGGATTGTAATCTTGTTCAATGCATTTTGAGGTGTATGTGTGTAGGTCACTGTTATTGATAGTTATTGATGTTTGCAACAGTACCTGGTATTCCTGATGCGCTGCCCGTAGTTCCTGATAGAGACTTCAGGGCAAATTCCACGTTCTTGCGAGGGAACCCCATCTCCATGAGCTGCACAACGATAGGCAGAGGCGGCACAGGAGAGGTCTTCTGCTTCTTCTGCTTTGGAGGTCTGACGTGTTGGATGGTGACAGGAGTGGTGGCCTCGCTGGAACTGCTCTCTTCAAACAGAGGAGACGATGGATGTGTTGACTCCACCGCCAAGAACTGACACACGGCCAGCGCAGCAGCCTGAAGCACGAAATCACATAGTATTGTCTTTACTAGGGATTGGCAAAAATGTGACAATTCAATGCTATTGTAATATTTGGGACATTTAATTACAGGCATTACACAAAAAGGAGAAAAATAAGACTCAAATGTCACATTTATTACGGTCCGCAAATTAACTGAGGGTAGTGCTAAAACTTTATCCTTGAACAGTTAGGATACAGGACCTTATTACAGGTTCTGTAATAACAAGACAAGACATCAATATTCTCTGAATAGACGATCTCTCACATGAATGGTGAGTTTCCAGCACATCACTTATATTATTCAAATACAGAGTAGATTCACAAGAAGCAGACATCATAGAGGAACATACATCTCAGATGCGTGCGTTTTTGTATCACCCCAATAGTCTCAGCAAAGATCTACTTAAATGTGAACTAAAAAAATCCACTACAAAGACATTAAAAAAAAAAACTTTTTTCAAAACTGATACAAGTATTTGAGAACTACAGTATATTCACTGGAAAGCTCAACTCAAAATATATGCTTCTGCAGACAGTACTTGCCTCCATCTCATGTCTGTCAAAGATGGCCTTGATGGGGGAGGGCTGAGTGGCTGCAGACAGAAGCTGTTGAAGCAGAATCATTGGAGGAAGAGGTCCTTCAGGAGACAGGTCCCCAACATCAGGAGAGGACACCACTGGATCCTCTGCAAGAGGAAAAGTTTAAAATACACATTTCCACCATCTACACAATAATAGAAGTTACGCTCACCAGTTGGATTTGGTCCCAGGTCCACCACCGCAGACTGAGAGAGGATCTGTCTGAGTTTGTCCTGGTGAGAGAGTAAAGCTCGTCCTGCTTTTAAAATGTACAGTCTGAGCTGCTGGCAACGGAGCAAATGGATGTCCACCTGGTCAGCTGCGAGAACAAGTCAAAACATTACACTTTTTTACTGGGAAAACTGATTATAGAGCGGTGAATAAATGTACCACTGAGGCCTCGACTCAAGGACTTCTTCATCTGTTGCTTCTCCATCTTGCTTCCAGCCAGACTGACCAGTTGTGCCCACACCGACAACATGGGGTCAGTGAATGGAAGGTTATGGGCACTGAATGCTACAGCGGGTAACTGCGGGAGAAAGAAACCAGAATTTTAGCGTCTCAATCCCTCATTCACACTCACTCACACCATCCTTAACTTGTTTTAAGTAGTAGTAGTTTATTTCAGCAGTTTACAATGTACTGTATTTACACAGGTACAAGTCATTTCAAGAACCAAGCTCAGAAGGCCGGAGCAAGAAGCTTATATGTGCTTTCCCTTTTTCAATACTACTTTTCAGAAAATGCAAACAGATAAAGATTTTCCCAGAATATTTCATATTTTTACCATTATCATCTTGTTGAAATAAACAGCGATAGTTAACAATTTAGGTTCCATATCTGCATCTAAAACAATGGTTTTAATTTGTAGAACAAAAGAGGACAGGAATATTAATTTTCCAATTTATTATCTGTCAAAGTATTTCCTCACTGTCTCAAGCTAAATAAAACATCTGGGGCATATACTGTAGTTACGAAGGACCTATCTTTTTTTCTTCTAAATAACTGGTCGTACTGTCTGTAAAATGCTTATTGATTAATGTATGACTGCAAAAGAAAACCAATAAAATATAAATTACAAAAAAGAAAAAATAAGAGACAACGTAGGATGTTATATGCTCAGGCAAATACACTGGCACGCAGATTTGGATCCTGTACAGACGAGGTCAAAATATTGCTCTTAAAGACGTTCTCTACACCTCTGTACACCAATCATCTCTGGTCCAATTATAAAAAAGGAACTATGCAAAAGCGCCAGGTGGCTTGAGACCGAGATGGACCAGTGCGAGTGAGTTGTTTGTCAATGCAAAATTTGACCTTGACCCGCCACACTGTGGACACGTACATGTACAGCTTCATTCGACGATTGAACAGGTCTGGCAATGAAATTGTAGTGTCACGGTCAACATCCGTTGTAGTGCAGCCCGCTACCAGTCAAGGATGTGGAAGCATTGGTATAGCTGTCTTTTTTGGGTCTGTATTGGACCCTGAGTCCGTGATAAAAGCTTCATTCATTCATTCATTCATTCAATAGGCAAACGCTTGATTCTTGGATTTCCTGTTTTGGTTCTAAAAGCCTAAACGCTAACTTTTTCTATTGCTAATGTTAAAGAATGAGAAAAGAATCTATGCAATTATGTACATTTATCTGTTTGCTCGGATGTTAATACATTTTGCACACGCACAAACATAATGCATACATTGAGTTTGAGACCCCTGCTGTGTTGTGTTCTATCTGTAATGTAGTAGCTTTTGAGTGAATCTTGAATCTTAATTGATCCAGCTTGGCGTGTCTCTTTCCACTCACCGGTTTGAGGTGGCTCAGCAGACAGACCCGGCAGGTTCTCATCTCATGGAACTGAACAGTGATTCGTCCTTTCGGGGTGATTCTGGTGACTGTGCCCTCTCCGTACTCTTCATGCACCACCTGACCTCCGAGTCTCAGTCTACCGTCTATTCCCCCGATCACAGAGAGAACTGCCATCAAACTGCCCACTCTGGGACCCTCCGATTCCGGGAAGAACTCCTCCAGGAAACACTACGAGGAAGAGAAAAGTGAATAAATCAGGACAGAATATCACAAGCTTTAAACATGGCTAACATACAGGCACAAAATAAACAATGATAGTGCTAATACTGGACGATAATAAACTAACTGTGATATTACATAAATTAAACACCTGTGTCCGGCATGCTTCGCCCCACATACATAGACAATGCTTGCCCTGGTATGAGTGGCGAGGCAGGTACAGCTGTCCTGGACTGGTGACTGTAGTAGTTTGCCTGTAGAACCCGGATGGGGCGCCCCGTACTCCCCTTTCTAAGCACCTGAGGGCCCATTCTACCAGAAGTGTCTCTGCCTCCTGGGTCGCTATGTGTGGGGTTCATCTGGGGAACTTGCTGATAGGAACAGAGTGATAGATGACGCTGGACTATATTACCACCGGGGCGTCATCCAGGGGGTCACAGATGTGACTCATGTGGTATTAGTACTCAAACTGCGCATGCACAAAGGGAATATATGCACCACCCTCTGGCAGTCATCTAGGATTCATATAACCATGGTTACAAATGTAACCTACGTTCTCTTATCTTATCTTTAAAAAAATTACAACTTGTTTAAAAGTTCCTACAAGTCAAATTTGCTTACAAGATTCTCTGAAAAAAGATAAGTCATCACTCGAAACAAAAGAGAAAGGGAAAATTATCTTACGGCTTCGGACTGGCAGCCCACCATCACATCTCCGATGGCGCTGAGCTGGTTGTTAATGTACTCGTTGATGAGGCCGTTCCATTGGTTGAGAGAGTGCAGCGTGCGTAAGACAGCGACGATCTCCTCAGCCAGAGTGCTGCTGTGAGTAGCGGTCAGAGAGGCCTGGGGGCGGGACTTCCTCCTCCGAAGAGACCCATCTGATTGGATACAAAGAAGTCAAGGCACGCTTGGTGAAATTATGTATTAGGCAACTATTATGATACTGTTGATTTCAATGTTTTATTTATAGAAGGAAATGCACTGCTCAAGTTTTATAGTTGTCGTCTCAAATACATGATAAGAAGAAACAATTTTTAAAGTACACTACCGTTCAAAAGTTTGGGGTCACATTGAAATGTCCTTACTTTTGAAGGAAAAGCACAGTAGATAACTTTAAACTAGTCTTAACTGTAAAGAAATACACTCTATACATTGCTTATGTGGTATGTGACTATTCTAGCTGCAACTGTCTGGTTTTTGGTGCAATGTTGTAATTGCTGCAAATGGAGGATTCTTTGACAAAAGCAAAGTTGGATGTAAAACAAATCTTATTTCAAATACAAATCATTATTTCTAACCTTGTCAATGTCTTGACTCTATTTTCTATTCACTTCACAACGTATGGTGGTGAATAAGTGTGACTTTTCATGGAAAACACTTGGGTGACCGCAAACTTTTGAACGGTAGTGTATATATTAAAATCTAAGGCTGCATAATATTGGAAATTAGAGCGATATTTGATATGGGTGTTTAGTATTTCGATAACAATATTATAGCAATATTTTTGTCTTTCACCAAAATGATCTGAAATAGTCCTTTATTTGTCCTTCAGGGGGAAATTTTAGTTAATTTGTCTCAAGCCTACCTCTGAGCAGCGGCAGGTCTGAAGAACAGGTGCTCAGGAGGCTTCCCAGAAAATTAAACAATTTCTCCACCAGGAACTTCATGTCCTGAGAACGCTCCATCTTGTCCCACGAGGGTAAAACCGCCTGCAGAAGTCGCAACGCCAGAATCTGAAAACGAGGGAACAAAAAGCTGCGCCATTAAATAGTGTTTTTATGAGTTTAGTGTTTATTGCTGTTGACAAATCATCGCACTTGCAAAACACAGATTGTCAGTCAATCTGCAAATGGAGACACTTTGCTGGAGAAGTATGTTAACTTGAGCAATAGTATATTGCTTACTTGAGTATAGTATATTTAAAGTGCACCTTTATATATTTCCTACTTCATCCGTCATCATTACAACTTCAGCTGTAGTCTGTTCATTGCTATTCACCCATATAATCCCGTTCACCATGGACCTAGGTGTTTGTTTATTATTGCATTTCCTGTGATTGAACCATTTGATTTTCTGATCTGTTATTTTGTAATGGCCTCTAAGTTGCTGTTGCTGTTTACACGAAGACGCTACAATAGTAATACGATAGAGTTGGGTATCGGATTGGCCTTTCGTTAACATGGAAACGGTGTCTCAGAAGGGTGAAAGCGTTGAGAAACGCACTCCAGAGAGGAACAGAACAGATATGCTGCAGGGGACTGTTTCTCAGCCGTGTGAAGAAAAAGTTGTGAATTCTATGGCTGCAATGACTTCACCACTTTCCCGTATGGACATTTGGGCATGTGCAGTAGCCAAAAACAAATGGAAACAATTCCGGCGGGTCAACTAATGCTATGTGTGAGTCGAGCGCTACAATTCTACTCCTTCATTTGTCCAAACAAATGCAGAAAGATGTTGTCGTTGTGTAGACGCTATGCACTTCAAATTTGGAGCCTGGTCGTTTTTTGCAAATTGCTTTGAAGTGTCTCTGCAGTGTCTCTGTCTAAACGGGCCTAAAAATGACATCTAGGAAAGTACTAATTTTACACAATTGATCTGAAAACTATAGAAGTTCAAGAACACTGGGCCTCATTCACGAACGGTTATTAGGAACAGATTTGTACGTAAATACTACTTATGAGGTTTTTACGAAGAAAGTGGCATTCACAAATTTTTCTCGTAACCAGAATTTCTCTTGGGCAAGTACAAATCCTACGAGTCCTCAGGAGCACTCGTACGCATTCAGTCCCGACATGTTCGCACGCTGGTGTTGTGAAGTTCAATAAAACACAACATTACAGTGATATGTTTGTCATATTGATGTATGTATTTATTTATTTGTAGTAATCTTTATTTATATACCGCCTTTTTCACTGCAGATCTGGCCTATTTTTTAATTCATTTTGAAAAGAAATGTGCCAACGCTTTATCAAATACATTGGAAATCTTGCCGTGTATTAGTGACCCCATCCTAATTATTGGGGGCATTTCTTTATCCACGGGCCACAGAACAACGGCATATATACTGCTGCTGCAGGAGGTTACGGGGTCCGCGCTGAGTCTCTGCGCTGGTCTCTCCCATGGATCTAGACGGGTCTGCACTGGTCTCTCCCATGGATCTAGACAGGTCTGCACTGGTCTCTCCCATGGATCTAGACGGGTCTGCACTGGTCTCTCCCATGGCTCTAGACGGGTCTGCACTGGTCTCTCCATACGGGTCCGTGCTGCATGCTCCTGAATCCATACGGGTCCGCGCTGGTCTCTCAAATCTGGTCTATGCGGTCTCTCTTCGGTCCGCGCTGGTCTCTGCGCACCGGTCTCTCCAGTCAGGTCACTACAGTCTATGCGGTCTCTCCTGTCCGCGCTGGTTTCTGTGTGCTGGTCACTCCAGTCTATGCGGTCTCTCTTCAGTCCGCGCTGGTCTCTGCGCACCGGTCTCTCCAGTCTATGCGGTCTCTCCTTGGTCCGCGTTGGTTTCTGTGTGCTGGTCACTCCAGTCTCTCCTCGAGTCTGCATTGGTCTCAGCGCTGGTCCGCGCTGGATCTCCGACCAGGGTCCAAAATATTTTGAGATTAATCTCAAAACATTTTGAGATTCATCTTTAAAATAATACATAATATATTTTTAAATTAAGCTCATAACATTTTGAGATTAATCTCATCATATTCTTAGATTAATCTCATAATTTTGCTAGTTCGACTTTATTCTCATAATATTTTGACTTTTAAGTCAACATTTTATAACTTTATTCTCAGTCTGGCAAAAGAAGAAAAAAGGGTGACTCTTTTGCTCCGTGTAACTCTTTGCTTTAGGCCTGTTGCGGTTTCCTCTGGCGTCTGCACACGGCCCTGCAGTCCCTTATATGGGCATTAATGGGCGGTTACCTATGCTAAGTACCTATGCTAATGAAGCACCGGGCACGCGCGCTGTACTTACGAGGAAATGACATTCATCAATCTAAGAGAACAGCTGCGAACAATTCAGCGCCTTACGAGCGCGTTGATGAATCCCACGTAGGCTCTTCTTAGAAATCTACTTAAGAAGGACTTGAGAAGGAATTTAAGAAGTTTCTTACGAAGTTATTTGTGAATGAGGCCCACTGTTCTTAAATGAAGTCTGGCTGTGAAAGCACCTGTCGTTGAAGTGTGACAGCGTTGAAGGAATGGTGTCCCTCCACAATGCGGATGAGGAGGCTGATCCAGGCAGAGGTGCTGAGGTTGCTGCACATCTGGGGCATGAGGGCGATGGAGCGGATGAAGCCCAGAGTGCACCAGCTCCTGTGCTGCTCCCGGGACACCAGTCTGTGCGAGTGGCAGCCTGAACACAGCAGGGAGAAGGGAGGAAGTTAGTAAGTCATTTATTTATATAGGGCCTTTCACAGATGAGAGTCATAAAGCACTTTACATTTGTTGTGGGCACTTCTCTCTTACTCCACACAGGTATAAGAGCAGCGTCGCCATACAGGAGACCTACTGTTTATTTATTTATTTGGTTGGGACAGTGCATGTTAATGAACACAACTCTCCAGATTGTAGCTGTGTAGCTAATTTGCATACGTTGTCCCACAGTCGTACTCGCAAACATCATTCACCCAGAAATATTGTACATGAACCCGGAGGAAACTGGAGCAGACATAGGGAGAACATGCAAACTCCACACAGAAAGGCATGGAGGTGGAATCAAAACCAGCTAACAAGCGCTAACTGCTGCGCCACCTAAATAAACAAGAATTAAATGAATCATTTTTAAAAACACATTGAAAAAAATATGTCTGTGATTTGGATGTTTAAGGTGATATAATTATGATGATTTTAAGAGCGCATACATTGAAGAGCCCTAAAATATAAAAAACAATCAGCCTGAGACTCTACTTCTAAATTGACAAATCTTGAATAAATAAACAAATTAAAGAGACACAATGCTCATCATAGCACTGAAACGGCACTAGTCAAAGTCACAAATGACTCACTACTAGCTGCCGATAATGGACAAGTGTCAGTGCTGGTCCTACTGGACCTTAGTGCTGCATTTGACACAATAGACCACAGCATTCTACTGCAGAGGCTAGAATGTGATATAGGTCTTAGAGGAACAGCCCTTGGCTGGTTTAAATCCTATTTATCAGATCGATATCACTTCGTCAATGTGAATCAGGACTCGTCGCCTTATTCTGGAGTGGAATTCGGTGTGCCGCAGGGTTCGGTACTCGGACCGATTCTTTTTACTCTCTACATGCTGCCACTGGGAAACATTATTAAAAAGCATGGAATTAATTTCCACTGCTACGCAGATGACACACAGCTTTATCTGTCGATGAAGCCTAACCAGACAGATCAGCTAGAAAAGCTCAGTGCCTGCATAAAGGACCTTAAAATGTGGATGACTCTTAACTTCCTACTTCTCAACCCGGAGAAGACAGAAGTGATCCTACTCGGTCCGAAGCGCCTGCGTGACTCCCTCACTAACCAGATGGTTACTCTCGATAATGTCAGTATAATACCCAGTAACACTGTGAGGAATCTTGGAGTCATTTTTGACCAAGAACTCTCCTTCAAGGCTTATATAAGCCAAGCAACTAAAACGGCGTACTTCCACTTACGGAACATCGCTAAAATTAGGAATTTCCTTCCTAAAAGTGACGCGGAAAAACTCATTCACGCGTTTGTCACCTCAAGGCTCGACTACTGTAACGCTTTACTGGCAGCGTGCCCTAAAGCCTCTTTGAAGAGCTTCCAGCTCGTTCAGAATACAGCAGCTAGGATCTTAACAGGTACCAAAAGGAGGGAGCACATAACTCCGGTGTTAAAATCACTCCACTGGCTCCCTGTGGAGTACAGAATAAAGTTTAAAATCCTACTCTTAACATATAAAGCCATAAATGGCTTGGCTCCCTCTTATCTCCAAGACACATTAGTGTCGTATCAACCAGGTCGAGCGTTGCGCTCACAAAACGCCAGACGTCTGGTGGTCCCTAAGGTCTCAAAGGTCACTGTTGGTGGCAGAGCATTTAGCTACCAAGCTCCTTTACTGTGGAATCAGCTTCCCATTTATGTTAAGGAAGCAGATACGGTCTCCACATTCAAGGCCAGGCTTAAAGCACTTTACTTTAATTTAGCATATAATTAGGTAATATATAATATGTAGTGTATATATTATATATATATATGCTGTATTATGTTATATATTATTCAATAATGTATTGTGTTATGTTGTATATTATGTTATATATTATGCTGTATGTTATTCTTTATTCAAGGCTAGGTTTAAAACAGTCCTCTTTAGTTTAGCATATGGCTAGGAAGGTAAGACTCGGAGAAGGTTAAACTCCTCAGAGTGTCAGTCAAGCTGCATAGGGAGTCAGTTTGCTGGGAGAAGTATGGTAACTTGAGCACTATCCTCTCCTCCTTCCTACTTTATCTGTTTAGCATTTTTAGGATTCTGACTGTAGTTTGTTCATTGCTATTCACCCGTTGTCCCATTGTCTGTTTCATGGTACGATGACGGGATCTCTGAGCCTGGCCTCTTCCATCTACACCTGCGGACTGCTCCGCCCGACCCGCCTGGGAGTGCTTCGGTCCTGCACCGGACCTGTCCACGTTCAGCGGCCACTGGTCCACGTTCTGTAGCTAGCTTAGGTCCTAGATCATTAGCCTGTCCGTCCGGAGGAGCGGATCCCTTTCTCATATGGGTCTCCCTCCCTGTGGGTTTCCCTAGTGCTCCCCAAGGTTTCTCACGTTTTCCCACTGGGTTTTTTAAGAGTTTTTCCTTGTCGATGCAGGAGGGTCTTGTTGGACAGTTAGTGTCCAACAGAAAGGATTGGTGATGATCAGGACACTTTAGCATTCTACAACATGTATGGACATTTTCTTCTGTGTGTGCTTTATATTCTTCATGTGTTTTAACTGTTGATTCTCTGACCTGTGTTGGTGATTTCAATGGTTTTGTTAAGTCCTCTGAGATGACTTCTGTTGTGACCTAGGGCTATACAAGTAAATTGTATTGTGTATTGTATTGTGTGTATGAGTGTACTTTAGTGTGTGTGTGTGACGTTCACCTGATTTATCGTTGGCTCCGCTCTCAACCAGCGAGCGCAGGAGTCCACAGAGGGTCCGTGTGGCGTCAGTCTGCAGGACCTCGGCGTGGACTCCAGCCGACAGCGACAGCATCTTCAGCAGGTTCACAGTGCTCGTCAGCATCATGGCCGTGGGGTGAGAGCTCTTCTCTATCATCTCTACGTCTGACAGAGAGGACAGGAAAAAGCTTATCCACAGCTTAAAGTGATGGTGGATGGATGCAGGGAAATGCAATAGTTTATATAAAGGCATTTGTAAATAGGTTCATGTGAGGTATGAAAAGTGCTTTATATATTGATTTTTATAGAAGTATTATTGTTGAACTCACCCACGTCGTCCTCTGTGTCCGAGTCCTCTGCAGGGGGCTGAGTGGCTGGAGGTGGTTCGGCGAGTTTCAGGTCGTACTTTCCCTCTTTGCCCATTCTGTAAGAGTTGGTGCTGCTGGTGTCCCACTGTACTCTGATCCAACCGTCCTCTCCCAGCTCCCCGATAACCCGGCCCATGCCTGGAGCTGGCCCGTCCTGGAGCAGAGACAGGCCAAGATGTCACTCTAGCACTTAATGATGAGTGGCTTTTATAGAGATTATTATTATAGTTAGGATTGTGTCACATAATAATTTATTTAAATAATACTCTGTTGAAAGAATTCAGTTTATTTTTTTGTTGAAAAAACATTTTTTAAGTCTTGATCATCAAAACCCCTTGTGAACCAGCATTAGAGTAGGACTGAGCTAGTACTTCCCAGATTTGATATTGTTCTAGAGTCAGGAACATGTTTTATATTGTAACACGTGTCAAATTACCCGGCAGAGATACAAAAAATACCATAAAGAAAACATTTTTGAGCTAAATTTGAATGACGTTTCCTAACTTGACCAGTCCTGGGTACACTTTTAATCATCTGTGGCAGGTCATTTTGACCTAAGGATAGCACAAGGGTTAAAAATGGTGCATCTATGAGTGACAGCAACCATTTTATTCACTTGTATTAATATGTGGGTTTTTTATAATAAAGTTGACAGCGTATATATAGAGAAATTGCGTACGGGTATATTATATATTATATTAAGTGATTGTACCTGGTCCCCCCACTTCCAGTCTACTCCCCTCATGACCCTGGTGCCAATCTTCATCATGGCAGCCAGCTCCGGCCCAGACGCAGGCAAAGGCGTGGGGGTGCTCTCCTTCCTGGACTCCTCCAAAACTGTGGCTGAACCTCCGTGTGCACACAGATTCAGGTCCTCTTCACTGCTGTCGGTGCTGGGGCCTAGAGAATACAGATAAAATTGTCAAGAATGTGGACAACAAGGACAAACTGAAATGGCAGACACCTTGACATTTCACATATTTACCTTAAACAAAGATCATATATGTATCTATTGTATGTCTTACCGATGAGTCTGAGAATGCTCTGAGTCAAAGCCAGGACCCCTGAATTCAGCAGCAGACTGAGGCTGTTGGAGCCGTGTTTGAGCGACAGCATGTGGATCATAGCGAGGAGGAACCGAGCCTGAGGGATAGTTCCCAGACTGGGTCCTGCCGGGTTTTCATTAGTGATGGTCTGCAGAGGAACAGGCTGCACCCCTACAGACAAATCAATACAAACATTAGGTTGTTTTTGTTGTAAATAATACGTTTGGTCTTTAAAAGTATAATGTCAACCAATCTCACCACAAAATGTTCATATTAGAAAACTATTTATTGTCTGCAAGAAAGAGCCTTGTAAGTCAGTATTTAACCCTTTGGACTGAGGGTGAGACGTAGAGAGAGTGGTCCTCTCTTTTGCACTTTTTATATCTAATCTAATTCAATCACAGTTCTATGAATCCCGGATGAACGCCAGAGGGGCTGGGACTCGATTAAATTGTTTTATCTAATTAATTAGAGGCTTTGTAATTAATTAATTGCAATTAATCACATTTTAATCACATATAAATATTTGACCTGAGAACAGTGAGTAATTGTTTTGTAATTTTGTTCACATGGATTTTTAGTTTACCATTGAATAATGACTGAATTTTGACTGGTATTGAAGCATTTCCAGCATCTACAGCCAGTTAGGAAACATAGCTACTACGTATTTTGTATATATTGTGTGCTCCCTGTGTGCTCTTACTACTGTCCTGTATGTGCGCTGCAACAACGAAGTTTTCCCACTGTGGGACGAATAAAGGAACTCTCATCTGAATACATAAGCTTAAGCAACACATGTTAATTGTGGAGGATAAGGGATAACTTCTTTCCCTTCAAATAATGCCTCCTCCTGTGTGAAATATGATCCTATACTTGCACTGGTTAGATGCTAAACTGCATTTCATTGTATTGTTCTGACTTTCTAATGACTATAAAGTTTAATCTAATCTAATGTGAGGAATCCAATTTGTATTAAAGCAGGTCCAGGTCCTTTAAAAGGAAAAGGAAAAGGATATTTACCATGTTCCTTGAATCGAGCACTGGCTTCCAGGAGGATGTTGCGAACGTTTTGAATGGCCCAAGAATACAGCTTTCCAAAGGTGACTTCCAAAAGCATGCGGTTGAACGGGGGGATCAGATCCACATCTTTCAGGCAATCAAACAAAGGCTCCCTGCAAACCAACAATGTGACATCATAAGTGCAAGATCTGCAGTTTTAAAAAAGAAGTACCAGCTGTAGGATTTAAGGTATAACCCCTCATACACTTTAAATACCTGGACTCACGAATGCTGAAGTGAGAGAGACAAGAGAAAGACTGGAGAGTGACCACAGTGAGACCAGAGCAAGACCAGAGCAAGACCAGAAGGAGACCAGAGCGAGCGAGACCAGAGAAAAGACCAGAAGGAGACCAGAAAGAGACCAGAGAAAGACCAAATAGAGACCAGAGATATCAAGCTTTCAAACACCATGCATACACTGTAAATACAGCTGCAGTGGACATTGAAGGAGAGGAGTAGGACTGAGGACAACGGAAAGACCAGAGAGAGAGACCAGAGAGACAAGAGAGAGACAAGAGAGAGACCTCTGAACTAATCCTTGCGGTGCATATAAGCAACACAAAACATTTCTGACTTTAAATAAAGGTCACATGTTACACTGGCGGTTATATGATATTGTCAGAGTATAGAGGATGGAAAAAATGTCCCGTGAAATGTGATAGCGAGAGACAGTTGTATTCATAACTTTAAACATGACCTACCCAATGTTGTTCTTTTCAGGGATGAGCCTTTGCCAGCCACAGAGCATTGCATATTGGACAGAAGGCAGCAGAAAGCTTTTGGACGCCAACTTTAACATGGTGTCAATGCCTTCAAGTCTCACCTCGGCTCTCTCCAACTGAACCAAAACAAAAACACAATCAGACAAAGCTGTAAAAAGGGACACAAAACAATATCTTTGTCTTTCTAAATACCTGCTTGAGAAGACATTTCCTCATTTTCTCTACATCCAGTGGTTCTTCTTTCAGGGCGAACTCCACGATTGTGCCCATCAGACTGGACTGAGAACAGAAGCCGTGGACGTTGTGTTTGATCCAGCGGTATTTCTGCACGTTAGCCACAGTGTTGAGAAGCGGCTGCCATTTGTCCTGCTACAAAATATACTCAGTAATTAAAGTTTTCAAAGACACGTCAACTTTATCTTGCAAATCACAGCAATGCAAGGTAATCAAAATCATTATACTTTCTTCTTTATTATGCTATAGCTAGAGATTTTATACAAGCTTCCTTATTATGCTAAAGTAAAGCCTAGTGTATACTCGGTTGCGATTACGGTTACGTTGGACCTACGCAGCCACAGTTGCTGGTACCCTCGCGCGTTCCCCTTGCAAAATTTTGAAGAGAATACTGTAATCCCACACCCAACCACATGGTGGCAAACTCAGAGGAGTTGGACTATGGACTCATTATTTCATAAGTCATTAAACTGTGATGCTGTGAATAAAGACAGTTCTTGTTGGAAACATAGTTATTATTAAAGTGTATTCAGCACAAGCTGCAAAACAATGTGGTAAATATCTGAGACCAAACATGAACAATTTAGAAGTACAGGAGGAATGCAAAAGACGTGATAAGCTACAAGTGCAGATTCAAACAAAGACAGGCGCAGGAAAAGTGCGAAAGTAACGACTGTACAGTTTATAAGTTAGATATGCAACAGAACTGAACAGTCACAGTCTCTGCGTAAATCAGGCTCTGAGCCATGAACCCAAAAAGCTTTTCCTTCGGTTCTTTCGAAGCACAGAGCTATCTGGTCTGAAGTGCCTCGTCCCTGTTCTCTGCAGCCGCTCCATGCTTCCATCCAAAACACACACACGGACCAATCACAGAGGAGCTTCTCTGCAGCGGCGGCTGCGTAGTTAGAAATTTTTGAGGGTGCAGCAGCAGGCTACGTAAGGGTCTGGATCCTTCTGAGACCCTGTTCTCAGAAGGACCTGTTCTGTAACTGATGATGCAACACTGACATTTCCCCACTGTGGGAAGGATAAATGATCGTTTTATCTTAATCTTAATCAAAAGGAAGACAGAATGGATTATTGCCTTAGCGGTCTTGCTACTGGGAGATTTCCTGTCGGCTGGGGGAGGATTCAGATTGACGTTTACTTCCTCCTCATTGGTCCCCTCATTTTCCATCTTTGGTTCTTCAATGTCAGCGGATTCTGACTTTTTAGGCACTGAAAAAACAGAACACACACATAAGTTCAATTCAAAGAACATGTATCACTATGGACATTTATCTTGAGAATATTTATTTTGTACCCTTATGGTTCGTATCTTGATCTACAATGCAACCATCGTAGAAACACGGCTGCCCCCGTTACGGCGAAAAGCTAATTTAGAATTTTTTTTACGTGCATTAACGCGATAATTCTGACAGCCCTAATATATATATAATGTACTGTATATCTATCCATCTATATATCTGTCAATAGATAGGTATTGATAGATGGATAGACAGTTACACCAAAATAGGGATGTAAATCGGTGACCGTTTAACCGGTGGTTGACCGTCACAGCGTTAACCGGTCAAAGCTGTCGGTTAAAATAAGAAAAGAGGGAAGAGAGGTTGTCTCTTAATAACGCTATTTTAAGCCCTATTTGCACAGGGTGAAGAGCGGGTCTGTCTCTATATATTACTAAACTCCGGGACGACTCTCATGCCGCACGCACCACATATGCACGCACACATGCACGTGCAAGCACGCGCGCGCGTACACACACACACTTTCCCCCCTTCATACGTAACATCCATCCATCATCTCTCCCCTCTGTTACCACCAAAGTTGCACACTGGTCAGAACTACATAGGAGCTTATATTTACACACACATACATACATACATACATACATACACACACATCCCGGTTTGTCGCGCTCCTCTGTGTCACGGAGCCCAAAGGATCCTCGCAAATACGCGGCTTCAGTCAAACCACATAGAACATGTTTGTGCTGCTGGTCCTTGGCATCAGCTTCACACACATCACTTGTTTTTAAACTATAGCGGAGACCTGCGAGACGCAGCTAGTCACTCGCTGCTCTGACCATGTGAGCGAGCTGTTGTTTGCTGCAAAAATGCTTTAACCCTCAGCGCAGAAGAATGGGAAGATTAAAAAAGCAGTTCTCTGTGCGCAAAGGTGCCGAAGCTGTTGCGGGTTTCGGCGCCGCTGTCTCGGCTCTGATACAGTAGAACGCAGAGCTGCACTTATGAAAAGTACGCGGTTCGAAATGACTGTTATTTCAGAGAACGTGGAATATTTTAAACTACGCGGTTAACCGGTTTCAACCGGTTAATGAGGCTCGGTGGTCGGTCATGAAATCTCATAGTTTTTTACATCCCTACACCAAATCTATTTGCTAACTCAAACCAGACCTCTCTTTTTCCGCCGGTCTCGGATGAGCTTCTGTGCAATTCTCCTCCACCGCGGCTGGGAGCTCAGCAGCTTGAGTTTAGAGACGATGGAGAGGTCGTTGCTCACGGCAGGACGGAGCTCATTGAAAAGAAACCGGAGTCTCTCGATCACCGGAGCACAAACTTCCTTATAAGAGCGGCCCTGTTCCTGATGCGTCTGAAAAGAAAAAGAAACGGTATGTTCACTTGTGTAATCAAGGTTATTGTTTTTAAATGTTGTCTCACCTTGATTAGAGAGCACTTGGCTTGATAAACCATACGACACACTTCTATCACAGACTTGGGGAGAGACCTTTGCTTCCCCTGGTCCACACCCAAGGCACATTGACTGACGAGCGAGAGAGCAACGTGGCCTAGAAGAAATACAGTTCAAATTAATTTAAACGCACACAAAAAATAAGTATTATAAAGCAACAGAGCCAGTTGAAACATCTTCTATGGCAGTAAAAGACTGTAATCTTGCACTGCTATAGTCGCCTTAAAGTCACCTATAATCGTTAATATAATATACCTTGCAAAAAAGAGGCTATCTTTTCACTTTCTAACATTTCCTGTAACCCTGAGTGATCCAATTTATGCCAAATGTGACGCATACATTTTACCATTGTGAGATCAATAAAGTTTGTCTTATGTTATCTTCTATTACGAATCCACAATATGCATTTTTCAAGGGTCTTGAATATTACTTAAAGAACTAAATCAAGAAAATGTAACAATATCTATCTAACTACTGTAGTTCCCAGCTAGGGTTGCCGACTTGAGAACAGAAAAATAAGGGACACCATTTGGGTGGATCGGGTTGAGCACTTTTCAGTCCTAATTTCAATCTACACAGGAATCATGGAATTTCATAATCAGTTTTTAGAACTTAATTTATTGACTACATATAAAAAATATAAAAAATCCATTGTCATTAATGAAATTAAATAAACAGGTGCAACTCTTTGGCTGGTTAAGGACTTAATGCATGCTTTTTGGCCATTAAAAATATAAAAAAGAGACAAATGCTATAACATACATTATTCATGTTTGTTACAGTGAAGACCATTAACTGTAAAAGCAATTTAAAAAAAGAAAAACATGTGCATTCATTTAAAATATTAAAAACTCACAAATGTTGAAATCAAAGTCTGTAGCAGTTAGATATAGTCATTATCTATAGTGTCTGAGGGCTTTGTGCGTGTACATAGCATCTCGTAAAAGCTATTGTTCGTTTACAAAGCGGGTCCTGGCAGGCAAGTAAAAGTTAGGCTAGCTAACCTACTTCAAAAAAGCAATTGCTTTTTGACGCATTAAAACAGTATTTTTGTCATGAAAACCTTATCATATACTTCTGAAAACCTTTGTGAACGATGTTAAGAATGTATATGTATATTATATTCACCCATTAAAATTTAAATGTGTTGCTTGATTGTCATTTGCGTTTATTGAGTGTGGCCAGCTCCGATAGTGTCTCTCTGCAGTAGTGGTGAAGCCCGTTGTGACCCCATGGATCTATTATAATATCGGCTGACAGTAGCTAGCTAGATGATCAAACTACACTGCAAAAAAAAAACTTGATAAATGGAAGTTAATCACAGCAAAATAAGCAAAGAAGGCGCTAGCATTGCAATAAAGATAAGCTATAGCATAATCCTCACCGTTACCTTTTTATCAATTCAAACTTTCTACCAGTTACTGGTAGACTACGACATTCAAGCCAACGTTTTAATTGGTCTACACACTATGATCCCTGATAGCCTGGCTCTTGCCAGACCCTTGTAGTTCCGCCATGCTCCACCAGAGGCGTTTGGCTGAACCACATGGGTCTGGGATTAGAGTTTCGCTTTTCAGCCCGAGCCCGAGCAGGCCCGAGCCTGATGTTGATGATTCTATGTTGTTATATGTGTTTTTTAAGAGTCAAATGTTCGTGTAAAGTTTGGTTTAAGCAGTAGTTTGAGTGTTCCTGTTTACAACACTATGCAGCAGGGTTGCCAGGTTGGGTGGTTTCCCGCAAACTTGTAGGTAGGTGAGACTTGTAGGTAAAAAATAAACAGAAAGACAATAAACAGAAGCATGATAGCCCAAGTTGATTACAATAAGTTTTTAGCCAAAAAAATCATTGTGTTTTTTTTTTTTTTGGGCAATCTCGCAGATTTTGGGCTGGAAAATCTGGAGTGGTTGAAAGCAGACGTCATTCAAGATAAGTGGTTTATCCAATCACATACAAGGATTTTTTTTACAAGGCCCTGCCTTCTGAAATCCAATTCCTATCGAGGAGTCCCAGACGCTTGTGAGAAGCGCAGCTTCCACAAGAGTCTGACGAGAGTCAGGCTAGATCCATGATGGTTTGATGGTGGAATTTTGCTCCTGGTACATCATTTTCGTCTAAAGAGACAAGTGGTATTTGATTCATTTCGGTGTTTGACCGAGACATGTGGGCGGGAGTTGACAGGCGGCGGGGGCGTGTCATAGTAACGTCATTTAGATTGTTTGCTATGCGTATGGCCATCCCGACTCGCCGCCTCTCCCCACAAGAAACTCCAGAAAAGTGGAGTATCTTCGAATCTCACAACCTCCCCCACGAGCTAGGGCTCCTTCCCCCTGAGCTAGGTGACATTCCACATCCCAAGAGCCAGATGTTGTGTGTGTGGACTGGGTTGTAGATGTCTACGCCTTCAACTGCTGCTCAGTCCTCTCTTCACCTCTCCCCCACGGATCCCTCTGTGGTCCACAGAAGGGCCTGCCCACCTCGTTTTCAAGCCCCAATCCCAGGACTGGCTCCAGGGTGGGGCCCCGGCTGTGCCATGTCGGGCGACATCACATTTGTTGTTGTCATGCAATCCATGGTTGGCTTCGGACTGCGCTTCGTCTGACTTGTCACACAAGACCTGTCCAGGGATATGAAGCCCGAGACAACATAGCTCCCAGGATCATCAGAGTACTCAAACACCCCCACCATGTTAAGGTGGCAGTCCAGGGGAGGACTGCCATGTTAACCCACAGGTTAAAAAACTCCAACTCCCGACTGAGCGTTCATTCCCGTGAGAAAGTTCTTCGGATTAAGAACAAAACATCGGGAAAACCTGCTAGCTGAAGTACGGATGATGGGTGAGCAACCTTCCTTTGTTTTCAATAATCTCTGTGTGACAGAGGGTTTACACAAACTTATTTTTGACAAGATTTAGATTCATACACTCACTCTAGGGATTCTAAAACTGTGGGCAAAGCAGTGAGATATCTAATCTCGTTTGTTGATCTGCACATGTGACTTCTCCGTAGAAAAAACACCTATTTTTGGCAAGATCTGGCTTAAAACCAGGTTAAGGATCTCAAAAATGTGGGCAAAGCATTTGAATAACTGATTTCTTTATTTTGTCCATATTTGGTTATCTAAAACATGTTGTGAAAAACCATAGATTGTCAAATATATGTGTCATTTATGCGGCTTTTCGATAATCACGGTACGGCACGGCAAGGTAATTTTGCATTTCCGCTAGGGTTGGACTTGGGAACCCACGACCATTAAGTCTAAAGACCAGTGCTCGACCAACTGAGCTACTGTCACCCCAAGTTCGATATTATATCTTATTCATTCTTTAAATCAATACATTTATTTAAACAGATCAGTAGCATTTTAAATCACAGTACTAAGTTACTATGGTTACTATGGAAACGCTCTCTGTTGCTATGATACTTGGTTACCATGGCGATGATGTCATAAAGCTAATGACATCACCATTGTAAGGTATTCTGTCCTTAGGTGGCTTATGTTGAAACATAGGACCAGGGTGCTTGGTACCTGCGGCCCATTGCTTCGCAAAAACACAACACAAGCAGACTCATAAATCACTACAGCTTCAAAATGGAGACCAGGAGAAAAGTGAGAAGGATCATACAACGGGAGAATGAGGACTCTCGACTCGCTGAGACCATAATACGTACGCATGTAGAGAAGCAGAGGCTGCGATTGCAGCAGGAGGAACTGGCTCAGAGAGAAGCTGAGGCCAGAGACGAGTTCTTAAGCGCTGGGGTGAAGCGTGAACTCAAGCAGAAGAGAGAGCAGCAACTTCTGCAGATCCATCTGGTGCGAGAACAGATGAAGACACGCCACCAATGTGGGCAGGAGTCAGAGCGCAGGAAGGCCCAGCGAAGGTGGCTGCGGACGGAAAAGTGTGCTCCGAACAATAAACATCTTCTGGAGGAACGGCATAAAAGTCAGGAGCAGGAGGAGAGAGAGACCCAGAAGAAAACAGAACAGGAAGAGTACGATGAGCAAGTGGAGATGGCCATCCATAGAGCTTCCATGGAAAACCGTATCGCTCTTCCTCTGGACCAAAGAAACGGTGAAGTCGATAACCGTCTTCACTTCTATAAGGACGGACAAGGCTTCCTCGTAAACTCCAAGAGGAAGTTTGAGCCTCGTCATTCTTTAATTTTGACCGATGAGACGCCCAAAAAACAGGTGACAGTACCTCAAGGCAACACCGCTCCAAAACCAAAGAGTGTGAAACAAGAGTACAGGAGCAGAAACAGCCATCCCCCAGTGTTTGCCGAGGGTTAGGACCAGTCGAGAAGTTGGACCAACCCACACCAAAGTTGCTGGCCAAGAGAGAATCTAGGGGGTCAGCTCTTCCTATGAGGTCCATTTTACGAAACAGTGTCGTCCTGTCAGAAGATAGTTCCAAGCCTGCTCTGGAACATAAGTGTGAGGAATTGAAATTACCTGTAATTAGTAATCCAAAAAAGAAGCTGAGCATAGTCCCAGTTCAGGCACCAACAGGTCAAACCAAGTCTGAGAGAGGCAAACATCCTGCAATTCAGCGTCAGGTGAAGTCAATGACATTGCCAGAGGAGGAGGAACCATGCGGAATTGTGGGCAATGTGAAGGTGGTTAAAATCCCAACCCGGGGGGCAAAGCGAAGCGAAGTCCCAGGTTTGGATCCAGACACATTAGCCGTGATGTTCCATCCACGTCCCCCCATGACACCAAGACAGCCTGAAAGAACCGGTCAGTACAGAACCAGCCACACGGTTGTCAGTTTCCCCCAAGGCCTAGCAAACGAGTCTAAAGTCCCAAACAAAGTCGATCCAATCCTCACAACTCCCCAACATGTGAGACGCCACATTAGTCACGTCTCTTTCTTTTAAGAAGGAGCTAAAACTTGGTTTGCAAAAATTTTCAGTTCACTCCCAATTATAAGTGAACTGAAAAGTGTCCAAAATTATCCCCAAAGTGTCAGCAAAGCAACAGAATGTGATTCTATTGTTTTGTCCGTATTTGGCAAACCAACACACACTGACCTCTCAGCCATGAGTTGGAGATCTATAACCTGTGGGTGTGGTTAGACACTACACCCACAGGTTATGAATGGTCTCTCTGTGGTAACCTCTACCCCCATGTCGATGCAAACATGCCCTCCTATGGCAAACACAAGACCGGTTTGCCATGGGAGGCCCTACCAGGATGGGTGTGGTTATACACCCCATATGAGGGGTCTAACCACACCCATCCATCCATTTTCTTCCGCTTCATCTGTTGCCAGGTTGCGGGGGCAGTAGTCTAAGCACAGACGCCCAGACTTCCCTATCCACACTTACTTCCTCCAGCTCATTGTGAGACCCTGCATTAGTCATGTGTCAGCAAAGCAACAGAATGTCTGATTCTATTGTTTTGTCTGTATTTGGCAAACCTTAACCGTGAGTTGGAGATTCATAACCTATGGATGTGGTGTCTAACCTTATAAATAGTCCCTCTGTGGTAACCCCCACCCCCATATGAAGGTGTCTAACCCTCTCCTCCCATGGCAAACACAGACCTGTTTGCCATGGGAGGCCCTTCCAGGGTGTGGTTTGACCCCTCATATGGGGTGTCGAACCACACCCATCCATCCATTTTCTTCCGCTTCATCCGTTGCCGGGTTGCATGGGCAGCAGTCTAAGCAGAGACGCCCAGACTTCCCTATCCACACACAATTCCTCCAGCTCATTCGGGGGGACCCCAAGGGGTCAGGCCTGGGGTGTTCTAATGCCAAGTGCACTGGTGGACACCCTTGTGCTCGAACATGGTGTTTGAGATGGACAAACTTTGACAATCACAGAATTCCAACAACTGAACACTGCTCGGGTTCAGATCAAGGGAGACTTTCTTCCCAATCACCCCTCTCCACGTGTCCCACATGGGTGAAGTCCTCTAGGAGAATAACGGAGTCCTCGGTCGGTGCACTGTCCAGTACCCATCCCAAGGACTCCAAGTAGGCAGGGTACTCTGCACTGCTGTTTGGCTTGTAGGCCAACAGTGAGAGACTTGTCTCCCACCCGGAGGCGGAGGGAAAAGATCCTCTCATTCACCGGGGGAACTCCAACAGCGGCCGAGATAGGCATGTTGCCAAGGTGATCTCCCAAAGTCAGCAAGCAGCTTAGCTTAGCTGCTAGCTAAGCAGGAAGCAGACAGGATCTCAGCCGTATGGCAGTTTTTTAATGTAAACAAGTGACAAGAGTAAAGTGACTGTAAGGCAAAACTGTCACGGGGTGGGTCCAAAACAAACACGTATAACAACAGCAACTTGATCAAACATCTGAAAACTAGTATAGCAGCAGAATATAGCTAGCACCTTTGCTAGCACCAGAGCACAAAAACAACCAACTCTACAACATAGCATTTGTATGAGTGGAATATGACAGTGGCTCTGATTGTTGACTGTTAAAACAATTGCTAAAATGTTTAGTTGTTAAAGCATTTTATTATAGTAGAAATGAGAAATAAACATTTTAAATTTCAGTTGTATTCGTTTTATGATTTCCCATGGATAACACTATGCAGTATTTTTATTGGTATTCGTCATCGGCAAGTACTCAAATTAAGGTGCTCGTACCGGTCTTGAAAAAAGTGGTATCGGTGCATCCCTTCTTTGTGCTGTGTATGCCTTATGCTGCTCAAATGAATTGCCCCTGGTGTAAGTCATCTGAATCTGAATAGGTCATTTTGTAGCGTTTTGTGAAGCTAGTTACCCAGATCCTGATGCTTGAGCAGACAGCAGAGCAGCAGTCGGCCCACCTCCTCCACTGGATGCTCTGGAGGGAACGTGATGGGCGTGATCAGGTGGTACTGCTTACAACATCGCTCTATTTGGCACAGAAAGTCCTGAAAACAACAGTACGATTTATGAATATATTTATATGTTGGTTAATGATTGTTAATGGCTTTCTAAATCCTTTTTAAGATTAGCCAAACATTTGTATTCTGATCTTCTCATCTAACAAGAAGACTTTACACATTGAGATTCAGAATTCTATTTGATGTAAATTCAGAGCTCTCTGTTTCAATATGTGCACTATTGTTAGCTAGAAAGATTTATGTACTGTATCTATGTGTTTGTATGGATGGATGTGTTTTTGCTGCTGGACACCCGAATTTCTCAATAAAGTATCTATCTACCGTATCAATCTATTTAAATTCAATTCACTTCAATAAAATGTATTTGTGTACAGACCTAAATTACCAATTTTCAATTCAACAGTCGTCAGGTCATGGATCTATAATAATAAGTGGGTTGGGTATTACTAGCTTATCCCACCCATGGGCATGGGGGGCACCCGCGGTAAAGCAGAATAAATTCATGTGGGCTACTCAGAAAAATGTCCCATAGAACTCAATGTAAATAAAACAGCGCGACCTCAGCTGACATAGAACCTACATCTTCCATAAAGTTCGGATTTTAGTGTCACTCGTCACTCGTCTTTATTTATACTTTAGATTTTATTCGAGCTTACACAATTACAATGTCTTTTAAACATGGGCATGCATTGTTATATGCATTTACATAAAACATAAATTTATGTGAGTAGTAAGACATAACATATCCCAAAACGATATACACAGGTCACAAAGGGAGTGAGAAGAAGAAAAGAAAATTTTAATCTATAAACTCAGCTTTTCAAACCACTTAAAGAATACACCTTCTCTTCTGTGCTCCAGATTAGACTTCATTTCAGGATCATAAATGTTACTGTAACAACAGCTACACTTCACCTTGACGGAGTGGTCCTGAGTGTTGTTGTCAGCTATTGCCTGCAGAAAGGGCTGGGCGTGGTCACTGAGGGTAATCCTGCGGGAGTAGAGTTTAGCTTTATCTGGAGTCGTGGTTCCCAGAGAGCTGCAGTGGTCTTCATCCTTCTCTTCGTTGTAGTTGTAGTGGATCTGACTGGTCTGGAGCCCCCCGGAGAATATGGAGGACTGGAGCCATGCTGAGGAGACAGATTTAATGACTTTATATGAGTTGTAGAGACGGAAACATTGATGATGATTATGGGCAGTGATAATAACAAAAGTCCAATTAATAGCAGATGATGCCCCATGTAAAGTTTAGATATACATTTAATGAGATCATTATTGTAGCATTTACATCACATTTATTGAATATTGATTGCTAGTTTTTTTTGCTTTGTTTTTTTGTCTGTGCTATTTTGAGCTGACAGCAGCTTATGACGCAAGTCTGTTTCTGCAATGAATGTTCCTATGGACTTGCCTATGGACAGGCTGGGTTACTGGGGGGCTTTGGGAGTCAGCCTGATATGTAGCGCTCGATTGATTTCAGTTTCTTGTCTCATCTACAATCGGAAGCAGGAGAATGGACCGTGTCAATTAACAGATAGGACCATGTGATATAATGCTTTGAACCATGGGGGGTTCTTTACTTTTTTGTTCCTTTCGTGGGGTGGATGGGAGGTATAATATAAACAATATATATGATTCTACCTTGTTTTTGTTCTATCTTATCGATTTATTCTAGTTTTGTATTGTAAATGAAATACACCTGAAGGTTTGTCCACACTTGGTGTAACCCTAATTTACACTAGGGTGTAAAGGGTGTAATACTAACTTGAGCTTGTTGCCTGTGCAATAAAAAAAATAGTATTATAGAAAGTTTATATGTGGGAGATTTAGTATTTACAATGTAAATACTGTCAAACTTACTGGCACATTCGATTTCCATAGGAGACAGAGGAGTGCTCTTGGCCAAGTATGAGGCATGAAGACCCAGGAGGAGACCCAGGTTCCTCTCTGTGTCGATGAGCGGAGAGGACAGACTGCTGAGGTCAGGGGTGGTTATGGTCTCCTGGTTAGGCTGAAAACAAGCACATATATATCCAATGTTTAAAAGAATCAGCCACAACATAAATATGGCATGAGCTGAAGTCTGACTCCAGTTCTCATCAATAACTCTTGCCACTGTAGAGATAATAAAACATTTCACCTCCATATAATGGCCGACACAGAAGGCCTGCATAGACTCTCTTGTGTCTTCAAACTGCAAAGCTGTCTCCAAAGCCACCACAGGGTCCTCTCCTGCAAACTGGGCTGTAAAAAGACATCATAATAAATATTAGGGCTGGGAATTGGCAGAAATGTGACGTTTTAATGGTATTACAATATTTGGGTCACACATCAATATTATACAACAAGTGTTACAATTCGATTCTGCGATGTCCCACATATTATTCAAAGGCTGAACAAAAATGGAAGCGCGAAAACTATCCTTGAGCATTCAGGACCTTATTACAGGACTAGAGATCTTTCTCTGTATAGACGACCTCTCACATGAATGGTGAGCTCCCAAGTGATGTGCTATCCCTTACATTTTCAAATACAAAAGACAAGAGAGTAACAAAAAGCAGACATCATAAAGGAACATAAACCTCAGATGTAAATAACCAGAGTAAACTCAGAAAACAAAAAACAGATAAATATTTAAATAAATATTGCAATACTTTGCTCTGTATTTAATTGTTTGAGCAAAATATCAAAATACTGAAAAAAATTGTTTTTTCCCCCTCACCTCTAAAAAAATATGCACTACATCATCACAAAAACGTATTGTAAAAGTTTACCTAAAATACTGTTCCCGCTCAGCGACTGTGACTGAGCCTGGAAGTCCTTGATGTCGTACACTTTTCCATCGATAACTGTCCAAAAGCCGCCGTCTTTGTTGTGGTTTTCCAGGTCAGCTTTCCGTATGAGAGACACTTCTTCATTGTTCTTAGAGCTCTGTCCAGTGAAGAAACACCCTGCCATAACCAAATATGTGGCTGGATTAGTTATACATTTATATTTCCCATCAGGAATACCACATAAGGCCTCTATTAAAAACAAGAGAAGCAGACTAAGACTTGGACAAACAAACAAACAGAATGACAATATTTATGAAACAAGTTGAAAAAGTTATAATGTAATCCATATGGGCCATATATAGATCTCTTTTTCAGGGAGTCCTGGCCCCAGAGAGAGGGGAGTATTATTCATATGTTTTTAGTGGTAGGGGAAACTGAAGGAAAACTATACAGAGACAGGGAGAACATGCAAACTCCACTCATAAAAGGCCCCTGGAGGCGAGATCGAACCCAGGACCTTCTAGCCGAGAAGCAAGAGTAATATACCCATAATGCCAGGCCAGGCCAGATCCTCGTTGTCGTCTCTTTCATGTCCAGGGGCTAAATGATTGAAGCGGTCAAGATGCTCCAGAAGTCCAGCTAAGAGCGGTATTGAGCCAGTCTCTTGCATCAGCCCTGCATCGATGGTCAGGAGGAAGATGATGGAGACCACCAACTCAGGCAAGAGAACTCCTAACACAGAAAGAATAACAAAATGTATCGCAGGTGTCACAGAGCATTTGGAAAAATAAACCTCCCGATATTCTTCCCACTCCATTTTGTAGTTCAGGGAACAAAATGTGTATCATAACTAAGTAAATATGTACCGTTTGTTTTAATGTGCACGGCTCTTGGATGCTTATTGTATGCACAAAAACGTACTGTTAAAAGCTCGGAAGGAACAAATGAATGTGACTTACCCGTTAGATCTCCTTCAATGACTCGAGAAACCTCAGCGAAGTGTCTGCGTCCAGTGGAGGCGATACTTGTAGCAACTGGGAGTATGTCTCCAATGTGTGTGCACAGAAGAGCGATGTACTTCTTCAACAGGGAACCAACTCCCAAAAGCTCTGGACCTGGAGAATGACTCCATGAATTATTGTGCTAACCACATCAACCTGTAATTTATGATGATGATAATAATAATAATAATAATAGAGTCTTTAGTGTTCATGTTTGTGTGTTGTCACATGTCATTTGTATTAGTATGGGTAAATGTATATACTGTATTGTTTGTGTATCTTATCTTGTGTTGAAGGGGTGAGGGGGACTTACAGTACAGTACAGTACAGTACAGTATATATACGAGGTCTCATCCAACCCCTTTTAAAACTGACTGTACAACAGCATGCTTTCTCCTTCTCTACACTTCTCCATATTCTTCACAGGAGCGATAATCGTGCATTAAAAAAATGCACGCCGTCAAAATAGGTTCACACTAACGCCGTCATTAACGCCGTCATTAACGCCGTCATTAACGCCGTCATTAACGCCGTCATTAACGCCATCATTAACGCTGTCATTAAGGAGTTTAACTGACTCACTATTTAAAACCATTTGGAATAAACAATTCAACTCCTATTATAAAGAATTGAGTTTAATAATGGTCACTTACTGTATCCATTCACGTTGTCAGAATCGTTGACCCCGAGGCACAGATTGCTGACCAGAAGCCTTTGAAATCGCAGCAGCAGGTCTAAAGACGCGGACCGTTCTTTGCTCACTTGCTCTGCTTCCATGTAGTTGGAAATACGGCGAGCAACGTCTTTAAGCCTCGCAATTGTTTGAGAAGCAATGTTCCTGCAAGAAGTAGAGAAAGAGATAGATAGTTAGATACATTATTGATACCCCGTAGGCCTGGAATGTAAAACTCAGGATCGCAAGACAATTTTTAGTGGCCCCTTACATTTATTTTAGTTATTATCATCAACTTGCAGTATTGATCGTAATGGGCTACCAAGGCATACAAGATATATTTTCTCGGGAAAACAACCTAATTTATTGTATTCTAAAATGTTTACATCACAAAGCCAAAATACTTTCATGATGTAACAAACAATAATAAGAAAAGGAAATTTCTTCTATTCTTTCAGCCCCTGATCCGTTCCTATTTGTTTATTCAGCCCGTGAGCAGAATGAGTTTGACACCCCAGCCGTAGGAGAGGTGTCCAACAGAAACACATCCATACAAATAAATCAAAACATAATTCTACAAGTTACTAACAACAGTAATAAAGTGCAAACTAGGCCATACCATTGACATAGCCACAATATAATAATTCATGAAGTAGACAATAAAAAGCCAAACATGCCTCAACAGCTGCTGTACGAGCTGCACTAAAGGCAGGCTCTGTTTCCCTGCAGACTCGTAGATCCCAGTGTTGATGAGATCTTTGTCCAACATGGTGCGACAGCGATGCATAGAGGAAGCGTTGGCCTCTTGTTCGTCGATCTCCTTTTCCTTCTGCGCCTCCTTTTTCGCTTCTATGTCCTGGTTATGAAAAACAATGAGGACAAACAAACACTGCAGACTTGACCTCACATGTTGTGCATCTGAGCAATAATTTTTAATAATGTCAGAAAGTACAATACAGAACCACATGTGTCACTTTACTGAGTCACTTTGTACCAGACCCTCATGCTGCAGACAGTATACTTGCTACTTTATTATGCTAAATTTAGAGATTTTATTTCATTTTAGCATGGAGTTATTGTTCATTTATCTTGTGTTGTGTGTTCCTCATTCCTACTGGTGATGCAACACTGACATTTTTCCCACTGTGGGACGAGTAAAGTATCTCGTCATCTCAATATTAGTCTTTCTCGTCTGTAGTGAGTGAACATGAGAAAGACTAGATCAGAGGAATGTTGACGGTTGTTGTACGAACCTGTATCTCGGCTGTGATGGCGGCGTTCAGCGCAGACTCCAAACCGCCGTCCGCCATCAGGCTGCTCACCAACAGGTCGATCATGAACCTGCGCCCCGGACTCACACTCATCTCGTTACCAGAGGCTGCCAAAGAAATAATGTAATAAATACTTCAGTTACGCAGACTTAAAAGCTGGGGTACCCAACTTTCATGGAAAAATAAACAGATATATGTAATAAAATCCATCTAGTTCAAGCATGGACAAAATTGTACGTGTGAGTTGTATAGTTGTTCAAAGTCCCTCTTTCTATCTTTCTTACAAGTATGCAAAAGATAAAAAACATTCTAATCAGATGAAGACAACGTGGTGTGGGCTGATTATTTATTACTTATTATTACTTACTTACTTATGCAAAAACTCTTTCTGTTGTGATGACTAACATTTACAATTTAGGTGGGAAAGAAAGTTAAGGTACCCTAGCTTTAATTGAGCACGGAACAAGCAACTTCATTCTTTGCTTTTTCTCCAGGCATAAATAAAAACATATTCTATTGAAAAGACCATGGGATATAAATCTCCAGCTCTATGATGAAGGTTCTCTCATCTTATCACATAGTACAGTAGGATTCTGAGGCCTGTTTTGGCAGTGTGTATGGCGGTATGGAAGTCTCACCAGCATTAGGCAGGAGCGAGGATAAGGCCCTGGCCCTCTCCTCTGCAGTGGGCAGCAGCACCGACCAGCCGCTCTGGAGCACAGCCTGAGCCGCGGCCTGGACCGTGTTGAGGACTCCCGCGTTACTCGCCAAAACCACCACCGTCTGCTTCAGGTTATTGAGAAGAGTGCTGCCCAGTCCCAGCCCCAGCTCCTCTGGTTCCACCTGGTTACTGATGGCTGCATGGAGCTGGGAAGAGATTATAAACTAACCTACTTTAGTTTATTTCAGGCACACAATGAAAAAGTCTACAACAAAAAGCAGTGGTTGTAAGAACTGATAGTAAAATCAGTGAGAATTCACCACTACTTGAAAAGGAATGGGATGAAGTTATTGATTCCCACCTCCTCTTTCAATGTCTTAATCATCTCTTTGAATCTTTTCCTGAAGAATGAAACATTGGGAAAACCTGGATCTACAGCCTCAGTCTTATATCTACAACCTTATCGACATAAACAAACCAGAGTCAAGCCAGTACCTGCAGCCGGAGCAGATTGAGTGTGGCCACCACCATACACTCAGTCTCTTGAGGAGGAGGCCAGTCCGAGCTGCCGTCCATCCCCTCGCTGACCTGCCGGAGCAGCAAATCCAGCTGCTCAAATGTCACAGGACAAACATCCACCACAAAGGGGATCCGCAGCCCCACGGACCACTCCGAGCAGGACGACCAGGCAAAACTCTGAACAAGGGGGACATAACAACATATTGTTTTAGTCTTTAGTCATAGATGATCACAGTACAGCAGCTTGTTCTGGAGTATTTAAAACCAGTCTGGTCACCTGTCCAGGACCACAGGAGATGCCCATGATGTGTTTGGAGTTTAGCCCGGGTAAAGCTTTGGGCTGTTTCTTGTTGGAAAGTGTATCAAAGTGCTGTAGTTTGTCGTTACTGCCCCAACTGAGGACATCACCGTCTTCAGTGAGGGCCAGGCAGTGCATTGAACCCACAGCAATATCAACCACCTTTTTCCCTGTAATAGAACAAACAAAACACAACATGAGATTAAGATTAAAAGATCCTTTATTCGTCCCACAGTGGGGAAATTTCAGTGTTGCATCACCAGTTACAGAACAGCAGGAATGAGGAGCTCACAGCACAAGATAAGTGAGCAATAGCTTAATTAAATCTTTACCTTTAGCATAAAAAAGAAACAAGTATAACATCTCTCTCTCTCTTTCTTACACAAATATGTGTTTTTTACCTGAAACTTACCCTGTAAACTATCAAGGAACTTGGGGTACCGCACATGCTCATCTGTGCCGTGTCCGAGGCGCTGGTTGTCTCCTTTCCCCCAAGTGTAAACCTGTCCTTCTTTGGTCAGAGCCACAGAGAACTGGCTCCCGCAGCAGACTTTCACAATGTCCAGATCCTGCAGCTTCTCCACCAGCTTCGGAGTCTTGCAGCCGTCACTGCCTCCTCTGCCCAGCTTCCCGTAGTCCCCATCGCCCCACGACCAAACCTGACCTGCGATCAAGATGTGTAATGGTTACATTTCAGAGTCAGAATCCTGTGTATTGTCAATGTAAGTAACAGGAAGTCACAAACAATTTGCTTTGGCTCAAGGTGCAAAGAAGTTGTAAGAGAAAATAGATTTAAGACTAAGAGATCCTGTATTCGTCCTACAGTGAGGAAATGTCAGTGTTGCATGAGCAGTTACAGAACAGTAGCAATGGGGAGCACACAGCACATGATAAATTAACAATAACTCAAAATACAATCTCATACTTTAGCATAATAAAGGAGTAAGTATAAAATTCCTAACTTGGCATAAGTTAGAGATATAGCATACCTAAAGAATATTGATAGAATTACCTAATAATTTCCTACACCACCCATTTCCTCAAGTGAGTCCAGTCTGAACCTGGAGACCAGAGGAAATGGGTGGAGTCTGGTGTGTTCCTGCTTGGTTGGAATGAAAACCTGGAGCTATAGCAGCCCTTTGACACCCCTTGGTTTAAACAAATATCCAAAACTTGCCATTTTCTGTCACAGCGAGAGTCTGGGCATCTCCACTGCCACACGCCACATCTACCACCTTCAGTCCCTTCAGGGCGGTCACCAACAGCGGAGTGGTCTGGTCTTCGCTGGAGCCTGGAGCAAAATAGCAAACAAACACCCATGATATGATGCTGGAAGAGAGTATAACACAAACAGAACTGGGGTTTCAGGTTGATGTTATTAGGCCCGAGCCCCGAAACGGGGTAAGGGCCTATTGCTTTCACAATGGTGAAAACAAATGGTGGCGGTGTGTGACGGACGCGTCAGCGCCCGTCACTCACCAAAATGTGACGGTTGCGTGCGTAAACTCAAACGCTTTAAAATGATGTATCACATGCCATTGAAACCTATATTGTTTTTGCTCGAGACGTTAAAAAAAAAATTCCTTTTTTATTTCTTTCTTTCTTTTTTCTTCTGCACTTTGAGCCTTAATTTGACCCCCTGAATATGCATGAAAAGTTGTTAATTTTGGCCCAAAAATCAGACCTGGCGAAAAATTTGATATTTTGGTGTTTATTTTTATGGGACTCAAAAAATGACAGAACAGCGCCACCTACAACAGCCAAAATAATACCCCTATGGGACTTTTCGGAGGTCAAGTTTGTTGTAGAAACATGAAATTTGGTACACATGTTCCTCAAGTCAAGACAAGAAAAAAATATTATTATGGCCCTGCCCTCTGACAAACAGGAAGCCCATAAATTTCACTGCAAAATGGAAAAATGAATAGCAAAAGTTTTCATACATGTCGGTTGGAAAGCGACTCCTCCTCGGCCGTTTCACCGATTCGCCTCAAATTCGCTCCACATCATCTCAACACATGTACCTTCAAAATGACCTCAGGGATTTTTGATCAGTGAAACATTGTTTGAGCAGCGGAGCGGCAAAATGTGACCTTTTTTTGGCCGTTTTTGACAACATTAAATTTGCTCCCGTTTGAACAAACAAAGTCTGATTTGCACAAAACTTTAATACATTGTTGAACTCTAGGGTCTAGGTCATTTGAAAGTGAAGTAATTCAAATTGACACATTAGCGCCCCCTACAGACTATTTCAAAGTTTTAGATGGGCATTTTCAAATTTAGTTTTTTCAAAATGTTTGAAATTTTGCACATAAATCTGTTTTGCCTTCTTGATTCAAAAAGTCAATTGGGTCCAAGGCTTATTTTTTACCCTGTTGCCATGGCGACGAGAAACGCTCCCCATTCTTTGCAAATGTACACCTCACACAAACATCAAACCAGCCTCGGCCGTTTCACCAATTTGCCTCAAAATCGCTCCACATCATCTCAACACATGTACCATCAAAATGACTTCAGGGAATTTTGATCAAGGAAACATTTTTCGAGCAGCAGAGCGCCAAAAAGTGGCGTATTTTTTTTCAGTTTTTGACGATAGAAAAATTGCTTCCGTTTGCACAAACAAAGTCTGATTTGCACAAAACTTGAATCCATGGATCAACTCTTGGGTCTAGGTCATTTGAAAGTTAAAATTTAGAAATTGGCTCTATAGCGCCACCTACAACAGCCAATTTAAAAATGCCTCTGGGAGGAGTTCGAGGTCAAAATTGTCATAGAACCATGTAATTTGGAACACATGTTCCTCAAGTCAAGACATGGAAAAAATGTAATTATGGCTAAGCCCTCTGACAAACAGGAAGCCCATAAATTTCATTGCAAAATGGAAAAATGAAAACCAATCATTTTCATACACGTCGGTTGGTAAGCGACTCTTCCTCCGCCGTTTCATCGATTGGCCTCAAAATTGTTCCAAATCATCTCAACACATTTACCTTCAAAATGACTTCAGGGAATTTTGATCAGTGAAACGTTGTTTGAGCAGCGGAGCAGCAAAATGTGAGTGTTTTTTTGCCGTTTTTGACAACATTCATTTTTTTCCCGTTTAGACAAACAAAGTCTGATTTGCATTAAACTTGAATCCATTGTTCAACTCCAGGGTTTAGGTCAGGTGAAAGTGAAATATTTGAAATTGGCCCATTAGCGCCCCCTACAGACTGAATCAAAGTTTACATGGGGAGCCAAACCAGCAATACTTATCATAGTCATTACAATTTGACTAACAATCTTCTATGGCTACGGGAACAAATCATCACACGGCGGCGCCACCTCCTTTGAGCGGTGCTGCGTGGTACGGTGTGGTGCGGCGTAGTGCGGGGCGTTGTGGAGCGGCGCGTTGCGGCTTGGTGCGGGGCGGCGTGATGCGGGACGGCGTGGTGCGGGGTGGCTTGGCAAGGGGTGGTGCGCGCGCTGCGCGCGTTGCGGGGGGTGCGCGCGGTGCGGGGAGTTGCGCGGTGCGGCGAGGGCCGTTCGACGCCGCTTGCGGCTTTAATTAGGCCCGAGCCCCGAACGGGGTAAGGGCCTATTGCTTTCACAATGGTGAAAACAAATGGTGGCGGTGCGTGACGGACGCGTCAGCGCCCGTCACTCACCAAAATGTGACGGTTGCGTGCGTAAACTCAAAAGCTTTAAAATGATGTATCACATGCCATTGAAACCTATATTGTTTTTGCTCGAGACGTTAACAAAAAAATTCCTTTTTTATAGGCCCGAGCCCCGAACGGGGTAAGGGCCTATTGCTTTCACAATGGTGAAAACAAATGGTGGCGGTGCGTGACGGACGCGTCAGCGCCCGTCACTCACCAAAATGTGACAGTTGCGTGCGTAAACTCAAAAGCTTTAAAATGATGTATCACATGCCATTGAAACCTATATTGTTTTTGCTCGAGACGTTAAAAAAAAAATTCCTTTTTTATTTATTTCTTTCTTTCTTTTTTCTTCTGCACTTTGAGCCTTAATTTGACCCCCTGAACATGCATGAAAAGTTGTTAATTTTGGCCCAAAAATCAGACCTGGCGAAAAATTTGATATTTTGGTGTTTATTTTTATGGGACTCAAAAAATGCCAGAACAGCGCCACCTACAACAGCCAAAATAATACCCCTATGGGACTTTTTGGAGGTCAAGTTTGTCGTAGAAACATGAGATTTGGTACACATGTTCCTTGAGTCAAGACATGAAAAAAATATTATTATGGCTCCGCCCTCTGACAAACAGGAAGCCCATAAATTTCACTGCAAAATGGAAAAATGAACAGCAAAAGTTTTCATACATGTCGGTTGGAAAGCGACTCCTCCTCGGCCGTTTCACCGATTCGCCTCAAAATCGCTCCACATCATCTCAACACATGTACCTTCAAAATGACCTCAGGGATTTTTGATCAGTGAAACATTGTTTGAGCAGCGGAGCGGCAAAATGTGACCTTTTTTTGGCCGTTTTTGACAACATTAAATTTGCTCCCGTTTGCACAAACAAAGTCTGATTTGCACAAAACTTTAATACATTGTTCAACTTTAGGGTCTAGGTCATTTGAAAGTTAAATGATTCACATTGACACATTAGCGCCCCCTACAGACTATTTCAAAGTTTTAGATGGGCATTTTCAAATTTAGTTTTTTCAAAATGTTTGAAATTTTGCACATAAATCTGTTTTGCACTCTTGATTCAAAAAGTCAATAGGGTCCAAGGCTTATTTTTTACCCTGTTGCCGTGGCGACGACAAACGCTCCAGATTCATTGCAAATGTACACCTCACACAAACATCAAACTAGCCTCGGCCGTTTCACCTATTCGCCTCAAAATCGCTCCACATCATCTCAACACATGTACCGTCAAAATGACCTCAGGGATTTATGATCAGTGAAACGTTGTTTGAGCAGCGGAGCGGCAAATAGTGGCGTATTTTTTTTCAGTTTTTGACAATAGAAAAATGGCTTCCGTTTGGACAAACAAAGTCTGATTTGCACAAAACTTAAATCCATGGTTCAACTCTTGGGTCTAGGTCATTTGAAAGTTAAAATTTTGAAATTGGCTCTATAGCGCCACCTACAACAGCCGATTTAAAAATGCCTATGGGAGGGGTTCGAGGTCAAAATTGTCATAGAACCATGTAATTTGGAACACATGTTCCTCAAGTCAAGACATTGAACTTGTTTTATTATGGCTAAGCCCTCTGACAAACAGAAAGCCCATAAATTTCACTGCAAAATGGAAAAATGAAAAATAATCATTTTCATACATGTCGGTTGGAAAGCGACTCCTCCTCGGCCGTTTCACCGATTGGCCTCAAAATTGTTCCAAATCATCTCAACACATTTACCTTCAAAATGACTTCAGGGAATTTTGATCAGTGAAACGTTGTTTGAGCAGCGAAGCGGCAAAATGTGAGGGTTTTTTTGGCCGTTTTTGACAACATTAATTTTTTCCCGTTTGCACAAACAAAGTCTGATTTGCATTAAACTTGAATCCATTGTTCAACTCCAGGGTTTAGGTCAGGTGAAAGTGAAATATTTGAAATTGGCCCATTAGCGCCCCCTAAAGACTGAGCCAAAGTTTACATCGGGAGCCAAACCAGCTCTACTTATCATATTCATTCAAATTTGACTAACAATCTTCTATGACTACGGGAACAAATCATCACACGGCGGCGCCACCTCCTTTGAGCGGTGCTGCGTGGTACGGTGTGGTGCGGCGTAGTGCGGGGCGTTGTGGAGCGGCGCGTTGCGGCTTGGTACGGGACGGCGTGGTGCGGGACGGCGTGGTGCGGGACGGCGTGGTGCGGGACGGCGTGGTGCGGGACGGCGTGGTGCAGGGCGGCGTGGTGCGGGGAGTGCGCGCGGTGCAGGGAGTCGCGCGGTGCGGCGAGGGCCGTTCGACGCCGCTTGCGGCTTTAATTAGGCCCGAGCCCCGAACGGGGTAAGGGCCTATTGCTTTCACAATGGTGAAAACAAATGGTGGCGGTGCGTGACGGACGCGTCAGCGCCCGTCACTCACCAAAACGTGACGGTTGCGTGCGTAAACTCAAAAGCTTTAAAATGATGTATCACATGCCATTGAAACCTATATTGTTTTTGCTCGAGACGTTAAAAAAAAAATTCCTTTTTTATTTCTTTCTTTCTTTCTTTTTTCTTCTGCACTTTGAGCCTTAATTTGACCCCCTGAACATGCATGAAAAGTTGTTAATTTTGGCCCAAAAATCAGACCTGGCAAAAAATTTGATATTTTGGTGTTTATTTTT